ATTCTCCTAAGGCTAAGCTATGACGCACTTAATTAATATGCCTAGAGAAAAGGCGACAAAAATTAAAATGAGATATTAATATTTTTTTTTTGTGTTTCAAACATGCTTCCTTTTTTTAAAATAATGTAGATATATTTTAAAATAATAGGACATAGTTTTAGACTTAGAGGGATAGGAATGTATCGTCTCAAATTTAACATTTATATCATCATTTATCACCAACATTTATATTAATATTTTTTTTTTCGTGTTTCAAACATGCTTCCTTTTTTTAAAATAATGTAGACATATTTTTAAATAATAAGACATAGTTTTAAACTTAAATGAATAGGAATTATCGTCTCAAATTTAACATTTATATCATTCTTCTTGTAGTGAGTGATTATGATTCCATGTCGAGAGTCGGCAATAGCAAACCATGTTTGGAAACGGAACTAAAACCCGGAAATTACAGGTATAATAATAATAAAGAAAATCACCCACGAACCCTAAAGGTTAAAGGGCTTAGGTTATAACCTCAACCTGGCCATAAACCTAACAAACCTTTTATAGTGACTCTTTTGTCGGATCATTTAATGACTATAAAGCAGAAGCAATTTTATTTTCATCTACAATTGTCATGGTAGACGCCATTTCATGTTTTGGCGGTTTTGCTCGCACAGACTTTTATGACTGATCCAGACCAACATTAATCAGAGATGGAGTTGGGCTAAATCCAGCCATTCGACCATTGTGGAAGTTAGATTTTGTTAGATGAACCCAATCGTATGGCTATTTTATTCTTTTCGATATTTACCAAGAAAATATTCCCTCCGTAATTATTCACCCCACCATTCCCACTCAATGCAGAAGGTAAAAATTTGACCAAGATCAGCTGAGGGGTTTTCCACAATCACATTTTATCAAAATACAGAAATTTCGTCGTATTGAAAGAAAATCCCTGCTGTGGTGACGCAAATAGATAACGTGCAGTTTGTCAACAACACCAAGAACCGTGCTCTGATGTTTTTCCAGTGTTGTGTAAATTGTATATTAGCCTAGAAATAACTGATCTATCACAAGAGTTAGGCATTGTTAGTGATTTCTGATATGATTTGAAACGACCTATGTTGGCCAGGTTATAAACTGAACTTAAGACGTGTTGTTTAAGATGTGTTTATGTTCAGTCTAAAATAAAATAACGTATGTGAACATTTTGTCAATACTAGGTGAACTTGGATATTGTGTATTAAACTGCAGGTCCTTTCTCCTTGTTTATGTGGTTCTCACCACAAGGATGCTTGAACGAGATAGTATTAAAGTGATAAGTAAAATTATCATTCGCTTGAAAGAAGAGACCATATTATTTTTACTAAACATTTTGTAATCACATTTTTGTCACGTGACATTCACCTACGTTTGAAATTATCTGTTCACACGCAGTTACTGATGTTAAATATAAATAAGCAGCTCCCATTTTAGGCGAGCGGATTAGTTGTCTTACATCTCCTCATAAATTAGTTCTATTCATAAGTTAGAACATATGTAAAACTAGATCCAGATATAGTGAGCAATCATAAGGAATGTTCACAAGAACCACCCACGTGTTGAGGGCTTTATATAGTTTCTAGAACGATCTACATATGTATTTCTCCTAGTTATGCATGGATTGAGTGGATATAGCTCATAGATAGAATAAACTTAGATTATAGCATATTCAGAAATTTATTTCCGCCGTGCATGAAATATTGTACAAATGAACATAAAAAATAAATCAATTGAGAGAAAACAAAATAACAGACGTACAATAATTCGGCTGCAATAGACGAGGAGCGCGAAGTTAACGTGTCAGTGACACCTAAATTGCTGAATAGCGAATGATACCGGTGTATTTTGTCAATAAAATATAAAACGAAAATAGAGGGTGTGAATATTTAAAAGATGGTTTACACATTTACTCCGAAAAGCCTTCTTGTGCGCATTGTAAAATTAATAAGAGTTGAAACCTTTGATCAAAAATATTATAATATTTTTATACTTGATTTAATTTAGGGTCACCATATTTGAAAAAGCAAAATTCCGGACAGTTCATGACTTTTTCATGACCTCGTAGTAAAAAATATGTGCATGGTACGAAATAACAATGTTCTTTATTAGCGGTGTGCACAGTACGATTACAGATGCAGTAAAATTCCGGATTCCGGACACTTAAGCATTTTTCAAATTCTTCCCGGACGCAAAATTTAACCCTGAATTCCGGACATGTCCGGAATTTTCCGGACGGTATGGCAACCCTAATTTAATTAAAATAAAAAGGTGTAAAAAGGGGATGAAATAGATAGTTAATTAAGATACATTGAGAACAATGACTTCATAGCCAAATTATAACGGGACTTTATGTATAATGTTAGCTGGTTTATTTTGTGATAACATACTACGCACAAAAGTCGATGTTGATCTTGTTTATCTATGAAATTAGTTTGATAGAAAATTAATTACTGATTAGTAATTCAGAATTCGCTACTCCGGTAATGTGTGTACCAGGTTAGGGTTGGGCCATAATTTTATTCTGATTTACCTTATTTTAGTTCTATTACGAGTTTGGGGACTGTCTGTGTCCATAGGTCACAGTCAGTGTTCCCTCTAAGGTGTGCGCGTGTGCGCGCGCACACAGCTTTCAGAGACTGCGCACACGCATAGATTTACTGCGCACAGACGTATTTCGATGTAATGTAACAATGTGCTCGGTTGGCAGGTTGAGAAAGTTTGTTGTTGGCCCACTTATTACCCGGTTAGAACGCCAAAATTTCTTTATTGGTTTTTGCACAAATAATAGTCATTTCCAAAAAAGTGTGCACACACCAAAATTTCTGCGCACACATACTACAAAAAATTAGAGGGAACATTGGTCACAGTCCTTTTACACAACTTGATGTAAAGTAGGCGAGTAAAATTAGTTACCTCCATATCGGTACACACACTTCTGGAGCGCCCAAATTCATCTCTGATTGGAATATATAAAATGGTGAATCATCTCATGTAAGTTGCCGTATTTATGGCATGACGATGTCGGTATACTATATATCGTATTCAGATGACTAAACTCATTATAGGTTGGTCCATAAAACAATGCCTTGCATGCAGCACGATTAACTAGCTTATTACGTATTGATATAAACTTTTTATTTGTCTGATTATTGCTATGTCATGTGTTTAGTAGTTGTTACATATATACACTCAGAAGTGGAGTAGAATTAGTCCAGAGCAGAGTCATGAGTAACCATGACATCAGGGTCATTGTAGTAGAGCAATCAATGAAATATGATCTAAATCTTTACTTGTGTTGGCTAAGTAATGTGGCCTCAGTGGACTCACATTGGACCAAGGTGAATAAAATTTGATATTTGTAAGTGCGTCCGTCTATGATCGCATTCGAACCTCTGTCAGCGATTTTTCCACTTCATTAAAGGGCTTGCTATCTTGCTTAGTATAAAATTTATAAAATTTGGTTGCGAGCCTTTTTAAAAATTTATTACTTTTGGTAAAATAAGATTTCTAAAAACTGAACTTTACTCGCTCAACAAGGCGACCGTAGGTCAGAACTAATTTAGGAGAAATCGTTTTTGTAACTTCGAAATTCATAGTAAGCAAAAAGTAAAAGATATTGTACAGCTTCCAAATATAGGGTGTCGTTAATACGTAACGAAAATGACCTTGAAATAAACTGAGCCAAGTTGTGATTGTGTGGTGTGGGCAAATATAGTATTGTGTTCACAGCCGCCATTTTATTTTATAGCTGTTCACAGAACCTGCGTGAATGAACCGCTTTGAATGCAATAAAATTGAAAACCATCATTTTTATTTTATTGAAAAATACCCAAATCAAAATTTGGGTTTGCTTTTATATATATTTATTATTTATGCAATTCAGACAATAAAAGACAAAGAAACTATTGCATTGGTGTTCCCCGTGTGCCTCCGGAATGTTCCATCGCTGTTCCCATGCTTCAAAAAATTTAAAACCAACGTTACATATATGTTATGTATATGTTATGTTTTGGCGCTTCCGTAGTGTGTGAAACAAGATGGTGGATACCTGAACATAGTATGTGTACCAGGTTGGGGTTGGGCCATAATTTTAGGTACAATTATTATACGGGAGTCACTTGGCTAGTCCCCGAACTATGTGCACCAAGATGGCGCACAACCTGAACCCTAACCTGATACACATACTATGTTCAGGTTGTGCGCCATCTTGGTGCACACTTCCGGAGCTCCATGCCATTTTACGGCATAAGGAGGCACAAAAAAATATCAGTTATCCACTAGCGATACCCACACCTTTTTCCGCATATTTTTCGTTTTTTTTTATATATTTCTTTGGAATTCATCGGTCTATTCTTAATTTATGAAACATATGGCAAATGGGGATTTCAGAAGAACTGTATGCTCAATGACGTAAATTAGTTGCCTTTGGTGTTAAATCCTATTTGCTTAACATTTTTGTTTATGTATTTCATTTTATCTAAAAATCGATTCCATTGAAAAATCTAGCTTACTGACCTATTTAATATTATGAGTTTTATATCTATTTTTATATTGGAATACTAATATATTTCCTTTTACGCGTCCATTATTTATTGTTAAAGTATTAGGTTATAGCAGCATTCATATTAATTGAATCGAACATGCAATTCAAAAATTCAAATTACGTGTAATCGCGTTCTATATTGAAATTAACAAAGTTGCATCCAAGGCATTATCCACAAAACACGCCGTCACGTTCTCAGAAAAAAGCTTTGATAAATTTGAATGACAATGTCGGGTTCTTCCTTTTGTTGAAGCCTGTTTTCTTCTTTCGTACGCTAGAGAAGTTCTTTTATTGTGCCCTCATTTGAAATTCAGTCAGGGAAATTTAAAAAAAAATCTTGTTATCTTCGATACCCCGAATAAAAACATGAGGTAAGTCGCCACTCTATTTTTCTAAATTCAATATTAAATTGTTTATTTGCAGTCTTATTTCTAACGTATATAGCATACACAGTATAAAGTATATAAAAATAATATGTAGCAAAAAGCGACATAAAATTATTATTATCTTATAAATATTCGGGATAAAAACAAGTAATCAAGGAAAATGACATCCCTCCTCGATGAATCTGACTCTGACGATGGAGGTTCAAATTGGCAAGTGGAGCTCCAATCTCACAGGTAACTATTTCATAAAATTAGTAAAATATAGGCATATAACAATGATAGGAAGTAGGTCTCGCGTAATCCCAGCTGATAGAATAGATTGGATTTCTACGAGCATAACTACCTCTCCGTCGTTTATGCGGGTGAATCCATATGCATATAATGCAAAAATGCTGTAGCAAAAATGAAGCAACTATTCTAAGTGATTCAAGACCATCGAATCACTTATGATAGAATAGATATAAAGAAAAAATGGCCGTTTATAATATCATTTGTAAATACAAAAACTGTTAGCTATTTCCATGCACTCCCAGGCTTTTTGAACTTATTGCCGGGCGTGGGACCATAGCTCCCTGCGTGAATAGGCTGCTGTATTGTCTCTTGATACTCCTTATAAGTATGATAATTTCTAAATATTGAGAATTATGCAAATTTTGAAGACAAAAGTATCGGCTTTGACATTACATGTGGACGTGGTGTACTTCGTGCGTTTTTTCTTGTTCCCTGGCACGCTTTACCAGGAATTGTTCTTTGACCAGCGTGAGTCATAAACACGGTTAAAGCAGCCGACTTCATTATTAAAAAGTCACATGCAACGCATTGCATATGACTGAACTTTTGTCATGACTGTTCGAACCAAGACAAAAAAACGGGGTTTGGATAAGAAATTAGATTAGTTATTGACGCCTTATTATATTTTTTCTAATTTGGATTTTTGTTGTTGTTGTTGAGTCCTAGGCACTTGACTGATTTGTTACCCGTCATTTTTTTCATCGAATCGCAAGTGTTAAATTATTTTTGTTTTGATAGGATGGAAATTATTAACCGGGTCGAATATTTTCGAATATCTCCAATGTTACAAGCACACATGATATTCGATCGAGATGACGACGAAGAAATTTCAAATCAGTTTACACATCCAACTTCCAAAATACAAATGAGTGAGTGTAATATTTGGCCTAACCAAATTATATATTTACTAAGCCTAAGCCAGTGTTTCTCAAACTTCCATGATCTGAACCCGCCTTTCGAAGACTCTCAACACGTATGGCTCTTTGCTCCATTCTTAGTTTTGCTATTAACGCATTTTCACCAACTAATTTATGCGCCATGTTTAATAATAATTAAAAAAAAAATAACAAATTATACACAATTTACTTTAAATTAACGTAGTCATCGCGAATGGCGCCTAGTGAAGGCTTTGAAATCGTCGATGGCCCTCTAGGGCAGAGGGCCCAGTTTGAGAAACCCTGGCATTAGCTTTGGTGTGGATGACATGAACAATACAAATATAAAAAAGTGTCATAGATCGAGCTTGGTTATACGCAGTGGTGGGATTCAAATTTTTTGTCAGCCGGTTCCTTCACAAAAGTCATATTTTTCAGCCGGTTATGTTACAAACAGAACATTGACAGTTATCAGTAATGCTAACCGGTTCGCTGATCTCATAAAATTCGGTGAGACGGTTTTATAGAACCGGTGCAAACCGGCTGAATCCCACCACTGGTTATACGCACTCACTCGGAAGAAGGAGTTTATCTCCAGAGCAAAGTCACGAGTAGGACGCTAAAGGACAGCGTTGAGTAGTCTAAAATATGTCGTGTTGGCTAATGCAGAAAATTATTACTTTGTGGTAATGTGAATTCACTTGACTCAAATCATCTAAATTTGACTCATGTGCGAGTCTGGACTTGATGATTTGCTTCGAAAACCGAGTATTGTGAAGTACAATAAATATTTTCTTGTATCCTATTTGTTTTTTAATTGATAATATGGAGGAAGCTTTATTATTACGTCGACCAGAATAGAACAATCGCCATGATGAAAAAATTTGAAAATACAACAAGAACCATGTTCTTTCATTGTGCACTGAATGGACCATGCGCCATCAATGTTGGTCGCACCATTTTTTCGCTTATAATTCCGCAGTTGCAGATGACTACTTAAATCTAATATTTTTATGATTTGAATATTTTCAGTAATAATCTAGTACTTGCACTACATTTTTCTATTCAGATCGAACAATTGATAAACTACTAAAGAAAGGCGATGAAAACTATTCGAAATTTCTGAAAATACTTTCCACATCATATCCTGATATATACAAGTCCATGACGGGAAAAGAACCACCACCGACACCAGGTATATACACTGTTGCAAGCCCTGGTTTTTTATTTTATTTTAGAGATTATAGTTTATTGGGCACAAAGTATACATATGGATCATTTTGCTGAATTGTTGCTGTCGGAAACTCGCTTTTCACTGAGGCATTTGCTTTTTATTATTAATTAAATTTTCTCAGGATTACGGGTCCGTATGTTTTTTCTGACAATATTTTGCTTTTTGTTTTAATTCATGGGAACACTATTTTAACAATAAACTTTCGTGCTCGCAATAGCTATTTAAAAGTAATCTTAAAAATAAATATCGTCTAGTTGACAATAATCAAATTTTGCTGCAGTGAGTTTGGAGAAAATCCTCGAACGCTATTTTGTTCATGAATTTGCTCGGCAATTGGCGCATTGTGCGAAGCGTTAGGATTACTCTGCGCGGTTCGCTAGTTCGAATCTTGTTGGGAAATACTTATATGCGAAAGGATAGCTGGAGGCCGAGGCTCGACATAGGATTGATCGTCTTACTCTCCCTCAGAGTAAATATCACAGTTTTGATCCTGATTCTAGCACAATGACTTGTTGGTCGACCTGTGAGTAATTTTACGACTTGGCATCTGAAATCACTGTACTCGACTCTCATTTACAGAATCAAATCAAATGATACACGACCTAATCTTCGAAGTGGGTGACCAAGCGCATGTGCTAGTTTCATTATCAACAAGTCAAATCTGTCATCACGTTTTTTTATTTCTAATTATAGAAAAGCCACCAGATGTGATTCCGCCTCATGTCTCTTCACTTCCTGGTACAAATGATGAACTCGTGGCAATTTTGATCGAGAGATTTGAACAGAAAAAATTTGAATGTGAAGAATTGACTCGGCAAAATATGATAAAACAAAGAGAAATTGAAGAAAAAAATCGAGAAATGCAAAACCTGAAAAGTCATATCGATGAGTTCAGAAGAAGGTAAAAGACAGTTTATTTTTATAACCATTTAAATTCGATACTCCCAAAATATGTGAACGAAGATGGTGTACAACGTAACGTAGTATGTGTACCAGGTTAGAGAATTTCCTTATTTTAGTTTTATTACGAGTTCGGGCTCTAGCCAACTAACTGCCGTAATATTTGTACCTGAAATTATGGCCTAACCCTAACCTGGTACACATACTACGTCACGTGTCCGCCATCTTGGTTCACATACTTCGGGAGTACCTTAAATTCAACCTAATCCGAGGGAACAAGTCAGCCAGAAATAGCATTGATACATCTGATGTGTTTAAATGCGTAAAGATGGCGACCATTTTTAACTCTTACATTTAGGCGTATCATAAGCAGTGACGCGATTCAAAATTTTAAGATTAGATTCTCTTATGTATCGAACTCACTAACAACAGATTTCCTTATTTCAGAAAATGTATGACATTATACGTAAACTACATTAACATGACACATTTAACAAAAATCTTATACATACCATTTCCAACACAAAAAAATTCCATGACGTTCCAGGAATGGTTCGCGCGAACCCCCTTAATCCCACAACTGCTCACCGGTAGGCTACATCTAAGTAGGCTTACCACACGTCTTGAGCAGTCACGGTTTTGATAAACTGTCCCGGCGTCCCGCTCGTAGACTTAAATGTTCCGATCATGCATGATTTAATATCAATCCAACATTCACCTATGTTTTCCTAATATTTGAATATTACTAAGTCTCTGAATCGACTTGAGGCCTACCCAAATCGCACTGTCCCGTTTTTTTGTTTCATATATATAATAATCCTACATATAATTGCCTGTTGGCCGGAGCGTAATCTCTCGAAAACGATCCAAAACTTCATCTAAATATAAAATTGTTACCTTTGTTTGTATAAATAATTATATCGATAATTAACGCATGATTTGTCGGTCGACCATACTCACCTTGAAGTCTTCTTGCCCGTTCCCTTCCGATTGTATTTTATGATCATTTTGTTTTGACAACAATGCGTACTTCAGTAGTTTTAGAATAAATCTTTCTCTCTTTTTCTATAGGAGTGAACGTTATGAGAGTATGGAACGGGATATGTCAGCGTTGAAAGAGAATCTAGATGACGTAAAAAATCAGAGCTATACAGTTTGTATGAGACTCGTCGACACCGAGGAAGAAAAGTCAAGACTACGAGATCGCAATATGAAACTGAGAATGGAAGTTGACAGACTAAAAGTTGACCTGAAAAAGGTAATTTTATGGGGAAATTTTCTATTTTCATAAGAATTTTTATCATTTTACATACAACAAGCCAGAAGTGGGTGGCGCGAACCCGGATGTATCAGCTAACCCGTTATTGTTTTAAATCTATTAGTACGACATTACGCAATCTGTTGCAAGCGTGTTCGATACAAACGAGAACCTTGAATCTTCAAATCGGTGTTGTGTCGCTCTAGCGATTTTCAATTTGCTCAGACTAAAAATCTAAGTTTTCACCTGCGAGTATATAAGACTACTGGGAGGAGAGATATAACCAAAAATAGCATTGCTACACCTAATGTGTTTAAATGTGTAAATATGGCGACCATTTTAACTCTTTATGTGTATCATAGGCATTTAGGTGTATCATAGTGGTTGGATTGAAGTAAATATGACCCAAAAAGTTACATTTTATGAACAACATTTACAGTGTTATAAAAGTAAAAATGGAAAACAAGTTTGGTTGTGGCAGCATCAAGCGGGCCAGATTAAATTACCCAACGGGCCGGATTTGGCCCGCGGCCGTAGTTTGCCCAAGTCAGGGTCACAACCATAAGTGATGGAATAAGCTTGTCTAGAACAATTAACTAACCCCCGTTTCGGATACAAATCTTATCTGACGTCGATTATCTTTCAAAGCATAATTTTATTTAATTTATACATTTTGTTTATCATCAGATGGAAAGCACTGTTAATTCTGAACGCAATGTTTCATTTCGTCTACGAAGAACTCTTGAAACAGGACCGAGTGTCGCCGTCATCAGAAAACTACAACAAGAAATTGATGATTTAAAGTTGAAACTGGCCCAGTCTAACATGGCCATGGTAAGAAGTTTTTATTTTATAGTTTTTTTGTTCTCAAAATGGGATGTAGGGACAAATAAACAGTTAAAATCTCCAAAGTGAAGGCTAATTATTGTAGTCGGTATAGCGATGAAGTTGGTTGCGATGGCCCAGAAGTTAGTACGTTGAACCTATGGATCTATAGCATTGTTTATTTTTTATGTGTGTATTTATTGGTTTTACGCTTCATAAAGTGGGTAAAGCATTCTTCACTAATCACTAATGAATATTCCAACAAACAAATAGTTATTTATCCATATCTAAAATCCAACTATGCCAACGCCGGAAAGATAAATATCGCACTACCATCTCTATGGTGTGTAATGAATTTTACTGAGCCAAGCTCAACCGAAAATTTCCAGACTATACCGAGAAATACAGCAGCTCTGGGCGTATCAGGAACTTGTTTAGAAAATGGTTACAAGCAAGTGTGAAAAATGGAGAAGAATTATTGTAAATTCTTACTTACCGAATTAAAAACATTATGATGGTATGGTCCAAGCCCAGGCAAAAAGTTTTATTATTGATTAGTTGTGATCATCAAAATTCAGTTCGCAAATATAACCAATTTCTACACACAATCCTTCACATTTGAGGCGTTTTTGAAGTTAATTCACTAAATAGGGCGTTTCTCCGAAAATCACTCGCTAGCATTAAAATATCCTAAGATTTTTATTAATAATAAAAAGATAAAAAAGCGAAAGTAAAAATACTTGGCAATAAAAATAACAGATGGGTGGAAATGACCAAAAAAGAAAAATATGAATAGTTAATCTAATAATGCGTTTGTTTGTTCATACAGACCAATTTGGATAACGATGTTGACACTCGTCTCCAGATTCTTCACACAGACAAAGAGGAAGCGATACAAATGTACGCTGAAGCCACTGAGAAATTAAATAAATTAAGAGAAGAATTTAATGAAACCGAGACCCAACGAGACAGAGTAAGTTTAGACCACACTTTAAATTGTAGCTTACGTATGTTCTCGAAGTGCTCTATACGGATCCCAAGGGTTCTGTGACAGAAACACTCCGCGAGCTATTAGTTTACTTATTAAAATATTAAATTCTTTTTAAATACAAAGCAGCTAATACATCCGAGTTATTAAATAAAGTAATTTTAGTTTACTCGGGAACATTAATCTAGATATAACAATGTTTTTTTTATAATTTTTTGATGATTTCATTATTGGGCTTCGTTAATATTATCAAATTCTTCACTGGCTCAATAACACCAAAAATTTGAGTACATAGTGTACATCATATCATAGTGTACAGTTGCGCTTTGATAAATTTCGACGGGCGGGAGACTTAACGCAATTAATGGTGAACAGCGAAAGGTCAGTATCTGAACGTACGTGTCCAAATATTTGAGCACTGCTATCTAGTACCATAAATTGAGGCTTCCGTAGCGCGAGGTCTAACACCATATGTCGCTTACCAAGTGGAGGCCTGAGGTCCGGTTCGGCGTAGGGTCACAAATTAAGTGTTTATCGTATCCATCAGGGTTGGGAAATGCACCGATATAGCTCGCTACAGTACAGTAGCACCCATTAATAATCTCTGTGCCCCGTTAACTCATGCCCGTTTTCAATAAAACATGTCCATATTTATATGTTGAATTTCGTTGTTTCTGACCCCAACTGTTTTTGAATAAATTTTCACCTACTTTTACGATAATCTTTGCATATTATAACTGCGTCAGTATGTACGTACATATATTCTGAAGTATTGAATTACCCACGCAGTAATAACATTATTTGCGTTGACGTAATACTTTAAAATCTGATTAAGATAACTTTTAACATGGTACTGGTGGGCGGAGATGTATTACATCAGTTCAAATGGCAGTAGGCAGACTTTAAACGATCATGCATTTTGTATAAGAGCATGTATTCAGATGGAAAACCTTATGTACGGCCAATAATTTGATTATAGTGCCTTTTGATAGATAGAAAGTGGTACCAGTTTTGGTAAATTTCTCCATTTGTCTGTTTTGGAACTCTTTATTTTTCCTCACTATGCTTAAAAATGACTTTATTTATTCAAATTGTGATGGATCTTTAGCTAGTGTTATGCGTAGGCCCAACTCCAGTAGTTTATATTAATATGTGCATAAATAAGTATTGCCTAATAATAATGAGCCGAAGAATATTTATAATATTACAGCAAATACAAATCAGAAATTATCCCCAAGAACAACAAAATACTTCTCTGGTTTGGGAAACCTGACCATAAGGTCTATGCAAAGCTAGTCAAACTTTGGATAGAAAACGTAGTTTATGGTAAATCGATAACTTTTTTTGAAAAAAGACTTTACACCGTTCTGCATACGACTAACATCATCCTAACACTGTTCAAATTGCGGTTAGTTTGTACGCTGCTGTTTACCCCACATGTGAGACATGTAAATATTTGTATTCTGAATCCGGGGGAGAAAATATGTAACATATTTCGAAATTACGAGAAATCGATTGCTAGCTATTTATAAGAAGGTTTGATTGTTTACTCAAACATTTTACGCACCAAGACATGCGTAATAAACTTGATATATAGATATACTTGAATATGTCATATTGGGCCCAACTAAAATGAGTTTGTTCACCCTTGACCCGGATGAAGAAGCAACACATTTCATAACTTTTATCAGCGATGTTATGTATTTATTGACATTGTTGTTCAATAAAACAAACAATAAAGTTTCGAAGCCGGTCATGTATTTTCGAATATATCATTAATTGATTTACAATAGCAGAAAATAACACAATTGGCCCATTTCATAAAATTCTATCGAACAAAGGCTCCAAAACAGTATTTTCTGATATAGCTATTCTTTAATAGGCTTGCGGGTGTTAGACATGCTGTCTAACTAATCACTTGGGGTTATGATTTTACGAGAATGACTGCGGAATCTGTATACACGATAATAGGTATACATGATACATGCATGAATTGCTTCCGTGTGCGTCACAATGGTTCTTCTTTGTCTCCAAATACGGGTAGTCTTTTTAATAAATTCAAATTTAAATTTATTTAATTTGATTAATTGATTCATACAAAAGAGCGACGGTTTCACGTTCTTTGACCTGACATTATTATGATAGTACGCATTTCCTTGCTAGTTGTATATATCATACCATAAAGATCTTTCGCTAGTATAAAGTTTTTCATATAATTTATTTTATAATTAAGAGATGGATCTAGAATCTAGATTCTAGAATAACTTTTACTGGAAGATCGAATTTTTAAATATCGTATTTATTTGCGAATTCACGGCGCATATCATTTGGACACTTCATTTATTAAGGTAAACATTTATTTTCGTAAATTCGTAACTATACTATCTAATTTATAGAGGTTGCAAATCTGTCTGAATTCCTTAAAGTAGCGTAAACTGAATCCTGCTGACATTATTTATGATTTATTAAAATAATAATTGAATTTGATTTCTGATCTGGTATTGCGAAATAGCACACCGGTATTACATTTTACTCTTACAATATAAATCATTCTAAAACGCTTCCAGCGGAAACATTATATTATAATTTTGGTTCGACTTAATATCAGATATCCTCTGACCTCATGATTTCAATTTCCTAAGCGGAATAGTACTGCAAATCTATGGATTGGTTTCCTCGAAAAAGGGAAGTTTAACCCAAACGTAACAGTTTTTTTAGCCATACTTTATGACGAAACAATGATAGACTAATGGGTTAGAACAATGTGAAGAACTATTCAAACGGAAGAAATTGCATTTACATTGAATCGAGATCTGAGCTTTTTACTTTAGTTTGACCTACAAGTGACCTTTGTGAATATGTCATGATTGTAAACCATAGAGTTCCTCGCAAAAATCACACCTACGCGAATTAACAGAAATTATGTCCAAAGCATTTACATTTATCAACGCTGAAGTGGGACGGGATACGTTTCCACTTCTTCTTCTGCCAATCATTGCGAATGCCGGGATTGTTTTATCCCGAATCATTGCTTTCGCACTAGACGTCGAAGTACACGCAGTCAGTATACACCTAAACCAGCAAAAAAAATTATTCAGCTCAATTGTAACAACCTCATTCCGTTCCATAGGACAATGTGACGATATATATCTTAGATTAGCCGGAAGTTAACACTACATGTAATGCTCAACTGTTTGTGGTAGAGCGGTGAATGAGACCATAAAACGAAGCATATTCAGCAAGATACTACGAAACCGTTTTTTGTCTATTTATATGAGAATATGAACAAACGTGATAAAATAATTTTTCTAAAATTGTAAAAGCAAATATCAACATTGTACCAACTTTAATTTCAGTATATTGAAGAAAACGAACAACTGAATCTTCAAGTATCTGCTTTGAGTGATGATTGTGAAATGTACAAAACAAGACGTGATGCGGTGTGGCAACAATTACAGGAGGTGGAAAAGGAAAGAGACCAGGTAAATAGAATAAATAAACACCAAATCGAAAGATTATTTATCAGAAACAATAAAGCTAGTAGTGTAAATAACCATTTATAGATATAATAATATTATGGGGTTTGCGTCACAAAATAATGGTTTTTAATTTTTTTTATTTCATTTTTTATTCAATTCTACTATGACATCGTGTTCACGCTTCACATGGCATCCGCTACAATCAATTTATCGTTTTGCTTGTATCACGATATTTTTATATACTGTGGCAATTTTTATTTGTATTTATATATTTCCTGAATGTTGTATTAAACTAATTAAATTGTTTTTGAATATGATATGAACAAATTTTTTTTAGTCAAGCTAGACTCTATTATTGAAAACCGAAATTCCGTGATTACTTATCCATAGGTATCAGTGGCTACAGTGTATTGCCTTGTTCGAATCTAAAGGCGTTAAAACTAAAAACGAAAATCCGGTCCGAAAGCGCCTGTTCGTGTTTCTTTTATAATATATAAATAATTTATAGATAAAATAGCATTCATAGATTGAAAATCATCAAGAGCCATCACCCACATTTGAACCGAAGCTAAATCGATTTTTCTGCCTAAAAATATTCTTTTCGGTCATTTAATGTTTTTTTTTGTTTATCTAATTTTGTTTCCGAATCGATTTACCCTTCAGGTTTTGGTAAAAATGATGATGAAAATATTTATCACGAAAATATTTACTGGAATTAAGAATAAGGCCGAAATAATTCCGAAGCTATAGAAATTATTCTGGAAAAATCTCTATAGAGATTTATTAGTACCCCAGTAATATGTGGCCGATTACATAGAAAATTGCGAATCCTTCTTTTCTTCGTACTTCTGAATCTGGAAGTGTTGTCGAGTTGTGAAAATGAGGTTGAGACAATTACTTCCAGCTTTTCGCATACATACATACATACATACATACATACATACATACACACACACACACACACACACACACACACACACACACACACACACACACACACACACACACACACACACACACACACACACACACACACACACACACACACACACACACACACACACACACACACACACACACACACACACATACATACATACATACATACATACATACATACAAGTTCTACCAAACCCGAACAGAAAACCTTGGTGTAGCGAACTATAAGATAAACAATAAAGTTGCAATAAAGTTCGAGCTCAAGCTTGTAATGCCATGTATAAACAGTTAGACCACTGTATTAGTTGGGATTGGAACCCAAGTTTTTAATAGGCATTGAACCATTAATTGTGCTCTCAAAAACACATTCTTCAGCTTTTGAAAGAACGAAACGAGGCTCAAATTACAGCACAGAATCATATGGATGAGAAAACAAAATATCGAACTCAGATTCGAAAACTCGAAGAAATGCAGGATCGATTATCACACCAATTACGAGAGAAAGAAAACCAAATGAGAGAATTAATAAACCGTTTGAAAAAAATGAAATTGGTAAGTTTGCTTGTTTCCAAGCAGTTATTGACGTATTGTTTAGCTTAATGCTGTTTAAATACATGATTAGAATATTGGTGGTTGAATTATCGGTTTCTTGGTTTCTTTCTGACCACTACTTCAATTGCACCGATGTCGTGAATAATCCAGGGAAAAACTGATATGAAATATCGTGAAATGAATATCGACATAAATTTCTTTTTTAAGGAAATTTGCCCAAAAGAAAGTATACGCGCACTCATTTATAAATGAATGAGACTGATATCTAAGCGCAGTCACGGGCGACCCTTTAAATGCAAAATGACGCCAAACTTATATATAGTCTTGCTGTTACCTCTACTTATATTGTCATATTTTACTAGCTGTAAGTTCCATATGAAATCTTCAAAATTCAGTGCCGGTGACTTAACTGCAGTGTAAAGAGATTAAATTTTTTAGCTATTTTTCGAAAAACGATATTTTTTCTTGGTTCCTATCAAGCCGTATTTTTATTAAGTGTTATTTTTCATGCAGGCGGCAACACCACCAAATGACGATAATGACGCGGAACCTCCTTCCTCAGGTAAGATTTTTCAGAGTTATGAAATTTCGTTGCAAAAAAATTTAACTGGAGATTACATACAAGGTCCCGACAATACTTAGCTTCGCGCTTTGCCCAAAAACTTTGACAAATATGGACGCTAGGTTTTGGTAGCAGAGACTCGATTTCCATATGTGAACTCAGCTACAGAGCATAGCAGATAGATTGAATTGGGTAGAGGGTAGGAAGAAGTTTACATATTCTGTAGAGGGTTAAACATTTGCACAATGATGACGTATTAAATTTATGCAACTAAAAATGACCATGGCTGCATGTATAGATTCTTGAACTCAGTGGAGGCGTGAGAAAAAAAATAAAAAGATGACATTGATAAATCACATGATCTTTCCGCAATACCACCAAAAAATTTTCTTCCGTGTATGCATTGGAAGGCGAGAATTGCTTACTTGTGACTTTTTCAACGAGCACTTTCTTTCTACATACTATAGTTTAAGATATACCTGCAAAAATTAGTAGGCCTACGGAATAAATTTTTTGTGAATTAAAATTCGGTCATTTCTTGGTAGTGTCATCCTACACAGGAATTTTGAACGCTTCCGTGTCATTAATGAGATTATTGAAGTTCCGTTAGAAAATTTGTATTTGTTGATGTAACAAGTACAACTTGGTCATAGATGCTTCTCTCACAAAGTGACCTATTTATAAATTGTCATTTATTCACAGCAGGCTCAACTATAACATCAACCTCAATAGGGGTGAGATTGCTTTTAATTCGCTTTATGTTTCGTTGAATTTATTACTGTTTATTGTGTGTGTTTACTTATTTGTTTAAAAGTGACTGAATGATTTATTTTGCCTTTTTGTTTGTAACTATCAAAGTGCATTGCTAACTTTGACTGAGTACAGAGCATTTTTTAACAAAAAGTGTTTCTCGTTGTTTTTTTGTAGTTATTTTTACTTTAATATACAATTTATCTCCAGTATATGCATCTGTTTTACAAATACTTGAGACTGTTAAACATGGTAAGGGATCTGGAAAAGATAATAACTGAGCACAAATGTATAAATCAAATCTTTATCGATGTTTTTTGTAATTACTCTTGAATATGGAAAAATATTGATTTTCACTGAATAATTCCAATCAATCACCAATTTGTACAAGAATATGAATTTAAATTTCAAATGTGAATATATTTCAATGAAATTGACAAAAATTTATTGTATAGACAAATTATCATAATTTCACTGATATGATCATTCACAAAATCAATTTTTTTTCAAACACTCCGATTTATGTTTCGTCTTACTTCACTTTGATGATTATCACACATATCTTTAACAACATATGTGTGTGTTAGGTGATTCTTTTCATTTCTCAATCTTAATTTTCTATGTTACATTATATCCACTCGAATTCTAATTTGGACGAGTGAATTGCTATTGGTAACTCAATTCAAAAATCGCGCCAAGGCGGGTCAATTTCAAATCACCACATCGTGACGTTATTATACCGAGATGACCGGCGACTTCAAAACGCTATTCAAGTGAGAGCCAGTAGAACCGGGTCGAAATCATCTCAGTGTTTTGATTCGAATTTTAAAATTTTGCATTAGTACTTCAAAAATTCGTTCATACTTCTTTTACAAACTTTTTATACTTTTCCGAAATTAGAATTAAGCTCGACCACTTTTTGTGAGATATTACCCAAAGGGACGAAATCTAATAGATTTTTTAAATTCATAGTGATCCGTGAATTGGTAACGTCATTGCATGCGAAATCTGTAATGTTTCACTTTATGAACATGTATTTTCAATGTCGAAAATAATTGTCATTTTTTGCTTATTTTATCTACAATTGTAAAAAAATCGATTCCTTTCAACGATTTGTGGTATTCAGGGGTTCGTCTATACCCGTTTTTAGAATGCCGGGACAATACGCGGAGTCGATCTTGTTTTTAGAACAATAAGTAAGAGCTATATTGTTTTCGGAAATGGAAAATGGAGGGAACCCTTTGTTAGTGATTTTATTACAAATATAGAAATTGTTCTCAAAATTTGAATACCATCACTGCCTTTAACTGTATTGTAAATGTTTAATGTAGATGCAACAACAAAAATTAGAGTTTCCATTTTTTTCCAAAAAAAAATATCAGTACTGAAATGATGATACCAGTATGTTTATGAATGCTTGTTTTGTCTATCTCTACTTTTCACAGTAAATCGTCCAAATAACAATGTCATTGCATGATACATGTTGCTAACTTCACTCAATATTTACTTCATAGACTGATGATCAGGGGTGGGGATGTACCAGGGCCCGAGTTCGCAATATAAAGTCCTTTGATGAGGTAAGTTTTGACACAACAAGAATTAGTTTTTCATTCAATTTATTAGAAAAAAAAAATTAAAAAAAAAGCGTGAGCCACGTAACAACGAAAATTTGACTCGACTGTTAAAACAGCGCTGCGGAGTTGGAGTCAAAAAAACAGAATCGTGTTTCAAAAAGTTAGTTGTTCGGATACAGCATCGAAGTTCTGAATTTAACGGAGTTTGAATATCACACTTTTAGTGGTGCTAATTAAAAACAAAATTTCCGACAGAAACACGTAAAGCATTAACTGAGCCTTTTTAGAAGCGATTTTGGAAGTTCATTGCATTCGCCAAAGTTTTTGTCATTTAAATTCAATTTTTCCCGGTTCGGAGCTGGAGTCGAACTTTTTACTTTTTAACAGCCCGAAGTGGCAGTCAAAATTCTTTTTAACTAAAATTTTCCCCAACCCAGCTTTTGAAGTCGGAATCGATTTCAAATTTCCACCAAGTCTACAGCCCTGCGTTAAACGAGAATTGAACGAATTCTCCTTTTTTTTTTTATTTTTCAAAATTATAAGAAATTATATAAATAATTCGTGGTCGAAGATCGTCTTGCTATTGAGCATGAATCTTACAATAAATAACTGACTAAGTAATTCCCATGCCCGACATGGACTGGTAATCGGACAAGAGGCGTGGTTCGCTTGGAAGCCGGCTTATCGGCCTCACTCTTCCCGGGATAAATATCTAAATCCTTCCCTATCAAAACATTGCTCGCGTTTGCATGTCATGCATATATATGTTACTGTTACTAAAGTCTGGAAAGTGAAAGTCATGTGCATTTGTCTCCTATTGGTAAAGCTATAGGGAGTCATTCATTTTAAATACTTCGGTATTACAAGACTGCATGCGTGATTGTACGTATCCGTACTTACCCGGGGACTTGCTTGAAGGTGTGAAATCACCATCAAGATACTGTATATCCACGAAATAATGGATAGTACTTGTTGTAATACGAGCATAATGTGGGTTATACAGTTCATAAGTATTTTCATGCTTGGCTGTGTGGGCCATCGACCCAGAGTAGAAATAGTCCCGATGAAAAAGTTGCAAGACCACCGACCACGAAAACCGAACGACTTGTCAATGTCTTTGCAGTAGCGTGCGTTAGGAGCATCCGTTTGGTCACTGATTTATGGGTGCCACTTTATTTGGTCTCATATATACAGTTCTCGCTACAAGGATATCAGTAGATAGTGGTGAACAGAAGACTTGAGAAAATTATAGTCAACGTAGATGAAATTGGGGATGACAATTAAATAGTTAACATTCCATGCTCACCCTATTGTCATAGGCATCAACATCATTGTGTTTAATTTGATGCTTTGATCTGGTTCTTTTATTACAGTTTTCCGTCAAATCAGAATTCGACGGCACTGAAGATCAGAAAACCCTGAGAGTATCTGGCAACGATGGAATCTTTCCTGAAATCCCACTCGCTGCAAACTACGGAGAAGGATGCGGAAAAATTTTGGTTGGAGAATGTGTATGCCTAACTTTATATATACGCATTACGGCTAGATGTGGTCCCTAATTAAAATAATTATTTTACAATCTGCAATTGACCTTTAGCTCAAACTTCGACGACCTTTCACTAGCGTCTCACTTATTCAGAAATATATGTCCCATGTCTCAATCTTTATGAAACTTGAACGTGCTATGGAAATATGAGTAACTGCTCACAGTTCTGAAAACCAACGTCTGCGTGACCACACAGCGTGCTATGCGTTGGATATGAAGCTTGTCACTAATGAAACTGAACTGCGTGTGTATGACGACCAGTTACGGCTTCATCATCCAATTTCAAGTCCATGCGCTTAGCTAGTTAGTGCCATATGTTACTTTGATCGCTATCGAAATGAGTCTTTAATTGCAAACATAGCATCTCGTATTTTAATGAGAAAGTTTGAAACGGTTCGATGACTGAATAGTTTAAAATCTGTCATTGGTGCAGTAACTAAAAACGTAGTTTGCTTCTTCACCACGAGTGTAAATTTACTGTCAAGCTCAGAATACGTACTTGTGTCATTTGTGAGATTGAATGAACAAACACTTGAGACGCCATGACACGTTTGCGCCTCATTTTCTAACGGTTGAAACATAGCTTATACGAATGCAAACTACGCTATTTGTCACATTCACACTGTTATGTCAGTAATTCAATAAGATAGTGTCTATATAAAGTCTATATAATGTATCTATTAATACACCCAGTGTTTAAAAATCCTATTTATCTGGATTAACTTGTGTACTAAGAACTTGCTTTATACTTCTCCAGCCTCCAAACAAGCAACGGAAAGTCAGAATAGCACGCAAGAAACGTACAGACACAAGACAAGCCCCGTCTGGCGCGAGAAGAAAAACCAGCGAAAGCCCATCTCGGACGTCGTCAACAGATTCGGAATATCAGAGGTTGGAGCATTGAAACGTTTGTCCCTAATTTCAGCTGGAAATTTGTCAGTGTCAAGTTTCAAATCAGCTTGAGCTGTATATGAATGACGTCATCGCTATGACGTCATTTGTGCTGTGCGATTGGTTGTTATAATGCATGACCAGATGTCAAGCTTCTTGTGTTTGTGCATTTGTGCATGTTAATGCCATGGACTTCACCAGGCATACCAATGAAGCATTCGGTAAAATGGTGCATGCTGATATATCCGGAAGCATTCCGGATTCTCGGGCTTATCCGGTAAAGTGTTGTGGCCAAATTAATTTTCTTGAACAGATTATCGAGCCAGAGTTTATCGACAAAAAAAGTTCGATAATTTCGGGGTTACTTCAGAACTGCGATCGATAAAAAATTCAGATTTATATCTATGCTATTGGATTGTACGACTCTGGGCTGGGCTTGCAATCCGTAATAGCTGTATATCCAAATTCGAATTATTTCATTTCGTGTGTTTTGTATTTGTGATCTGAATAATTTTTCCTGCACTTTGTCGTTTTGATGCTGCTGTAATTTTTCTTGTTTTAACTCTAACTCTCGTTGTATTTATATCTTCTAGAAACCAATCATATGTTGACTTCGCCTAAGCCAGTGGTTCTCAACCTTTTACTGACCGCGTACCACTTTACTGTTCTTTACTATGGCCGCGTACCACCGACAAAGCCCCTTTTTGGCGCGGGGAAAATACACAAGAAATGTGCCGTTGGGGTATTTTATATTGTGGCACTACATTCTTTGTGGCGTAACGCGCGAAACGGACAAAAACATGCCCATATCGCTTTATTTGATAATGAGAAAGCGGGCGAGGGCAATCTCTGAAGACAAGGACTGGTAGCGCACAAGCGCTATGGACGTTTCCCCGACTATTGGCCCCGGAAAAATTATCCCTATACTTTACTATTGTAAAATTTATGCTTATTCTTAGAGTGTTTTGATGTGTTGGCGCTTATAAACTGATTTACGTGTTTGAATCCATCGATTCTATTGAAATTAACCAACCATGTGTCGTTTGCAGGTACTGATATAGCTATGTTTAGCCTTCTCCATCGCAGCATTTGTGAGATTCGTTTTTAATTACTGCAACTAATGTAAAGCTCCGCGGAAAACATAATGACGATTAAGTTGATTAATTCACAATTATTTTTTTGAAACACTATATATCACTCAAAACTACTAAAACGAGGAAATGTTTGCAACCATGCCGAGGGGCCGGGTGCAGGAATTGCAATTATTACGTGTTACGTCATTATTGACTCATTGCTGATTGGTTATGGTTACGGAAATAAATAAGGAATCTGATGCTCGGGAAAACATCCATAAACGCTGTTCAGCGAATACAAACAGAAAGGAAGATAAAGCTTTGCCGGCACATTTTAGCCAACTGAAAGGTTAATTGTTACGATAATCCAAAGCCGCTCGCGTACCACTTGAAAAGCTCCCGCGTACCACTAGTGGTACGTGTACCACAGGTTGAGAACCACTGGCATAAGCCCTAAATGAAGAGAACAAAAAATCAATTTTCAAAATTAAAGGACCGTTTGATCCATGAAATACTTTAATTTGTATATTTTTAAAGTATTCAAAAAATATGTAGTTAGTCCCATCATTTTACTTCGGATTAATATATATATGTTTCCAAACCGAATTTATCAAACAACGATTTGTTCTACCTTGGAACTTGAGTTTACCTGTGACACGAAACTTGTAAAAATTATGTTTTTTTCAAAATTTTAATGACTATTCCCAACTGTAATGACATCCCAGTGATATTCACCAGGATTTGTCTCAATACTTTTATTTCTCTGTGTACATATGTAGCATGAAATAAATTGAATACCGTTTTATGCATGAAGAATCATCTGTACAATTCAGTGTGTGTCGTTGAACATTAGAAATTTTGGGATTTATGAGATAATTGTTGGGTACTCCTGAAGTATGCGCACCAAGATGTCGCACAACCTGAGCCCTAACCTGGTTGTGCGCAATCTTGGTGCGCATACTTCAGGAGGTCCAATTGTTTATTGGTAATTTGGAATTTTATGTCTTGCAACCTTCTACCGTGCGATTTCGACGCATTTATTCTGCATCAGAATAAAGTGTTGTTTAATTCGTTGCATTTATTTTCAAATAAATCTTGATCTTATGCACGTAATTGTGATTCCGATTGTTTGGATTATTTGTTGCTGTGATACAATATTAAGAATAACAAAACATAGGTTGGATTTTTAAAACTTACCTGAAGTAAGGACCAACCAACATCGAAGCAACTAATTTAATAATTTAATTTTAATTATTGCTTTACTGTGAAACAGTGGGTTCCAACCCTGCTTCCGTGTCGCCCTATAGTTCCGCACGTTTGAAATAAATTCCTAAAGTTTATATTTACATCGTTCAAATATGGTCAAATACCTATTAGGTATCGTCAAACTTTCTACACCTGAAATATAGTTTTATTGGTTCTCGTGAAGTATGCGCACCAAGATGTCGCACAACCTGAATCCTAACCTGGTACATAACCTGAGTTCAGGTTGTGCGCCATCTTGGTGCGCATACTTCAGGAGGTCCGTTTTATTTTGCCGGTATTATAATTGCTTTTATACAAAATAAACCCAAAATATTGTGCAGGGGTTCCTCGGACCCTTGGAAAGTTTCATTGGGGTTTCGCTCCACCGAAAGGTTGAAAACCACTGCTCTAGACCAGGAGCGGGCCAGGTTTTTAGACCTGGGGTGAACAATTTTGCCCATCTAGACTGGCGGACCCTATAGGTAAGACATAAAAGTTACATTTTATGAACAATATTCACAGTGTTATAAAAGCAAAAGAGGAAAACAATATGCCTCCTGCCATAATTCAATATAATCGCAACCTCCACAAATTTCTTGATGTATTTTCAGCTAAAACATACAAATTTGGTTTTAGTTACTTGTGACAACATCAAGCGGGCCATATTGAAGTACCCAACAGACTGGATTTGGCCCGCGGGTCTTAGTTTGCCCATGTCAGGTCTAGGCCGTGAAGTCCATATGAAATCCATACATAAATGGGCACAGTAAAAACGGAATCAATTCTCAAATGTCGTCAAAATAACGTCATAATGACAGCGTGCACGTGTTACCATATAATAGTGTTCCCATGAACAAATTAAACATTCGAGTTGAAAATCGGAGCCCATCGAACTCGAATAAAAAACAAACAACTATTTATTAATAAATAATATCCAATGAAATAATTGACACGGCGTTTAAAATTATATAAAATTATAATATTTCATATCTAGTCGTACAGCATATTAATTAAGTGTCTCTCGTCGTGTATCGTTAGCACTCAAAATAGAGATGAAACACTGTTGTTAGGTGCAGCTGAGTGGGATCTGCTCTGGACAAAGTCCATTTTTCCGCGTACGAGAAACTATACGAACGTTCTACGTTTCTTTTAACATAGCTGCGAGCATCAGTATTTGTAAATTCCGCTAAAAGTACTTTACGGTCATATAAAATGTCATTAGATGAAAACATTATGGTGCCAATACAGGTTTCCAAGTCCCATGAAACAACATATAAAAGTTTTTTAGTACCACGGTGCCTTCCCTGAAGTACAACAAAAATTTTCGCCAAATTAAATACAGCAAGTAAACCCACATATTGGTGTGTTACCGTTAAAAATATCACACGGGTGAAAGTATATAAAAATTTTCGTTCAATTGAAAATGTACGTTATTTTTCGATTCTAAACAACCCAACATGTGTAAAATATATGAGAGGAAATCAATAAATAAAATATTTTTATAACACGATTATTCACGACGCTCTGTACAATCAGCTACTGATATATGCGATTTACACTGAGTTAACTGTTGTTGGGGAGTTGGTTTTAGTGGAGTGTATTAAATTTGGGAAGAATAGGATTCACATATTTATTCCAGGGAGATGAAAGTCGATAAGACTGCTTAAGCATATGGCGAACCATGGCTTCTCGTCCGATTATCAGTCCATGTCGGGTATAGGATTACTTAGCCAGTTTTTTGTTTTCATAGACATGGACTTGACTTCGGTTAAAAAAAAATAATGGAAGAGATTTACCACATCTCTTACACCTGCACACCGTTTTGCTATTTTCCAATTTTTCTTTTTCATCAGAAAACCAGACGAAGTCGGTTTAACCCTGGTTGAAATCGACATAAAGACAGTTCAGGAATGTGTTAAATTCATCGGCGGAAATCAAAGTGGAATTTTTATCAATCAGATCGTTGAATCACCTGGATGTACGCAGTCTTGCAGTATGTTGCAACCGGGAATGCAACTTATAAAGGTTAGAAATAAAGAGTATCGTTATTCAGTTTATTTATTTTTGCACACAAAGTGGATCTGTGGATCATTTTGTTGTTATCTTTGGGGTTGCTGGTAAAATATCGATTTACTCCGTAACAATCGATCAATTAATTTTTATTTGTTTTTTAATTTCCCTTCTACAGTACCCGATATTTCACCCCAAATTCCAATCTTACATTTTTTGTTTATAATTCACGAAATTTAGTCAATGGCTATCGGAGATATTTTGTCAATCTTTCACGATGAAATAAACTGAACATTTGTAATCTCTCCACATGATTTGTTTTTTATTGATTGTCTGTCAAGGACCCATTACTTTTATTTGCTTTTCAATTTTCCTCCCACACGACCTAATATGTTCTTTTGTACATCACGGGAATTTGCGATCAGAGATCTAGAATTTCAGCAAGTCCGTAGTGGAGGCATTCTCCTATCTTTCATGTTAAATTAAACTAAAAAGACTATTTTTACACATTTTTTTTATCTCTCTACTTAAAAATGAATACTCGTTGATTGGCAAATAATAATATTTTTACAACCGCACAGATTCGTCAATCCCAGAAGAAACCTTCAAACTTATATAAATGGACTCTCGAATACACTTACAACATGATAAGAAGTATCGAAGGTACCGTGGTTCTGATGTTGGAATCCAGAGCCAAAGAATATCAGGACATAAAAGATAAAATGAAAAGTTCTAGAATGACAGGCGATTCTTTTTATGTCCGGTAAGCAAGATAACTAATATAGAACAATTTTAGGTACTCCTGAAGTATGTGAACCAAGACGGTGGACACCGAAACGCAGTATGTGTACCGTATACCAGGTTAGTGTTAGGCCATATTTTAGGTACAAATACTACTGAAGACACTTGGCTAGTCCCCGAACTCGTAATAGAACTAAAATAAGGAAAATTGGAATAAAATTATGGCCTAACCCTAACCTGGTACACATACTATGTTCCGTTGTCCGCCATCTTGGTTTATATACTTCGAGAGTCCCATTTTTATATATAATTTATACTCACAAGTTTTTGTATAAGAGGAAAATTTATATCGCGAACAAAAATATTACAATTAGCGATATTTTGTGGTTCTCCATTTGGGTTCGTATGCGCAATATTTGGCAATATCAAATGATTGAATGCGCTTTGCCTGAGATCTTTATATCTGCATGCTTACACACATATATGGCTATGCACCTGCATTTTGATATTTGAACCAAAGTTTATCGTAGGGTTCATACAGTGGTGAAATTCGAAAAATTTTAAGCAACGATTTTTTCATGTATCGAATTGCGGTGCACGCTATTCATTTGCTGCGTTGTCTGACGTCTAAAACAAAAAACAGGAATAGGTTCGCTATTGTCACGGTATTCCGAGAACAGGTTCGCGTGACCCCTGAATCCCGCCACTGGGTTTGTAATTACGCGATCATTTGTTATGAATAAATACTGACTTGCGCTAATGATTTGGTTTCCGCGGGACTTACTACTTATCTTTCTTCTATGCTTTTGTGCCTGTGGGTGTGTATGCATATAATGCAAAGATGCTGTAGCAAAAGTAAAAATACGGTAACTATCTTTTGTGATTGAAAATTCAATAAATAGAATAAATACTGAAACGAAATTTCACTGGCATTCAAAATGTACTCTATGTCGGGTACCAAGTTGTACTAGTTTAACACTTTCTTTCAATACTATATTTAAGCGGAATTCAAAATTCTCCAAAATAGTTTTTGCCGATAATGGAAAAAGTATTCTCTATCTTTCAGGGCAAACTTCAAGTGGACCAGAGACGACATGTTAACATTCAACAAATTTGAAATTCTTCACGTGATCAGCACTCAACCATTCACTGAATTGCATTGGTTGGCTTGCAAGATTGATCCGTACAACGGAAACAATTCTTCTAAGAGTGATGTTATACCAAGCTATAAGTATTGGTATGTTATCTAGCTTTCGAAAATATTAGAAGAGAATTCGGTACTCCCGTAGTGTGTGTACCAGGTTAAGATTAGGCCATAATTTTATTCCGATTTTCCTCATTTTAGTTCTATTAAAAGTTTGTGGCTGCCTGTGTTAGGTTAGCCTAGTGAATACCCCCCTGCCCATGGGCTTCAGTCCCTTTACACAATTTGATGTAAAGTAGGCGAACAGAATTACTTACCTCCATACTGATACACACACTTCAGGAACGCCGAGAATTCAGTGTTAATCTGCATGATCAATATGTCATTGTGATCTACAGAAGGGTACATGTAGAATAGTTTGGTTTATATCAGTATCCAATCGGAAGTCTGGTAAAAGGATGAAACAGAATATCCTGTGATCTTTTAGTGGTTAGGTGATAATTAGGGTTTATATCTCCGCTTGATATAGATCACAAGCAACGCCAATTTGTATTGCTATTAATTTTACTAACGCAAGTTTTTTTTGTAGCCTAAAGAACCCGCAACAAGCTGACTTACTTCAAAAGGGACGAAGATATACAGAGCCTAGCTTATTTGCACCAACGGTATGTGTAGGCTATATATTTTCAACGAGTTTTTTTGAGGCTAACATTCATCTCATTTGTTGGTGTTATGATCTTTTTATAAGCATCACAGTTTAAGGATACCGTAGATTTTATGAATGAGTATTATCCAATACAAAAAGTGTTCTTCAAACAATTGAAGTAATTGAATAAAAAAAAAATACTAAAATCAGTTGATGACGTAATACTCAATCATTATTACCCAGGACCCTAGAGAAGTTTCCCCTCAATTTGGAGCTTCGATGAGACTGTCAGCTCCTGATCGTATGAGCGGATTGAAGCATCTCGTAATAGGAAGACCGGCTGAGGTATGATTTTGTTCAATGCTATTCCACTGGCCTTGTTTCATATATATCTATTTACAGAAACCTGAATATTTATAGTTATTTTGACACATTCCCTGGAAGAGATTGCAGGCAAATCTCTTAGAAACGTTGAAGTATATATGCTACTTTATTTTGTTCTGCTGTGAAATATGAATTTGAAACAAGCGCAAACAAAAACTCAGTGGTTTTCTAGATTTGAAAAAAAAATTACACTAGAACGTCTAACGCAGTGGTGGGCAAGGTAAAATTTTCCCACTTAGACTGTCAGGCCATGTAAGTATGACGTAAAAGTTACATTTTATTAACAATATTTTTAAATTTGGTTTTAGTTTTCTTGTGGCAGAATCAGATGGGTCAGATTGAATTACTCAACGGGTCGGATTCGGCCCGCTAGCCATATTTTGCCCATATCAGGTTAACCTCATTCAATTAAATAAATTGTAAATCGAAATGCTGATGATAATGCTAGTTTAGTCAGTTTTTGCATTCTCTGTATGTACATTAAAACGCTTCAACGAGTGCTTGTTTTCAGTATGGTGAAGAAAAAAATACTGGTTACCAATGAGCTGTAGCAATTGGGCAACTACAGTTTACATCAATACACTTCTCGGTGACAAGGTTTAAAAGTCTATGATTGGTAACACGCTGAAAGCAGTCGGGTACTTTATTGAACGAAACAATATGTTTTTACAGGAGCCTCAACAAAGATATGAAACAGTCGGTCAGCCCTACACAATCATGAAACCTCTTCAATTGCCGAAAGAAAGACCAAGACCGTGCCTTATGTTGCCACAATCTTTATCAACAATCTTAGCCTACAAACTCACAACCATAGCGGAACCACTGCAGTTTGATTTCCCAGTCCCTGGTAAGTTCAAAACTTAGATGTATGCTGTTAGATGTAGGATTTGCATATGTATCCCGGGGCAGAGCAAAGCCGTTAAGCCCATGTCAGGTATGGGCCCGAAAGTATCTTAACCTAGGTTTAAATTTTGCAAGTTGATATTCATTATTTAGTCAAGTATTGTGGATCGTACATGAAATGAGAAAAAATTTGATCAAACGATATATATACATACATGCACGAATGACGCGCATCGTGACCAATAAGTCGTTATCTGAGTCCTGACTTTGTTAAAACAATCGACCTATAAGCGTTACGGAATGAAATGTTTCCAATAATTAGAATACAAAAGCAAAGCATTAGGTGAATCCATGAAGAAAATTTAAAAAAAATAAAATGAAAATTGTAGTGACTATTTCTATTTTTAAGGAGTTATAATCGAAAAGCGAAAGCATTTATACCAATAACAATAAGATTAACAACAACAATTTATCAAGATTGATAGGTTCACTTGGTGTCGCACAACATTGACGCAAATATGCAATAAACGCATATTGATTTAGTCATTAACACCATGGTCCCCAACCTTCTAGGGCTAGTGGCCCTCTTCTGGGGGCTTTTAGCACTTATAGCCCTCTCTTTATCATTCCAGTGGTATTTATATGATTAGTAGACTCCAAATCCCATTCTGTTCAAACAATTTATGCTCAACTAGGTGAAAACATTCCGCGATATAACCTTATCAAGCAATGAAACGAGAAAAACCAGGAAGTTTTTCTTAATGTAAAAGTAAAATCAGTTTTGCACTTAGTATTGCGACAGTGACAGCTCTGTGGTCCCATTGGAAGGCCATGACCCCATTCCGGGAACCACTGCATTAAAAATCTTGAACAAGGGCAGGAACCGAGTGATCAATTCAATCCGAACCATCCGAGTTAATTTTAAAACCACGATTAGTATCAAATTCGGCCATTCAATGTTACTTAGATTTTCGAGAGAATTGTCCTGGTTTGAGTGGCACCTTAGTGTATATCTTTTCAGTTAGTTTTTTCGAAAATCACTAATAAAGCCAATGACATAAATGTTGTGCGAATCAGATAATAAATAGTGGAATTCCATTCGCCACATCGTACTGTATTGTAAAGTATGGTACGTACACTAATAAAATGTACAAATAATGCAAATAAGAACTTTATTAGAAAAACAGAAAACAATTTCACATCACGTGAATAAAAGCAAACATTGTACAGTATCTTAACATATTTTTTTGCTTGGGGTCCATAACAAAGGGCAAAAGTAACAAAAAACGATCAAACAAGTCACGAAAAAACCGGCTTAAACAACCAAAATGACGTACAGTATCACTGAAACTGTGTAAAGTACTGTATCACTGGAACTGTGTACAGTACTGTACTGTAATGTACCATGTGACTGAAGCTTAGTGATTATTCGTTCATAATCGTAATAGTTCGCAATTGGTCACGTCATTTATGATTTAAATAACGAAAACCAATGAGCCCAGAGCACTGATTTTCTTGATCACAATGTGCGTTCGTAACCTCGAAACATCGTAAGTCGCGACCGTCGTAACCCGAGGATTTCCTGTAATTTGGTTTTTCTCATAAAAACATTTAAATTTAAAAAGTAAGGTTATAACCACGATTAAAAGGCGCAAACAAAATGTCAATATAATGATATCAGGCAATTATTTCTTGGATAATTGGTATTTAGTTCTAACTCGCGGGCCAGTACAAATTCTTAGGAATAATGATAAATGTTTCGTAAAAACATTTCTTTTAATTTGTGAAAATAAGAGCGAATTGATGAATGCAGATAATGATCTTAAATTCTAACATGCAAATATTTGAAAACGAAAAAAAAATCGACGATCAAGACGCATTGTATATAAACATTGTCTGCTTAAGTTCGCTTCAGTGTAAGTTTAGTTTACCAGACGCGGATTATACTCTTTATAAAATCGCGTGCTTTTTTAAAGCGATATAATAAGTTTCACCTGTCGACCAAGCTTGCGAAGATCGCACCTTTAAGTGTACGGATGATTATATAATTGTCTTATAGATAAGGTGCGTCACGAAAAATGCATTGCCGAATTCCGATGTCGCAAAATTTATAATACCACCGTGCAAAAACAAGCGAAGTCGGCAAAAACTGACGCAACATAGACTTTATAAATTAGTAAATATTTTTTATCGCGCTTGTTATGGTCTGGCGTTTTTGCAGTTTGAGGCGGTTTTTAAAATCGAAGTCGTTTTCGGAAATAGTTTCGCAGTATCGGCTTTACAGTCAGAAATAAGACTCTGATCCTTTTGTTGGATGATGCATCTGTTTTAGCGGTGAGATTTAGTATGATCTAGCATTTCTAGCTCACGAGATAAAATTTGGCGCTCCAGAAGTGTGTGTATAGCCAAAAACGTAACTTCTGGCTAATCCCCCAGTCTGAACGACACACGTTAACGATGCAAAGTCTTTATTGCCGAAAAGATATGATCTGAATAGGATGTGATTCAAATAGGATAATTAAAACAGTGAATAGTGATTTTACATATAGAAAATAAGCATGTACGGAAGTGTCCTAATCAAGTGTGGTACCAAGATGAATTTAAAAATCATTCTTATTTTACGTTTTATCGATATGATTAATTTGTAATTTTGTTATATGGCATTCTTATAATCGCTTACGAATCCCAAACTTTATAATAATAGCCTCATAAATTTCACTTTTAACATTTTACAACATGGCGCTCTCGAAACTTTCACTAAGAAAAAATTGATCATAATAACCTTTTCATAAAACCAAACCGGAACTTCATTCAAAACTCATGATGAGAATAACAATAAATTGAAAATGATGACATTTCGTGAAATCCTAATTTTGGTAGAGTACAACGAACAGATATAAGATGTTTTAGGTTCACAGAATGATCTATACAAAATGTCATTCTTATGTATCTTATCTAGACAATAACCGGTACTCCCGAAGTATGTGAACCAAGATGGCGAACACCGGAACGTAGTATATGTACCAATTTAGAGTTAGGCCATAATTTTATTCCAATTTTCCTTATTTTACTTCTATCACAAGTTCGAATATTAGTCAAGTGACTCCCGTAGTATTTGTACCTGAAGTTATGGCCTAACCCTAACCTGGTACACATACTATGTTCCGGTGTCCGCCATCTTGGAACGTATACTTTGTAAGTACCCAATTACCTACCCAAAATACATCCCTTGTAATTATCATGCTTAAAATTAATACGAAAAATGTTGTTTTTGAAAATATACTCTAACATTTTGGAGAGTATGTATTTTTTTCTGTAAAAATCAAAATTATTTGTCACAATTATCCGCTTAAACATTAAGAAGTTTAGGGTTTAGACCAGTGGTTCTCAACCGCCGGTCCGCGACAACCTTGCTGCCGGTCCGCCAAATATATTCCAATATAAATATATTATAAGCAAATTGCAAAATACAGTATTGAAGTATTGACGGCATGACGTTATGAATTTCGTGCAAGGCCCGAGAATAATTTGATGGCAAAGATCATAGCATTTACTATTTCGAAACGCTTATTCGACTTTTCAGACTGAAGAAACTATCCGAAAAAGATAGTCGTTTTTGTGTTCGAGATATGAAATAATCGTCAATTCCACCACGCTTTCGTGAAGTAGTGCAATTTACTAAATTTATGAAGGTTTGTTTAAGTTTCATTGCATCAGTGTTTGGACTGGCACGCGTTTCGTCAGATTGCTGGCGTGATTACAGGTCGCGTGGGCAAAATAGCATATTTTCCTCGAATCGAATAATTTTAACGAATTGTCGAATATCGGGTTGAATTCATGATTTTATTCCGAATTTTATTTTTTGGGTCGGCTTTGATCTTTTTGTTACAGTTTTAAAATTACCTGTCTTAATTTTAAGCTAAAAATATTATCATTTCTGACGCCGGAATGCGGATATTTTTGAAGACGATAGTTGACATTCTTGATAGTTGATTTTACTTTTCTATTGTGGCTGTTTTATTTTCGTATTCAAATAGTGAATAAAAACCTGCAAAGTCATTGCGTGAATCCTAAATGCTATTTTGAGTTCAAATTAAGAATAATTTGTCGGCAATAAAGGCAATTCTACTAGCCAAATAGTAATTCCCTGGTAAAATTTCGCACAATAATTTCACTTAGTCTGATTGACTCAAACTGTAAGCGTGGATGGCTTTTTTTCAAAATAAGTATTAAATAAAATGGTATAACCTTCAATTTGTGAGAATATCTATGTGTGAGTTATTCGTCAGTTTTTAGTTTAGTTCCAAAAAATAGTTGTAAATAAAAGAACGTTATTGTCATTATGACTTCCGAGCACCTTCAGTTTAGTTACAATATTCAAAAAATTGATACCGCAAACGCTGCGATAGGTTCATTCAAAATAATCTAGGCACGTTGCGGCACGTAGTTTATTGTTTTGAATAAAAATGATTGTTTTGAACATGTGGGTCAGTTTGTAAGCCCCAACGCTCCAAACACTCTCAGAATCAGCATTGAAAATTTTGCAATGGTAAGGTATAAGGAAAATCTTTCAGACGTCAAGGGGCAGGGAAACGTCCATACCGACGAATATCAAATGATAAGCAATAAAAGTGGAGTGGTAGTAGAACAAGTATCGCCATATGTATTAAATGCTACATTTCATACAAATGTGCTCAAACGACACGGTCAGAGTTCATGAATATTAATGATAAATATATCTTTAAAGCGATATGCTATCCGATCTTCAGTGGAATAAAATATTTTCAAATCCTGATATCCGCAATCTCTTGCCAAGCAATCTTTTTGTCAATTTTTTCAACATGTCTATCATGGAAAGTTTTATGAAGCATGCCAATCGCTATTTCCGGTCCCAAAACAAACCAAAAAAACTTTCAGTAGTTGATTTTGTTTTATGGTTCTTTAACGTTTTGACAACAAAGTCACGAGTCCACAGCTAAATCACTACACAAAAGCCAAAAAAACACCGCTATCTGCAAATTATGCAAAAATCGTGACTCGTGTTGAAGTTTCCCTGTCGAATATTTTTTGTTCAGGAAACGACAATTTTACCTCTTGCCAATTTTCGTTTTCAATAGTTTAAAGAATCCGTTGCCAATGCTGCTACAATTTTATATTATTTTATTGACATTATGAAAGTGCAATCGGAAATTACCGGAAGTGCCGAGTATTCCAATTCAAATCAACAAGAAAGATGATTAAAATATGTAGATTATTATTCGGTAATTCATAATCATTTATATAGCACCTACGTTTCAGTTTGCTGTGTAATGCGTAACTATTCTCTATAAAAACGTCATAATGCTTAAAATGAAACGTGATCTAATATCGTGTAAGGTTGCATCTTCCAAAATTTTGATTTGCACTTTATCCTGAGATTACCGTAGAAACTACTATTAGTTAGAAAATAAAAATAACATTCAAAAACATGCTCGATTTATTTATGACCTATAGATGACCGGTCGTTAATTTATCCTATAACTTCAATATTGACTCCATATCGAGAAATGAGAAAGTTACCCTTCATAATTTACGATTTTGACTAATATCACATTTGGCTAAGTTTCCGAGTCAATATTGATACAAATAAATGTTCTTTCGTTTAAGCGTTTTAGCAGGGTTAATAATGTAACTTGATAGTAGAAAAAGATAAATGCGTTGCAAGTCGATGGTTTATATATCTGCATAGAAAGTTGCAAAGTTGATTGCAGGAGGTTTTGATAATCTATTTTATGATTTATAATTAGGTTACAGTTTTTCTAATTTTATTATATATATCATACGCACTTCGTATTGAATGCATTTCGCGCAGAATGAATAATAATCACACTTTATATAAGATTTAGGTTGGTACATTTGGTATTATTAGTAATTAGTATTACAAGTTTTAAATGAAGTCGATATTGGACAGAAACGTTTGCTAAAAATATCTTGTATAGGCACGATTGTTGGGTTTTTGAGTGTGACAAGCATGTGATGTGATATCTTCATGACTTACTTTGTCGTTTTGGTATTTTACTGTTTTATTGCAGAAGTGTATATACTATATATATACACTTTGCGTATTAGTGAACTCAGTTCGGTATAGAAATGCAGCGCTCCAGAAGTGTGTGTACCAATATGGAGGTAACTATTTTTGTTCGCCTACTTTACATCAAGTTGTGTAAAGGGACTGAAGCCTAAGGGCATGGAATATATTCACTTGGCTAACACAGACAGTCCCCGAACTCGTAATTGAATTCAAATAAGGAAAATTGGAATAATATTATGGCCTAACCCTAACTTGCTACGCAAACTACGGGAGTTCCGGGAGTACCAAAAGTAGAACTCAAAAATGTCCTAAAAACTAACTGGCCAAAACTAACTAACTAACTAACACGATCAGGTCATATTTATAGATTTTTCTTTTTAAGCCACTTTAGAAAAGATATAAACAAAACAAGTGTCAAAGTTCCAAAATTGTATACATTATGTTCGATTGGTAATTCAGACTTAGAGAACGTACAATTAATATTTTACTATCAGTTTTCGAGAAAATACCCAACCGATGAAAAGGCGATTTATAAATTATAATGCATACTTCAGTAAAGTATATATATATCGATACCTTATCGTAGTACATGTTTTTTTGATACTTCCGTAGTGTGTGTTATACAGATTAGGGTTAGGCCATCATTTTATTCCTATTTTCTTATTTTAGTTTTATTACGAGTTCGGGGACTGTCTGTTTTAGCTAAGTGAATATACCCCCTGCACATCGGCTTCCGTCCCTTTACACAACTTCATGTAAAGTAGGCGAACAAAATTAGTTACCTCCACATATTGGTGCACACACTTCTGGAGCGCCATTTTTTTCTTTCCACAGCAATTTATGACGGTGTGTTTGTGCTGAAAATGCCGCAATGGCATCCAACTTCAGAAAATATTTGGCTAACATATTTCTGAAAATGGATATTGAAAAATATGGTGCTCCCGAAGTATGCGAACCAAGATGGCGGACATCGGAACGTAACATGGGTAACAGGTTACGGTTAGGCGATAATTTTTTTCCAATTTTCCTTATTTTAGTCCTATTATCAGTTCAAAGACTAGCCAAGAGCCTCCCGTAGTATTTATACCTAAAATTATGGCCTAACCCTAACCTAGTACACATATTACATTCCGATGTCCGCCATCTTGGTCCGCATACTTCGGGAGCCCCATTAATATATATGGTATGATTCTTTTAGCACGAACGAAATCGCAAGTTAGTCGATCAAATTAGTAGCAAATTTCTTTTTCTCATCCAAATCTTTGTTTTTTCTTGAATTTAGGGCATATTTCGCCACATGATGTTGTATAGAGTGTTTAGTATTTTATTGTTATACGGCGGGTTCATGCAAAATTATGCCCAAGGAAGTGGCAAACCAAACATCATCTTTATTATGGCAGATGACTTGGGGTATAATGATATTGGGTACCATGCCAAAAACCACAATTCCGACATGAAAACGCCATTCCTCGATGCAATGGCCGAACGGGGCATAAAGTTGGAAAACTACTACGTCCAACCTCGTTGCACTCCATCACGAAGTCAACTTCTTACCGGAAGACAAGACATATCCACTGGTTTACACCATGCTGTAATTTACACCGGCCAACCAAATGGCGTACCTACTACGTTAAAAATGTTGCCAGAACAGCTTAGGGACTGCGGCTATGATACACACATGGTTGGAAAATGGCATCTTGGTTTCTATAAAAATGAATATTTACCTTCAAACAGAGGATTTAATTCGTATTTCGGAGATCTGAACGGCGTCTCCGATCATTTCACACATACTTCGTGCTCAAAGCAATCATGTGGAGTGAGCATGTGGAGTTCCTCTGACGGTCCTGTTAATAATACGTGGGGTGAATATTCAGCTCATTTGTACGCAAGAAAGGCAATTGAGGCAATTAAAAAGAGAGACATCATGAAGCCATTCTTTCTATACCTATCGTACCAGTCAGTACATACGCCCCTACAAGTTCCTGATGAATACATAAAACCATTTAATCACATTAGTGACAAGAAGCGAAGAACGTACGCGGGTATGGTACTGGCTATGGATGAATCAATCCAAAATGTTACGTCATATCTCCACAAAGTAGGATTACTTGAGAACACAATTGTCGTTTTCTCGACTGACAACGGTGGAATAACGAGACATGGTGGTAATAATTATCCGTATAGAGGAGGGAAAGTTTCATTGTACGAAGGAGGTGTCAAAGCCGTAGGATTTATATATGGAAAGCCACTTGGCATGAGGAATGTCACACACAAAGGCCTTGTTCATATTTCAGATTGGTATCCAACTTTCCTGCGGTTATCTTCATGTCCGAAAATGGAAGGAACTCAGCCGCTTGACGGATTTGACCAACTTAATTCTATTGTTAAAAAAACTCCATCTCCACGACATGAAATACTGCACGGATATGATCCTCGTTTTAGAAAGGTTGCCAAAACGACTCAATATAGTTCACAGACTGTTTATAATACTGAAATTCGAGCAGCCTTGCGCTGTGGCCCATGGAAACTCATAACTGGTCATCCCGGTCCTAATCTCGCAGAACAACCACCAGAATACAACCAACGTTTCGGTATAGGAAGGATGAAGAAAGGCCGATCCGATGGACCTATTTTTCGACGGGACGTTCAACTTTATCACATAGAATCAGATCCAACTGAGAAAATAGAAGTATCTGATAAATACCCGAAGGTCGTATATAGATTGTTGAACCGTCTTTCGCAATACACTGCAGAAGCTGTACCCGTAAGATTCCCTGGCGTAGATCGTCGTTCAAACACTGAGCTACATGGAGGTTTTTGGGTGCCGTGGCTGAGTAAATGAGCATTTTTGTAGGCAAATAGAGAACAATGTTGATTAAATTTGAACTTCTAGAGCTGACATGGATAAACTACGACCAGCGGGCCAAATCAGGTCCGTTGGGTGATTCAATCTGCCCGCCTGATGCTGCCGTGAATTTATGCGTTCAACCAATTTTGCATGTAGCCTACTACATAGTGGTTGTCATTAAAATATGTACGGTGCAATAGAATTGTAAGATGAACTTGTAAGATCGTGATCGTAATATGTGTGAGTCGGATTTAAAGTTGCCACAGACTTTCATGATCTGGGAAAGTTAACAAAACTTTATGTTTTCTCGCTCACTCAATTGACGACGTGCCTCTCAAACCTACTTCTCATACTCTTGTCGTGTGCCTCTAGTTTAAATTTGGTGTCCACAAAGTTTTTTAACGTAACATAACGCCCTCTTAGCGTTCTTTTTTGTTTGAAGCTTACGCATTCTTTCCGCGTAATCTAGTTTCTATCATTTCCTGATGGTTTTTAATATTCTGTTGCTGCATGCTTTTCTACACCCGAATTCGTGAAGATATTTATAACTTAATTATTACCTCACACATACATGTCCCGCCCGTTTAGATTGGCAAATTTTTAGCCACTGGTCCAAAAACCTTGGCTAGAACTTATTGTTTATTTTTTATGTGTACCAATGTTTCACTTCCATTTATATTACATATTTGTCTTCTACCATGTACTGCAGTGGGGCCCAAAGTTGATTGACCAAGGACAAAATTAGACGTGGAAGGATATTCGCTGGCCGGGGGATAACTCACTGATAACTAAGAAGCTGCCGTATATCATCCTAAAATCGGGAGTGTATGATTAAGATACTGGTGTAAATAGATTGTTAGGAATGGTTACTCACTTAATCGGTGATGATGACGTAACAATTGACGGTATCTAGATCGCAAAAATAACAAAATATAAAGTGTTAAATGCGGGCCATATTGATCGTTACGCAGGGCGTAGTTGGCCCGCGATTTGGGAACTCCTGATCTGCTGTCTTGATAACATTTATAAAGAAAAAAAAAGGACACGTTGTCGAATTATGATTGACTGATATAGCACCTTGAGCAGATTTTTTTCTTACCGACGGATTTAACCATCAATACTTTTTGATTAATTTTAATATGACCTTTTGGTGTACTTGATGGGGCGATACACGACATACATAAATCCGATCGGTGTAAGACTGCTTGCTATTTGCCCTCGCAATTTTAATTGCTATGAATAAGGTATTCCCGTAGTTTGTGTACCAGGTTAGGATTAGGTCATAATTTTATTCCGATTTTACTTTTTTTAGTTCTATTACGAGTTCGGCAACTGTCTGTGTTAGTCAAGTGAATATACCCCCAGCTCATAGGTTTCAGTTTCTTTACACAACTTGATGTAAAGTATAGGCGAACAAAATTAGTTGCCTCCATATTCGTACACACACTTCTGGAGCGCCATGAATAATGAGCGCACAAACTGTGAGTCGATCTGAAAACATGCGGCATATCCGACTTGAGAGAGAGACAAGGATATTCCAGTGGGCATAGAGCTTACCCTGTCGAGAATTTGTTTTTTGAATAGATTTTCCTTTGCCTTTTTTAAAAACAAAAATACATTTGTAATATCTAAAGTTCTGTTTTATACGACAAATGATGAAATATTTTCACTCATATGAGCGACGTAAGTATATTTTTTTTGCAAGAAATTCAAACGGAATGTTATTAGTTGAAATAGATGAGAAGGGTGCACCTATGTTTGTTTAGGATTCTACGAACGATTATCGGAATAAGAGAAGTCTAGCCTTCTTACATCGATAACTCAGTGCTTGCTGGACTCCTCGCCGCCGTAGGGTGGTTCACGTAACCCCTAGTCGGTTATGGCTTTCTCCACCATCAAGTCCATGATACCGAAACCAAATAACTGGCTAACTGATCCCATACCCGACATGTAATGGTAACCGGACGAAAAGTTGTGGTTCGCCGTATGATTAATCCGTCTTATCGGCTTTTGTCCCCCCGGTATAAATATGTAAATGCTATACTATCCTTATTTGAACTAACTTTAATTAAATCCAGCAACATAATTATTTTTAAATTGATTCGAGTCGAGTCAGGATGACAAGTTATAACCAAATATAACATCGTGTTTTATTGGTTAACCGTCGCTCTTTAGAAAGGCCGTATTTGATCGCCATATTTAAGACACTACTCGAAATACGTTGTATAATTTTTAACAGAATCATCAAATTGTGCGGTCAACGTTGTTCGATCAAGATTATACGATCGTGACGTCATCTCGTTCAACTCATTGTCAGATGAAAAGCAAGAAGTAGTTACAACCAGTTCTGCACAGAAAACTGCTGATATGGTAAGAACAACTACCAAATAAGGATTGTTAACTCGGGGAAAAAAATTTGTTGTGTGAATTTATAATCCGCATTTACATTCTGTTATACAGACTTGTCTACTTATGTCTTAAAGCAGGGGTGTGCAGTAATGAAACTGGTGTTGTGTGTTATCTTAAATTGAATAAGTAAGTTTCAGTATTCATTGATAATTGAGGGCCAAGGTACAATTAATTTGTATGATTTATTGGAAACAGTTCTCATATATATATATATATTAAAAACTTACATTGATATGTAGGGAGGTGTGAGATGATACCTGAGATCTTTATTCCAGCCGGGTAAGCATCACGGTTTGAGTCGCTTGGCCAACTCGAATTGTTTAAAGCGTTACACTTCAAACACTGAGGCATTATTGAAAATTTGTCTATGGAATTTTCTGTGGTGCCCCTTTTTCTGTGGTGTCCTAAGCATGCGTTTGTATTGTTTAATGGTCAATTCAGCACAGCTTGAGTTGAGAATAAATTAAATTAAAAAATTAAAAATTTTATTTAAAAAAATTTATAAACGTTGATTCTTAGTAAAAAAGTATGAGAATTGAAAAACAAAAGCTAGTCAAAGTAGAAAGACCGTAATTCTGAATTTATCAAGTGCTGTAGCAACAACGCGGTAATACAGGTCTTACATACAACTCCTGAGCCTGCAGGGGCGTGATAAACTTTTCTGCTGCCCGGGGCGAGTTTCTGATAATGATGCCCCTTATACCTGAATTCAAAAATAATTACGGGAATAAACAAATTATAGATGCTGCTATACAAGAGAATGAATAAATTAAATGTCAAGTATGAGTGAAATGTTTGTATTATCACAAATTAAATCGTCTAACTAAGCAACAAACTGGCCACTAGAACGTGCTGCCCGATGCGACTCTCAGTATGGCCCCTGCTTGTATGATCTCATTTTAGAATTGTCATTATAACACAAATACAAGACCCTCACAAAATTGTCAACCCAGTACTTTTCTTATTCTAGGACAAGCACTGCATTCTTAGTATAAACGAGAATTGCATCAGCATAAAAGAATATTTGAGAAAACTTCAAGCTGAAGAAATTTACCCGATTGTCATATTCCTGCAAACAGATAAACCGAGAACCGTGAAGTAAGATATCCTTGGTATTTTTGATTTTATATGCAATACTCATTAATTACTTTAATCTCGCTTGGGGACATGAATCCTCGCGTCGCAAAATGATACTGGACTTGATCACCAAACAGAGACAAAATTAGCCGTAGATTAGTTTTTTGTTTCACTGATTTTTCATAAAAAATATAATAGGTTTGTGCAGCGAAAATGGGCTACAAAAGAAAAAAGGTTAAGAACCACTGAGCTTGACTAACCAGAATTTGAACCCATTGAATAAATCTATTAAAATTTCTTTAAAATCAACTGCGATGTGATATATACAAATTTACTTGTAAATAAACTGAAATGTAGTAAAGAGGAAACAATCTTTTATTTCTATAGAATGTTTATTGAAGAAGACAAGAGCAAGCCAAATGTTGTCATCCAAGATATGATCTTGACTGGTGAACAGCTCAAGAGATTTGGAATCAACTTTGCTACTGTGCAATTGGACAGGTGATTTTTGTATGTTTCCTGGGCTTGATACATTAACGCAGTGCCCTAATAATGGTTTCTTGACATCTAGAATAAAGGATACTTCTTTTCTGTTCATTTGTGAATTTTCTTCTTGTTTGACTACCCATCATCACCTATAGTGAACACTATTTTCTTCACTTGTGTTTGTGATGTTTCAATTACATTTCTTTCCTCGTTCTTAGCAGCTCTGCTTTGTTTATTTTTCAAGCCAGTGGTTATCAACCTTTATATTCGTAATTGATGACGTTACCTTGAAATCTGCTGTACGCCCATTTAAAATTTCTTTCAGACCCACATTGGGAAACACTGATTTAAACTCATTAAATAGCGTAGTTATTACATATCGGAGAATGTCTGACATACTCTTAATATGTTTTGAAAGAACGACGATAGTCTATGGCACAATTGCTTTGCCACTATAAGTAAATACAAGTTTTATGACAAAAAATGCTCAAAGTAAGATTACGCGGACTGACTCCAAAGCAAAGTAGACTGATGGGCCATCACTGAAGTACCAAAAGCTAATGAAACTATAAAGAATTATAGCGGTGAAGTATGGTGGTGGGCTTGGCGTTACTTATCAGTTGTTCTGGTTACCTCAGCTCACAATTTTAGAAGCTGTGACTTTTAAATTTTTTAGGTGCAACAAAGTAGAGGACGCTGTGCAGATGGTGATTGAAAAAGTTGTTGATGAAACCAACAGAATAGTTTGGCAGGAAGACGACAGTGAAATATTTTTCTGAATCATCTGATTGTACATCTGGCAATTGCGCACAAAACGTGCAGTCATCCATTCGTGACGAACTAATATATTTGATAATGTAAATGTTTATTTATTACTGACCCCGGACTGAGATTATTACGTCTTCATTTATTTTTCAATATTTTTGTATTTATTATTATTTGAGAACCGAAATCTTCAGTTTTTGTCCATGTTTCCGTTCATTTAATTCAAAGTTTCTCTAGATTTGAGAGTTATTTAAGAGCAAAATTGGAATTCAAATTTCCCCAAGTTCAAAAACTAAAAATGAACATGAAATGAATAACTTTCATCGGTTTTTGGATATACACTGTGACAAAACTGAACCAGCATAGCAAAATTTCAAATACTAATGCTTTGATATTTGGCAAATCTTAATTTAGGTAAAACTTTTGACTGACTTTTAAAAATTGGAAATCTGAAAAAAGGCTCAATTACAAAAAATTCGAAACTACGAAACACTGCACCAAATCCAATGCTAGTAAAATGTTCAACTCCGTCTTAGTAAAAGTTGCGGGTCGACCTATTTTCATCCCAGAGTTATGCTTGACTTTTGTTTTCTTTTTATGTCGTCAGTTTAGCATAATAGTTTTTGGCAATTAGGAATTTTTGGTGAATATTTGAGTTGAATATCCTACGGTAGTGAAACATCACAAATGCTTTTTTGTGCACATTCATTCATTCGAATGTGCCATATTTTCTTTATTAAATAAAGATGATGTACATATCGTACGTTTTTCTTATTTTAAATCGTGACAGTCAAAGGAAAAGCGCGTTGTGGAAAACGTGAAAAACAAGTTTGCCATCGTGCCGCTAATTACACTACGTGGATTTGAATTTCAAAGGGAAAGATTATTTTATTATAGACAAGAGGATATCCAGATTTCTCATCGTTGCAGGTTGACACAGGTTACAAAAGAACGGTGGCGCTTTCTCGTTATCCAGGTAATGTGAAAAAATGGTTAACTGTTGCAATATTTGCACTATACTCTACCTAGGGTTGCCAACTTTGTGTTAAACCATTCCGAGACACTTTAATGTCTAAAATTTGAAAATCGGTGAAACAGAAGCTTGAGAAACACGAAAGACATCAAAAGCAACAACAGTGCGCTTTGCGTGTCGTGTAGCGTTATTTTCACAAACTGTAAATAATTTTACCATAAGCAAAGAAACTTGTGTTGACTCTTTGTCGCATAAATGCAAAAAAACTGAAAAGGGGAAATGTACAATTTGTGCTAAGAAGATTTAATTAAAAAACACAAAAAAATCAGGATTTCTGGTATTCAAATTTGTATTTTCATTGTGATTTTGTCGCTTTAAGAAGATCTTTGTTAGTTTTTACAAAGTTTATGTTAAAATTTGTATTCCTCACGAAAATATAATAATAATGAACTCTCGCTAAGACAAGAGCTGTCAGCAAGGAGTCCTAAACAGACGGCTATGCGAACCTGAAAACTCTCTGAATGATGAAATCCTGCTCATAAAAAAGCCTCATATAAACAGTGCGTTATAAACTAAAAACAAGAAACACAAAATATTGTTACACGCGGCAACTTCATTGATTAAATTTTTTAACAAATCTCAACGGATTAAGATTTGATTCCTCTCAAATTAAGGTGACTGCTGTATACAATTTAATCATTCATTTTGCAATTGTTCAGCTTTTTTCAGTGTTATGTCATCAGGAAGTCACGGTTAACGAAACATGTCTAATCCCCAAATTGCAACTAACTCCTATTTGAATGAACCATACAGATGTATCGTTTTTATTGAAAAATATATTTGCCTGAATTACATCCGTTTCCAGTTTTGAACGAAGCCGACATGCTCACAATAGCCTTCTATATTAGAACGCCTTGGTTGTCGGTAAATTACGGGACAACCGTAGCCCAGCCTGGGACACGGGACGCTAGACGTCAATTACGGGACTGTACAGGCCATTCCGGGACGTTTGGTAGCCCTACCTCTACCGCACCCGACGAAATGGTTAGCAATGTTATCGAACCGTCTTGTCGGCCATCTTTCCTCCGTGGCGAATATGACAATCCAATTCCTTTTTTCGGGAGTTGAATAATTTACGTGCTCCATAGCGCACTCATGTGGAAGTTTGAAAATATATTTCACCCCGTTAGATTACGCAATGAAATAATTTTATTCGGCGTTACAGCGCGCAGATGGTGCCGTGTGGGTTATATATGACAGGTTTGTTTGGGATTTTTTTAATTTAATATTGTAATTATCTGGTTATATCCCACTCATATGGGGTGGTGAAAAAAAAAAGTTTGTTTGGGATAAATGAAACCAAACTATGCACATTATCTCGCCTCATTCATTGAAATATGGTAAAAAATTCAGGAATAGTAGGCCTATACCTATTTCTGAAATACGAAGGCATAATTAGTCTACTTCTGTGCCGGTGCTTCAAACTGTTTTTTTGAAAGGAAGGAAAGCGGTACTGGTACCGATCCTAGTTACGTTTTTGTGGTTGTTTTGAGGACCAAGTTTGATATTAATACAGAAATATTCCCTTTTCAAGTATAATAAATGGGTAATTTCGTCTGTTTAATTACGGTACCGTACATAGATAGGTAGGGTAGGGTACGGTAGTTTCATAGTTTACGGTACAAGATTTGTCGCCAACTTGCAGATTTGGGATAGAAATTTGTTCTGGAGTCAGAGATAGGTACCGTACCCTAATCGGGTCTCATTTAGTTTCGTACTTAACATACCTCTAGTGGGCGTAGCATAACAATTTCTTCATGTGTCAATCCTATTCCTAACCCCCGGCCCCACCTGACTACGCTATTCAAATATTACGGTACGTCATTACGACGTCACAGTGATGTAATAGAGCCCTTCAAACCATACAAACTGCGATCTAAGACGCGCAGACGAGCACCCGAAATCGAACAGCTATTTTTCTCGTCACTACGATCCCAATAGGAGAGAGATTGGTGACGCTAGTCGGTTCTTTATCGAGACCCCCATCTAACCCTGTCATCTTTGATACCTATAATATGTAAATGCAAAATGCGTCATTTTTGTGAATATTCAAAATATGTACAGGTACTTGCATTTTGTGAGAAGAGTTGATACTGTGATACCCTGACTGTCCGATTAGGACAGATTTCTGTTGAATATACCGCTCAGAGAAGGTCAGAAAATTTCTTATATCGTCACATTAACGTTGATACCCTCAAATATATGTAGACGGCAGTGATACCATTATCCATGAGTTGATACCATGTTGTGATTGTTCCGACTTCCGATGCAAATTTCATCTGAGTAATTTTTGGTCCATCTGGGATTTATAGTTGTTGACTTATCGTAATAAGCGTAAGTCCGGAAATATCCGGACCTTTTAAAATTGTTAACGTCGTTCTACGCGCATTTCCGTCAAAAAAATTTAATTTTTTTGCATTGGGGGGGGGGGTGTCTGTGCAGTAATAATGAGAGCTGTGACGTCATCAAAATCGGTAATTTTGGCGTTGAACTTGATCACCTGTAAATACAATTGTGAATTTCAGAGTAATAACCATTTACGCTATAATAGTCGTTTCGGTACTGTTGTGTTAGGAAAAACTTGACGAAAACGTTGAAGAAAAAATTAATTAATTATGAATTAATTATTAACCCTCTACTGTTCACAGAATTTCTCAAGGTCCAATTTTTGTTTACAAATTTTTAAGATTTTTTTTGCATAAAAATTTTTTTTTTGGAGGAGTGTGTTTTAAAGATATATTGCTGAATAGAACTCTAGCACACTTTTTCTTTCACTTTTGTATGACTCAATGTTAGACTATTCATATGTGTCGCTGCTCGATACCAATACTGCCGGAAATGCCTTATTTTTCTCTCTTTTCTTATCGCGTTCTGTATGTACAGTACAGTGTGTATTTCATATATGGTGATAAAATAAACTACAGATTACACTATTCATATTTTTCTTTCCTGCTGATTACTGAATTAAAGAAAAGATTACTAGACATATTAATAATAGTTGATAGTATTTCGCTATGTTATCAATATCCCTTGGTTTTAATTCAGATTCTAAACCTAATCTTATTCATAGATCTGAATAAGGCATGGTTTCTAAAATATGCCTTCCGACACCTTTGAAAATTCGAGTTGAACCGGTGGGAAAATGGTTTGAGAAATATTGCTTACTCGTCAGAGGGACAGAAGATGAATCTGAGGAAGAAAGTGAGGAAGAAGAGGAAAAAGACATTGAATTAGAAGACTGGCCTGAACTTCCGAACTTGGATCCTAAAGAATGGAAAGATCAAGATCATTACGCTGTACTTGGTCTTCGTAAAATCCGCTTTCGTGCTTCTGCAAAGCAGGTTAAATCCGCACATAAAGCTGCAGTTTTGAAACATCACCCTGATAAGCGAAGAGCAGCCGGAGCTATGGTTCCTGCAGATTCAGATTCTGATTATTTTTCTTGCATCACTCATGCGTATGAGATACTTGGTGATCGTGTGAAAAGAAGAGCGTTTGACAGTGTTGATCCTCTCTTTGACGATGATATTCCTTCCAATAATAAACAGAATAAACAAAACTTTATAAATGTTTTTGGACCGGTTTTTGAGATGAATTCACGCTGGTCTAATAAGAAACCTGTGCCTTTGCTTGGAAATATGGATTCAACATTTGAAGATGTTGATGGTTTTTATTCCTTTTGGTATAATTTTGATTCTTGGAGAGAATATTCATATTTAGACGAGGAGGACAAGGAAAAAGCAGAAGATGCATACGAACGTCGATGGATGGAAAAACAAAATCGATCCGAACGTCAAAAACGAAAAAAGGAAGAAATGCAACGAATTAGACAATTAGTTGATAATGCTTACGCTTGCGATCCAAGAATAAAACTTTTCCGAGAAAATGAGAAAAAAAGAAAAGAGGAGGAAAAAGCGAATAAACTTGCCGCGGCTCGCAAACTTGCAGAGGAAAAGCAAGCAGAAGAAAATAAAAAGAAAGAACAAGAACGTTTAGAGAAAGAAAAACTTGAACAAGAACGTGTAAAGCAACAACAAGCGGCGAAGAAAGCAAAGGAAAAAGAGAAAAAGGCAATGAAAAAGGAGAAACAAAAGTTGGACAATTTTTGCAAAGAACGAAATTATTTTCAAGAGTCAGAAGCTGAAAAGTTGAAAATGATTGACCAACTTTCTCACCTTATGATTTCAATTTCGTTGGTTGAAATAATTGAACTTAACAAAGATGTAACTTCATCTAAAGATAACAAAGAAGCCGGAGATAAAATAAAAAGCAAATTAAATGATTTTCAGAAAAAATTAGATGCAGAAAAGCAGCAACATTTGGAAGCTGCGAGTAAAAAGAAATCTGGTGAACAAAAAACAAATTCAAAAGATGATTGGGTATATGAAGATGTTCAACTTTTAATAAAGGCGGTTAACCTTTTCCCCGCTGGTACTGAAGGTCGTTGGGAGGTTGTAGCTAAATATATAAACACACATTCGCAAACTGGTAAACAAAGGGTTGGAAAAGAATGCCTAGGAAGAGCTAAGAATCTTCGCGATACTGAATTAAAAGCAAAAGCTAATCAAAAAGTTTTTGAACGTTTTCAAGAAAATCAGAAGACATCTAGTGGCAAGAAAGTAGATGAGGTTGAGATTTCTCAACGCTACGATGCTCCGAAACCATGGAACTCCGACGAGCAACGTTTATTAGAACAAGCCCTTAAAACTTATCCCAGTAGCACACCACAAAGATGGGATAAAATTGCTGAAACTGTTGGTTCAAGAACAAAGAAAGAATGCATGTTGAGGTATAAAGACCTTGTTGAAATGGTAAAAGCAAAAAAGAGTGTTCAAGCTGATAAAACCAAGAAGTAATTGAAAACAGAATGATGAAACTAATAAATATAATGCTACACAATTATTGGACAGTTTCAGTTCAGAGCACTGATTCGTATTCATATGAAACAGGTTTCATAGTATATACCGTACATATTTTGATATATTTCATTTAACTAAATTGGTCGCAATGTCCCCACAATTAAATTTAATATTAGTAAGATACTATTATATATTCACAAGACAGTGATGAAATAATAATTTAATGCAGGGCTGTCTCTTGTCTGATTTTAGCCTGTTTTCACTGTAACGGGAGTCATATTTTTAAACCCCTCGTCTGTCTGAGTTGCTATTTTGATTTTCCCAAAGTACCAGCTGCTTTTGTTAGGTATTTATGTTAATATTATAAACCACCCATTTATCTATGAGCATTGGGCTTCAAATCACGCAAATGTATTAAAAATCGTCCTTTTTTTTAAGAGTTGGATATCACCAGTGCCTGCTTGATAACAGTCGATTTTGCTACTCGTGAATGGTTCAATATAATACATGTGCCCTGTGCTATCTTTGTTCCGTTATAATTGTATCTTTTTTCTAATTAAAACTGAACTGAGTTGGAAAACATGTTTGCAATATCGTAGAATAGGCGCAATCTTGATAACAGAAAATGATGTTATTTGGTGAATGCAATGTCAAATTTGTTCAGGGGACATTTCTCAAGTACTCAACATGTATGCGTTTGCTATTGAAATAAGTAATACATGTCCCATTGAACTTTGACTGGCATTTCGCTGAGCCAAACGAGGCGGAGGTAGTTTAGGCCAAGTGAAACAAAATGTGTTTCCATGAATTCAAATATAACAAATTTGGGGTGAGATATTGGATCTCATAGGATTCAGAGCTGATTAAAGTAATATTCACCTTTACTCGTAAGTACTGAAATTTTGAGATCGGTTGGTCCATCAGTTGCCGAGAAGTAACAACAACGAAACAAACTAGATAGCTATCGGAGACCGCCGACTTATCGGTCTGCGTGGTTTCGATTCCTTCGCTCTGACTCGATAGTGACACCGCGTGTCTCATCACTAATTAATAACTCGTCATTTATACGACATAATTCATCCTTTATAAAGGTTTAATACATGTAAATATACATGCGCCAGTTTACCCACATTCAACACACAAACATATGTTCAAAACGAAGACAAGGACGCGAACGAGTATTGCGTCAAACTTGAGTAACATAAACACTCGGTGGGTATCAATTAATAAATACACTTTGATAGGATGGAATCAGGGGCGTGCCAAACTCTTCTGCTGCCCGGGGCGAGTTTCCGATAATGCTGCCCCTTATACCTAACCTTAAAAATAATTCGTGCAATGAACAAATTATAGATGCTGTTGTGCACGAGAATTAATAAATTAAAGGCCAAGTCATGTATTTCTATGTCCAATCGCTACTTTGCTGTCAACAAATGTCTCAACGACCGCCTCTTTCCCCCGTTCGTCAGGAATTTCTTTTCGACGCCGATCAAAGATAAACTTGACAGGCTCTAATTTGACATTACAGCTCGGTTCTGCTGCCCCCTCTGACGTGCTGCCGGGGCGATTGCCCTATTCGCTCCCCTCTAGGCCCGCCACTGGATGGAATGCATGGCTATGGTATGTGTGTCACAACAGCGCTTTTCCCACAAAAATATGGAATAAAAAACACTCGTTGAAGTAAAAAACACTCGCTTTCAGCGACCTTTCCCATATTCAGGCAACGAAAATAGTTGCAGCAAATTTGTTTGCAACCAACCACAACGATTTAGCAAAATAAACCATGTGTAAACTTCATGTCCAATGAGCATCAATAATTTTGATAAGGCAGAAAATAAATTTTTATTGTATCCAGAACTGGAGGAGGTTCGACTTATAAATGATTGCATAGCATAGACAGATTAAATGAACATCTAGTAGCATGATAGGTTTTTGAATTTTCTGTCTAATTTTTTGAAACCTTCTCTTTTTCCATGCTAATATAAAATAATTAATTATATATGTACATTAAAATGCTATATTTATGACGAAATATGGACAATCTTCAATACAAACGGATATATGACGAAAAATGGCTTATCATCACTGGGTTTGATATGTATTATTAATTGTTTATACAACTGTTTTAATTTTCTTCGATTACCGTAATTGGAACGCAATACATGCAATTGGTTTACAAAAAAAAAAAATTATATAAAACAAAAACTGAAAATTTAATTGGCTTCAAAAACATAATTAAATAATTCCATATTGGCTCTGGAATTAAATTTGGCAAAAAAAAACAAACATACATTCGGACCATTTTGCAGCGGTCATCACGAAAGCCGTGTTGTGACCGTCCTCCGTCCTTTATCAAACAAGCAGACGTTGTGCAGTTGTGTATGGCAGTATGGGGGGATGCAGGATTTTGCTGATGTTTCGCTATTTTGATGTATGCGGCAGGTAGGGCATAGGCTACTAGTACTAATGTACTGGAAAGAACAAATAATACGTAATTCAAATCTTAGTGTAACTTGCAATAGTATTCATAATAAAAAATTGGCAAATTATATAAAAACATTCAACTATACCTAAGTTACTGTGGGGTATTTTACCCTTGAAAACAAAACCACAGATTAAAAGAGTAGCAGGAAATGAATTATGTTTATTATGCAATAAAGAACCTGAGTTTCTGTCACATATTTTTATGGAGGCTCCCGAAGTATGCGAACCAAGATGGCGGACATCGGAATCTAATATGTGTACTAGGTTAGGGTTAGGCCATAATTTTAGGTATAAATACTACGGGAGGCTCTTGGCTAGTCTTCGAACTGATAATAGGACTTAAATAAGGAAAATTGGAAAAAAATTATCGTCTAACCCTAACCTGTTACCCATGTTACATTCCGATGTTCGCCATCTTGGTTCGCATACTTCGGAAGCACCTTTTTATGTCTTGTGAGTTTACCCAGAAAATTTATAATGATTTTGTTTACTTAATTATATTAAAATTAATTAGAACAAATTTTCTTATAAATTATGATTTTTGTGTATTATTAAATTTTAATGATCCTTTATTTAGTCATATAAGTAGTGTAGATTTAAATGCAATTATTTTTTTATTATCAATAGTTCAATATAAAATTTGGATTATGGGAAATTGTATCATATTTTACTCTCCTCAAAACTGTTGGAAGCCGATAAAAATGGCCCTAATGTGTAGAAAAAGTTCCAGAGTAAACAAACCCTTTGAAAAGGAAATACAGAATTTATGTAAAGCATTATTTTGAATAGTAAATTACGTAGGTTTATGATAAGTTTTTTACATTTGCTAATTTTGTTTTTTTATTTTATTATATATAAAAAAAATGAACTAAGATATTTCCTCAATATCAGTACAACAACGATTCTGTACGGTAAATACAATAGAGAGAGAGAGAGCGAATTCTTTTGTCAACCAGAAAACACATAATATAATTGTAACAAGTTGAGTGGAACAAAAGTTTTGGGGGAGGTAACAATACGACCTTGTACAGTCATCTTTTTTTATTGAAATTTCTGTTTATAAAAAGCTATTTACACTATGTCTGTGTACAAAACGTGGGTCTGGTATAGTTTGGTACCACATGCACTTCTAGTTGGACTGGCTCAACAATTTTGCATATGCCAATCCTAACCCCCACCTGACTACGTCACCGAAAAATTACGTCATTTCGACGCCACATTGGCGTGAAAAGACCACCAAAGTATGCGGATGGTCGTCCAAAACGTGCAGATGATCACCCGAAATCGAGCAAGCTATTTTTGTTGTTTTCCTGTCATAACGATCACGATAGGAGAGAGATCGCCGGCGTTAGCGAGTTCGTTATCGGCGGCGCGGATGCCATTTCGGGCGATCGTAATTATACTTTGGCAAGTCCTATGACGAGTTTGTGACGTCCTATTGACATAATTTTTGGATGGCATAGTCAGGTGGGGGTTAGGAATAACATACGCAAAATTCGTTTTGATACGCCAACTGGAAGTACTTGTGGTTTTAAACTATACTTGACCCAAAAGCGTAATCTGATTAGAACGAAGATGAATTTTGGATTAGTCTGATCAGGATTGGGAATTTATTCAAAAAATGACATAAACATAACAGTTAAACAGTTCTATAATTTTTTTTTTCAATTAAGTTTGAAATTGCGGAATTGATGTTGTGTTTTAACGGGTTTACTGTTTACAGACCCTTTGCCTCACGAACATCTCATCCTTGTGATTTTCTTCAGTCACTTGGTGGCATGAGACTATTTAATTTAAGACTTCAATAATCTGTGACACCTATGCAACCCTAACTACAGAACTATGCACAAATGTTCTATAAATCCTCATATGTTCAATAATATTATATATGAACAAAACTCAAAGTGAATGTGGAATAACTGAAATAAAGTCATAACATTACAGAACATAGTAAATAGTTCAAAACAGAGGGCAGAGGGAAACAGCAAATACCTGCAAAACTAAAAGAAACAGTTTTGCACAATTTCCCCTATGTTTCCCCCTTTTTCCGCAAATAGTAAGACCCAATAGGAAACAAGTTTGCATACACCCATATAATTAGTCGCCATATTTATTCGTACCATTTTTATTCATAATATAGTGGCATTATATACATATTCTTTTTTCCTTGCTTTTCTTTATACTAGTATAGTAAGGTTTAAAATAGGAATCCAGTCAGAATGTCTTCTTGTGGGACTTCAACTGGCAATATTGCAAAGGAGGGAGAAGAAAAATTTGGCTACTGGAAACAATTAGTTGAAACTGGATTCGGAGGTCTTCAAAACTGGCCAAAAATGCGTCCACTGGAAAATGATTGGCAACGTCCTGGTTTGGCTTATGATAAGTGTGACATCGAAGTCATGGCTATGGAAATTTGTCGTTTGCACAATGCAGATAATCATAGACGTGTCCAGCAAGTGTGTGCGAAAGAACTTACAGACTTGATGGAATGCACATATCCTCTTAATCGATGTAAAAATGAAAAAAAGCTTATCAAAGCCAGTGCATTAGCTTTTGATCCTATACCTTCATTGCAAGCTGGATTTAATTGGAAATATTAAATTTCGAACTATTGATTCAGAGTTTCATCTAGGACTGGTTCTTCATTCTTATTAAAATATTAGGTCATTTTGGAATGATTCAGATTGTTTCAACTTTTTCATGAGCAAGTTTGAATTTTGGTTAATTTTTGATTTTGCTTTAGTGTTCATATTTGATCTTTTTGAAATATAGGAGACTGTTGTAGTGTGTTTAAATACCCTTGGCACGACATTTCAGATATGAATAAATATTCCTTCATTCACTTTGTAATAGTTTTTTTTGAGTATCGTATCATATTGAGTTTATATTATAGGCCTAGCTGGATTTTCATTCAGCATAGAGTGAATTCTGAACATTTTTGTAGATATATATCAGTCCTACGATTTGTCTGATTATTTTTTTAAATTATTCTGGTTTCGATCACATTATAATATCCTTAAAGTGTGCTCATTCAATAAAATGTGCGTTTATCTTTAGATTTTATAATGGAAACAGTTAAATCATTATTCGAAAGACTTCAATATGATGAAAATCGTCTTGCTGCCCTTTTGGACGGAAAAACTTACTTAGTAAACGTTAAGCCCACTACTTTGAAGGGAATAATAACAGCTCAGGATATTGCTTTACTTTTTGCTTGTTTCGATACGCAAAATGAGGAACAAATTTCAGCTGTTATTTTCATATTGAAGCTATTATTGCCAATAGTTGATGTTGGGGCAAAATTGGAAGTTTTATCTCAGAATTTATGGAATGGTTTGAATCATTCCAACAGCTCCGTTCAACATTTATGTCTCGGTGAGCTTCGGGAATGCTGCGTAACAAATATAGGCAACCGTGCGTTAATGGAAGGCAAAAATGTCATTGCAAAAGTAATAGAACTCATTGGGGATGATGACATGTCAATAGCTCATTCAGCAGTCCAGTTTCTTTCGGATTTTGCGTCATATTCTATCAATGCAGCAAAATTTCTTCTTCAAGGAGAATTGCTTGAAAAGTTTCAGGCAGTGATGAGAAAGAATGATAACGTTCGTTACAGAGGATATGATGTTATTGTGAAAATTCAATCTAAATCTATTGAACATTTATCTGTTTGTGATTCTTCTGGTTTGCTTCGTAATCTTGTTAATGAGCTGATGGGAGATGATGTTTTAATTAAAGTTGTCTGCGTATCAACTTTGTCTGAAATGGCACTCAGGAAACACAGTTTGCAATACTTGAATAAGAATGGAGTTGTCAACAAATTGATATCAATGATTACAAATGCTGCCTCTGATCCATTGGCCGATTTATATATGCCAGAAATTGTGAAGTTTTTTGGAAAAATGTCATACCAAGAAGGACCACAGCATGTTATACAAATTTTTCCACAATTTTTGGACACATTGTTCTCGCTTGTTGATGAATTTGATTTGGTGAAGAAAAAAATTGGAATTGAAACTTTGGGATTCATTGGACAAAGCATGGAGGGCAAAAATGTTCTTGCAAAGGAGGGAAACCGCTCCAAAGCGGCAGTTACTGAAATTGGTAAGATTATATGCACAGAGGGAAGCGATTTGAGACTGATATCTATAAATGCAATGTGCCAGTTATTGGATATAGCCCCCTTGGATCAGACTGAAGATATTGTAGCTTTATTGGCACGATGGTTTCGTTGCATCTCATCATCTCCCATTGATGCAATTTTGTTTTTATGTCGCCAGCCTTTCACAAGTGTAAAATGTGCCGGATTTCATTTGATAAAAACTATAGCAAAATTAGAGTTTGGAATGGCTGCTATGGTTGAGTTCCCCACTTTTGTGGAATTCATCCTCGATCGATCGTCTGATAATAATAAAGAATCTAAAGATGCAAGATTTGAAGCAGTAAAAGCAATTGCAGAATCTCCCCAATGCATGCATATCTTTGGAAACAATAATTATTTAAAGTTCCGTTCTTATGTTCTTGAAGGACCGTTATATGAAGAGATGGTCAGTCCTGAGGTCGCAATGGAAACATCTTGAAAAATATGCTCAGTACTAGCTTGAGCTTTAAGTACACCTCGCCCTTACGATAAGGAGCTAAAGTGAACTATAATTGAGATTGAGATAATTGAGCCCATCTGAAACATTATTTTTGTGATAATTCTGTGTTTGCTTTTACGTTTAATGACCGCCTGCTATAACACCTAATGTAGTAACATTAATAATACCTTGTTATAAGGTGTTTGCTCACTTAAACTCAAAATGGGATTCGTTGCAAATTGCAAGCAGCAATTGAATGCACTGATTGTCGTGTTTCGAAAGATCAAAAATTTTATGAATCAGCATATCTGAAATGGTGACCACAGACTGCATATTTTTCATAAACTTGCTGGGAACCTGACAACTTGCAATGCTAAATCAAATATGACAGCAGGATCTATGTCATGACACTTTGGACAATAAAATATATGTTTGAAGTTTGGACATACCATGCATTATTTAATGATGGGTGATCAGTCTTATAGAAATATTGCAAATTTTGTATAAATTTTTTCAAATGTATTATCGAACACAAAGTTGATTTGAAAGTTATGTTTGGGACCAAAATTTATTTTCTTCCTATCTGCTGGATCACTCGATTTCAAATATTCGCAGTTGAAAATGAAAGTTTCTTCTTCAAAAATATCTCTTTCAATTTTGTCATATTTACTCTAGGCGTTTTTTGATTTAATATGAACAGGTTATGAAAAAAAATGATGCCATGTGGCTGTGTCTTTATATTTGAACATTGCTATTTGGCCATATTTTCAAAGCTATTTATTCTGATCTTTGCGCTATATTCCAAAAGATTTTGCGGTATAATTTGCTCAAGTCGCATATAATAAAATCATCATTATTTAAGTTGCTAATACACTGCGTTTTAATGCTGCCTTTAGTTTCATAATACAGAGAATGTCTTTTGTAGCAATACGTAATCTACCGTAACTTTTATTTTAACTTTCATTTTAGAACTCCTGTTTATATCTAATGTCACATTGAATGGTTTAAATTTTCATCAGTCATGCTTCTAATAATAAATCGTGGTTGTTTAACCAAATACTGTTCCATACTGAGGAGTAGTTCGTTTTGTACCTCTTCATGCACTCGTCAAGTAAAGGATGGACCAACCAAGGCAATGTATGATAGAATGATCAGAGTCGATCATGCAGGGGAACTTGGTGCCAATCGAATATATGCTGGACAGCTGGCTATTTTACGTAAAACTGATGTTGGCCCAATCATTGAAGAAATGTGGGAACAAGAAAAAGTTCATTTAGCAAAATTTAATGAACTTATACCTAAGCATAGAGTGCGTCCCACTGTATTAACTCCAGTATGGAATGTCGCAGGATGGGTACTAGGTGCTGGAACTGCTCTTATGGGAAAAGAAGCTGCAATGGCTTGCACTGTAGCTGTTGAAGAAACTATTACGGAACATTATAATGATCAACTTCGAGAACTTTTAGCAAGGGAGGATTCCTCGGAGCATCAAGAACTTCTTGATACAATCAAACAATTTCGTGATGAGGAAATGGAACACCATGATATAGGAATTGACCATGATGCACTAAATGCACCTTTTTATTCAGTTTTGAAAAATGTAATACAAGCGGGATGCAAGGTTGCAATATTTGCATCTGAAAGAATTTGACATCCGTAAATGGAGCTTTGAACTTATAGAAAATCAAAAGCGATAATTTATTTTTTTCGACTGCCTCCATACTATATTCCAGACCAAAACTGAATTATTTTTCAATTCCGTAAATTCACAAATAGTCAAATACATCGAAAAACACTGTGCAAGTTACTAATCAATTATTCAGTTACCAATCTTGGATGCATGGCATAATAGTTAATGTTCTTTTTCTAAAGTGATGCCAATAGTGAAATACCTGAGCGGAAATTCTACGAAGTTGCGATGGTTTTGCTATTAGTTATTGAAACCTAATGTTTATAATGTGACCAAGCTCGCAATTTTAATACAGGTAATACTTACCATAATTGTAACCCTTTTCGATAAAAACAAACAGGAAAAGCAATTTAACTTTTTTGTCTTTATTCAAGGATGTTCCCTCAACAATCATGTAGTTAATAAATATGTTTTGAGAGTGCGAGGAATGGTAAAAAATTTGATATATAATATTTGAAGCTGATAAAATCATGCTTCTATACATCCAACAAAGTTATATACTCAGTTGGCAGTTGGCGCATTACAAATAATGTAATACTGGTATTCAAATCTACTTCAATTATTTTATTAATTAATATAGTTTCTCGATGTGAAGTAACACTGCGATCACTTTTATAAATGTGAAGTAACACTCCGATCACTTTTATAGTTTCCTTTGCTTTCATTTTTAGCATATTATTTAGGATGGTTATATTTGTACGTATTGATATGAAATATGGAAGATTCTGTGGATTCTAATGTTTTGTTGGTTGTTCCATCATCTATTGAGGACAGTGTTCCTGTTGGTGGAGACAATCCACTAGGTATTTACTAAAAATTTAGATCAATTTTATTTTTTGCTCTTGACTGAACAATGTTTTCATCCTGTCTACTAAATATTAAAATAGGGCATGATTACTATGAGGTATACCTACTTATGTCAAGGATATTATAGAACACAACCTTCAACATTAGCCAATCAATGTAATTTGTCAATGTTTCGGATTTCCGTACACAAAATTTCACTCTTTCAAGACGAGGACTAGAAATTCTCTCGCACATAATTATGGTGAATTAAAGCAGTTTGCCTAGATCTGTTTGTGGTTTCAATACGCTGTCTATTGTCAGCTGTGTCAATGACTTCTTCATGATTTATTCAAATATGATAAAATTTACTTGTCAGGAATTTCAAGCAAAACTCTTCATCCAGCAACTGCTTCTATCTCAATTGAAGCTGGAACAGACTCATTCTCCTGCTTCCAACTGTCTGGAGGAGAGACTCAGGTATAGCATCTTATTTTATTTGATCACAATTCGATAAAATTTTTCATCAATTACCTGCCCAGTTTCAAATGAAAAAACATGTTTCTGGTACTTTTTACGAATGACCGCATGCCGCATGGTTTCGTGTTTTAAACCTCAGTCAAGGTTTTAGCCACACCTCATAAAGCTCCAAATTTTGTATCTTGTGCTTTTTTATATATTGTGTGATTTGAATCTTGGAAACAAACATTATATATGTATTGTCGTACAGCACTCGAGGAAGATTTATTATAAATACTTAAAAAATGTTTTTTGTACATGAGCTTTTTGTTTCAGTCGTTATTCCACTATGACAAATGTAATTTTGAGATAGAGATTTCATAAATTGTGAATTGTGATTATCATATTCCTATTTTTTTATCCAAGGATTCAAAGTCAGAATCTTCTGAAAGTTTACATATTGATGAAAGAGATGTAGACATTATACCTCAATCCCCTAAAGAATTGCATATCGAATTGAGTGATACTCCAAGTGCTCATTCGAATTCGAACACAGAACCTAACGATTCATATCAGAATTGCGACTGTCTCGACATGGTGGGTTATTTTTCTTATTTATATACGATTCTTGTTCAACCCAAATAAGGCCTAGTACTCACTGTTGTCACAATTATTTGGAAAGACCAGAATCTTTTCGGTTCGGTCTACCCTATTCAGTCGAGGACTACTTCATCTTATGCTAGGGTTGTGCAATGAATCTAACCTAGCTTGCACATGTGATCACAGCTTCATTGGCCCGCCGCTTCATTATCTGTGGCCCGCGTCACATTCGGAGAGTAATCACAAAATAGCATTTCATGTTGTTTTATATAATAAAATTATTCAGAAAAATCTTTTTACATATTGTTACATCACTAATGTCACTGAATTGACTAGTGTTATGGCTAGTTGAGGCAACTAGCGAAGTAGAATGATGTGCTTTGCTTGGCAGTCTAAATTATTATCTGGCTTTCTATCTTTTTGGTCGGGAATATATGCTAACAATAGAAAATCTAATGCGGATTCTATTAGCCTTGGATGGCTGTGTCTGATAACTATGTGTTTGCACAATGAAAATGTTTTGTTTTTTATTGCACTGTTTACCTATTCTTGGCACTATTGTGGCCCGCGAGCAATGCAAAAATAATTTTGTGGCCCGCGGAGCTGGCAGCCTTGACCACCCTGGTCTATCTTATTCAGTTGAAGACTACTTCATCTTATGATAGGGTTGTGCAATGAATCCTACCTAGCTTGTGCAAGGATATGATTTCAACTCCCACAGTAAATCTATAATTTGTTCATCACAAACAGGGGGTGGTTTTGGGGGTCGAAAACCCCCCTCACCCTTTTGAAATTGCCAAAAAAAGTAAAAGCATGTTTCTGTATCATACTTTTTTGACCTCCAAGACTCATGTACTCGCACGTTTTTCGGTGTTCGGCCGGACCCACTAGATGTTTCGATCTAACTTGGCAAATAGAAATAGAGTGTTTTGAACGATGTGACAATATATGACACAGGCGCGGTTTTATGTAATCGAAATGGCTTGTAAAATTTTTATTTTATTTTTAGGATCCGGGGAAAATGTCTCCTGATTTAATGGCAACGAGTGAAGGTTCACTTTCTTCATCAAACCCTGTTATCACGTCACAACCTGATGAGTATGTTCAACAAGCTTCTCCAAGCCTGGAATTTACGTCGCCAAAGTCACAGTCCCAGAGTCCTACTTTACAACCCAATACTGTGAATCCTTATGAAGCGGACACAGAATCATACACACCATCTGACTTCCCTCCTCCAGCGAATCTGGAAGAACCGAGTCGCTTTTCAAACTTTTTAGGGACTTGTGCAATTGAGGACAATGGTCCTTCCCCAATCATACTAACAGCCAATACAGAAACCAATTCTGAATTGAAAGACAATAATTCAGATTTCACCAACAAAGAACTTCAGGAAAAAGGTGACCAGTCTTGTGAAAAAATAAACAATTCAACAATGGAAAATGGGAAAATACCAGCAGAATATGATCTTGATTCGAATGATATAATTATTGAAGATGTCAACATGAGAAAAATTGAAGATGATGAAGCAGTCAATAAGGAAACAGATGAGGAGACTGCTCATGATAATGTCTCTTCAATTCAGCACGAAGGTAAGATAATATACCTTTCAGTTGAATTTTACAAGACTTTATAAGTACCTATCCTTCATGCATTTCGGCTAGTGAATCATATGCGTATAAGCCAAGGGTGCTGTAGCAAGAATAAAGATGACTATTCTTTGTAATTCACAAGTCTTAGTAACTATCAGTTGGGGTTACGCAAGACTATAAACCTATCCTTCCTCTATGCCTTTGCACTAGTGGATGCGATCTGTATGTAGAATGGAAGAACGCTGTAGCAGGGGTAAAATCGACTTTTCTAGTTCATTCGAGAGTCTTGCTGCACACGAATGTATTACTGTTATGTTTATTCAGAAAAGCATTTTCCAACTGCTAAGTATTACTGTTAAAACTGTCAATTATGCTCAACGTAGTCTGTATTAGTGTGCAGACTCTTGAATCATATAAAGTAAGATAATTTCTTTTATTAAATGTTCTTTTATTTTGATTGCAATCTTTATTGGATTGATTAATCCTCCTATTTATCTACATTTTCCCTCATTTTTATTCTATTTTGCAGGAGTGACACAGGAGTTCACACAGGATTTAAATCTGCATCTGACTATCGAATCTCAATTGTTTGATTCTTCAAGCTTTCCTCCTGCAGATGACAGTCAATGTCTGGTGATAGATGAAGAACTAGAATCTGTTGGGACATTGAGGCTTAAGAAATCTAAATCTGGCTTTCCTATGATGGAGGATGACCAAAGGGGAATCACTGAAAATGTTCGCGATCACATTCACGGCAGTATTACTGAACCGAAACTTCATTCAGACTCTGGAAATGATTGTTCGACCGGTACAAAGCAAAATGAGGGGCCAAAATCACCTAATAGCACTTTCCAGTCATCTGAAAATGGTTTCGAAGATGCACGCAGTTTAGAAACAATATCTGTTACTAAAGATATGATAACCGATGAAATAGTTGATAATATACATGAAAGTAATATTCCGAAACAAAATTTAGAATCTCAAGCTGGTTCGAATGAGAATTCTTACGTCGAAATCAAGAATCCAAATGTGGATACTCGACAATCCACTTCAATTGAATTGGAACAAAACGTAGCAGATTCTTCTGGTTCAGAACGTATGGTCACTGCACCATCTCCACATATATTTGAATCCTGTTCAATAACAGATCATCAGCCCGTTGTAGAGAGTTCTAATTCATCATCAAAGACTGGAGGAAATAATTCAAATCCTCCCGCAACCAATCACATGAAACATGATATAAACATATCAGGTTCTAACCATAATGAAGTCCCTCAGTCAGAGTCTGACCGAAATCCTGTAGGGTCAACCTCAAAATCGATTGGAAGTCAAGATATATCTCCCTCTATGCAAAGCACCTATATTGATGAAAACAACAACAATAATTCTCCCCAAAAGAAGCAGATTGTAGATGACACATTGGACTCCATGGATGGTTCATTGCCGATACAAACAGGAGAATCTTACGATGCCTCTGCTGAATATTCGTCACAAGATAGGGATGAGAATCTGGTGGATTCACAAAGTTTAATGATTGGAGATTTAGAAACTCAGCCTTTTTCAATGACTCCTTTGAGAGGTATGAAATTTTTTTACTTCTTTTTGAAATAAAATTGTCTAATTCGATGATGTTAAAATTAAGTGCATTCACACATTGCATTATGCTAAGCATTAGGTAAAATTTGTGCGCATATACTTACATAAATGAAAGTTTGCTGATCACATTTTTTGCTTTGTGAACTCAAATTTTGCTGCTCTATTGTTCTTCTGTATCAGTGTTTGTTTTTCTGTCCTCAGGTTCGAAAATTTCGACATATGAAGATTCTCAATCTCTTATTGCAAATGGGTAAGTAGCAGTTTGGACTAAATTTTGTTTCAGATTTGTTCTGCGAGGCAAAGAAGTTGCCTGGGTTCAGTGGTCTTCAAGGCTGAAAAAAAAATTAAAATATTTGTCACATTTGGTTTTGCACGCCTTATTTTGTATATTTATATTTCTTTATTTTGGATTTTTGGAACATTTTTTGGTGCTCCCAAAGTATGCGAACCAAGATGGCGGACATCGGAACGTAACAGGTTAGGGTTAGGCGATAATTTTTTTCCAATTTTCCTTATTTTAGTCCTATTATCAGTTCGAAGACTAGCCAAGACCCTCCCGTAGTATTTATACCTAAAATTATGGCCTAACCCTAACCTAGTACACATATTACATTCCGATGTCCGCCATCTTGGTTCGCATACTTCGGGAGCCCCCATTTTTTTTTATAATGAAACTTTTGCCTCACTATCTGTTAGTTGTAGGCTGTAGCTTATTGTTAGGTAGTTGTTTTTGAGGTGGGGAGCGAGACTTGTAAAATTCTAAGAAGAGGGTGCGGCTTAAAAAGTTTGAGAACCACTGCCTTAGATGGTTTGACTTTTGGATTATTATTGTTTAGGAATATTATCAAAAACTAAAGGTTTAAAACAGTGTCAATTTTGAATTGTAGGCGAATAGGCCTTGCCTAAAAATATTTTCGTGATAAACAGAAATAATGAAAACATAGTGTTGGGTTACAAGAGCTAAGAAAGTTTGGTAGGCAGATCATCAAACCAGGTTTAATTTTTACAAAATAATGATTTTTTTTAAATTACCGTAGTGTCTACAAGGAACGAGTTTTGCTTCGTGGTGCATGTGTTTGGGTGAACATCTGAATATATTGCGCAGTAATGGTGAACAGTGTTGTTGAAGCAGTAATTCAAAGTGATATGCTTTCATTTTATTGAATTTACTATTTCGTGAAAGTTCACCTAATATAAAGAAAATCTTGTTAATTTACAATTTCTGAAAGATGTGCAGTATAGGTACACACAAATAAAAACGAGAAAATTGCGCTTTTTTTTCAGTTTTGTTTTCTGTTCAAGAATTCACGAGGTTTTGTCGCTCCCAACAGCGCCATGACACTTCGATAAATTAACGATATTCATGGTTACCGCACTACTCAGTGCACGAGTATGTCTTGAATTCAGCGATTCCTTTCTATGATAGTGACAATATTCAATCATTTTAAGGTCCCGTTGTGATCGTGGTCGCGATTCTAGACAAAATGTCTATATGAAACAATAAATAATGAAATTGAAACAACTAATTCCAGACAATTAGCTTATCTTCAAATGTGAAATTGGTAAAATGCGTATGGCGTATAGCTAGCAATAACGTAGTTTATACTATTATTGACTTTACAGGATCGGTAAACTAAGACTATGGTGAGAATAGTGAAGTGGGCCGCATGACATTAAAATAAATAGTCTGTTATTTAGTATTTATCCAAAATTTTGACATCGTTATCAAAAGATGTTTTACAATAGTGTCATAGTGAAATGTAAATTAGTTCGAGTTGATAAGATTCAAAATTATTGTTTTTTATTTATCTCCGGAAGCGGCGACAGTGCGATGCCCTGTCGACTTACTGCTTATTGTAATTCTTGCACTTGTCAAGCATGGCGTTATGTATACACGAACTCGGCCCATGGTGTAATTTGTTCCTCTTCATTTCTATGAGGAAATTGCTTTTTTATTTCGTTCCAAACAAGTATGATTTGGGTTATGATAAAAGCACGTTATATCCCTAATGCCAGGATTATCGTAGCGGCGTCGATTTTTGATTTATATGTGTGTATTCTTTCGCTATTATCAGTTAATTAAGTAATCATTATCAGGTTTGCGTTAAGATAGGATTGTCATATTTTCCCGGCCAATGAGACGGGTTAATCATGTGGTGAACAACGGCCTCTCGACCGATTCGTTTCAGATGCATGGACTTGATAATAGAGGAATCCGTAACCAACCAGCGGTTACATGAACAACCAACCCTACGAGGTTACGACGGCGAGAAGTCACGCAGTCCTCTCACGATTTCTATTTTCATTATATCATAATTATCATGTAAATTAGGAATACATCCAAATTTCAAAATCTTCTGCTTTTCGAATCATTCTTTTGCTCAACATTCTTGTCCGTGGATATCCACAATCGCCAATAATGTGATGTAACTTTATTAGCGAACCGCTGATGCCGAATTCTGACGACAATATAACACGTGATTGGAGGCGAGTCCAGACTTGTTCTTGCCCTCTGCATCGAAGCGTCTCCGGCTCCTTAACCCGTGCATCGCATTGTGTAATTTTACATGGACAAATTTAATGATATTCGACGCAACGTGCATAATGGGTTAATACTTCAGCAATCGTACGTCCTTTAGTAAAAAAAAGAAATAAATTAACCCGCTTGTTTCCGACGCACGAATTATTGTGACGCAGCGCTTGCGTGATAGATAGTGTATTATGAGGTTGTATTTATTAGTTGATTAAAACCTTGAAGTTGAAATACCAGCGGCCAGACATGCGACACGTTAATTGTTTTTGTGATAATTAAATATCCAGTGACGTTATAAAACTTGTAGTGAAAAAATGCTATCTTTCGCGAAATTTTGGCCCTCATAATTTTTTTATTTCAAATTTTCCGAGTTGCTGAGATTTTTTGTTTATTTATAAGTGAAGGAATTGATGTTTTAATCAGTGTATTATAATATTATGTTCAACTAAGTCTGACGATTAAGTACATTAAATTCGAACTAAGCAATCATATGACGCTAACCTGGCCATCGTTTTATAATAGGCATCGTAAATAAATTATTTCAAGAGGTATTGTTTATTACCATGGGTTAGCTATGTGTGTGAGTGTGATGTGTGATAACTAAGTTCGATGCTAGGTATTACCGGTGCCGAGAGAGAGAGAGATAGATCTTGTTAAACAGAATAAAATGCAATTCATTTGAGTTTACCTTTGGATATTATTTCCAAAGGCCATCGAATTCGGTTATCATGCAATCCAGCCAAATAAAAAATAATCATAGAAAGAATATTTTTGACGGTCAGACATGATGTAATAAGGAGCATGGTTCCAGAATACATGTGGCACGTTCCATTGTTGTCAAATAACAATGTAATGGGAAAAGGATTGACGGCAAGACATATTGGAAAGTTATTTCAAACGAAAATAAAAGACAATGTTTATATATGATTTATCAATAAATAAATGGTTTATCGCGTAAACGGCGTTATTGAAGATTTTTTTTTACATTATTTCCATCGTGCACATAGCCGTGATGAATAACGATTATCTTTTTTAATTTGATGAGTGGAGACAAGCCGATTACGTTATATTGTATATAAGCGTAATTGTCGCAGTGGGATGTCGCAGTGGGATGGCGTATCGGCAGTCAGTCGTCACGTGATTCGAGGTCATATATCAAATCCGTTAAGTGTATTTTGAATTAGCGCGCATTATTGGACTTTTACCGGTGTAGAATCTGTAGATGAATAGCGTTATTCAGTATTAAGTTCATTGTTGGGAATTAATTTGGTCACCAAGTATAGTTTATTTCCCAACTAAGGAAACTCGAACTTTGTAAGGGCCATATCAACATTTAAAATTTTAAATAGAGGAAATTAATATAAATAAGCTAAAATAATGTTCCATTTCTCATACTTATCCCATGAGATAAGAAAGTCATCAATACAATTCATAGTGCTGTTAAGCTGTTCAGTGACATATGTATGAGTAGGACAATACCATATAAGCAAAAATGTAGATGAGAAAAAGCAGAATTAGCAGTAGAAGCCCAAAATTTAGAACTCATTCCTACCAATTATAAACTGATATTATTAAATATGGATCATTCCAAGTGTTCAAATATTTGGATGGCCTGTGAGTTGGATTGAATTTGACCCAGATGGATTAAGTTTTGAGATATTAAGTTTTCATGCGGTGATCATGCCAGCTATAACTTGTATTTTTGATTTATATACCACATTTTATGCAAATTGCCTTGCAGTTTAATAAAACAATTATCCTTTGGCAATTGATAATTTTTTTTTAAATGGTAATGAGATATTATACACACTACGTATAACAGTATTATTAAGTGTTAAGATTTCAACTACAATCTATTTTTAAACAATATTTCTTGTGTAATATACTTAACTTGCATTAATTTTTGTTACAGGTCAGCAAGTTCACCAGCACTAGATACAGATGCAAATCTAACTGAACATAATAAAGTTAAACATACTGACGACACATTGGTGAAAGATATTGAAGATATAATAAATGGAATTATAAATGAAGTTGAAAATCCAAAAATCGTTTCTATCTCATCTCCCAATAATCCTGTCACAGATGAGCGGTCTGAAGGGTCAAAGATCACAAGATTTAATTCTGTAAATAAAGGAAATCATCAAAATGAACCACTAAACAATCAAAATGTTTTGAATGAGTCTGCTTTGAAATCTTACGACTATCTCTCCCAATCTCAACCGTCCCAGGATATTCATTTGAAAACACCATTCCTCAGTCCTGTAAGTCCAGTTGTTGCAAAAGAGAAGAAATCGGTTCGACGACGAAGTAAAGATAAAAAACAAAGAAAGGATAAACCATCTCATATGGACATGGACAGTAATAATAATAATGTCAACAACAAAGACAATGCGAATGAAGAGCATGATAAGAGTTCCGATACTTTACCATTGGATGATAATGGTAAGTTTTGTAATTGGTCACTCAGAAACTGACCCATCTATTTACGGTATGATAGAAAATCTTCAAATTGTTGTAGGACATCTTTATCTAACTTGTGCACTTCTCGTGATATAGCATTGCTGGTCTTTTACTAGTAGTTAGTTGAGCGTTACCATGGTGTGGTTCTCGTTTCAACCATATGGGGTTCACGCACCCAGGTTTGAATTTCATTTAATATGCATGCATGTGAGAGAGGATTGCTAAGCTTTTAGGGTGTTGAAGGGTGGTTTACAGCAGTGGTTCCCAACCGCTGCCGCTTTTTTGCCGGTCTGTGAGAAATTTCATTGTTCTGTTGTTTTTTGCCGTCTCAATCGCTTTACCGCAGCCGAAAAGATGAAGTTGCATTGGTTTTTTACACAAATATATGGTATTATTTCACGTTCTTCTCATTTCAATTATTTGCCGTCAGCGAGTACATTTTATTGAATTTTACCGGTCCGCCAGGGTAGATAGGTTGGAAACCGCTGGTTTACAGCATCTTCCATCATATAATTTCATGTACATCTCGAATGATTAACTGGTAGCTATTATCTTATTTATACCAGACACATTTGTTTGTCATATGAATAAATATTAATCATAACCTGTCCTACCATTCAATGTCACTTTAAATATCAATTATGTTGAAAGGTGACCATACATTTGAACCCATGCGTTTATCCACGGGTTCAATCTATATGCGGGTGCTAAAACCCATGGGTTAGGGTTAGTATGGGTTTAACTATCCGTGAAACAAAAAAAATTCCATAGGTGCAATAGCATACAGGTGCTATTGTCATGGGTTCAAATGTACGTGGGTTCAAATGTAATGGAATAATACATCTATTTGAAATAATTAATTCTTCGTTTATTTTTAGATCAATCTCCTGGACCAGATTCTGATCCACTGATATCACCAAACAAAAGTGGGGTTCATATTTTATACAGAGTAACAAGGAATGCTGTTGTTGAAACCTTGGTGAATGGAGAAGTCGTTGAAACTAAAACTGTTCATGTGAGTATGGTCATGCTAAATAGGATTGTAAAGGAAGTCTTTAGTTTTCATGTACTTGAACACGACTGCAAAAGTCCATTGATAGAATTGGACTTTTTACAATTTTGCTCGTGAAATGTGTGATGCTTGTTTGCAAATGCATTTGATTGTCATAATGTAGATTATTATATGATTTGTGCACTGTGCTATAGCGAGATGGGCAGAGAAATTTTTTCAATGGCCCATAAAACAAATTTAAACATTCAGATTTAAACTTCAAACTCTGTGTAGAGATTTATTTACATAGTTTTTTATTCATGTATGGTTCTGTATGATGAACAGGCCTATTTTGTAGAATTTTAAGATGAATAGTGTTGCTTCACTTGAAATCTTGAACAGTAAACACTTAGCAATAATTGCAAGCTTCAAAAATAAATAAATTGTAAATTATGATCCTTTGTGTTTAGAGTAAGAATTCATGATTTTCGATTCTACTGTTTGCTTATGTATAATTTTGATGGAAATGTAATTTTATCCTTAATGATAAAAGCACTAAGATTACTCATTCCAAAATATTCATTTCTACCAGAAACGACCAAAATATTATAAAACAAATCCATACCATCACACATCATCTCAATCTTCAAATGGATCGGGATATCTTGCAGACACAAGCTCCATATCAAGAACTTCATCTGATTCTTCCACACAGACTCAATTGAGCAATTCACCAGGTATCTGAAATAAACGTAATACGACTATTCTTGGGTACATGTACTGCTCATTTAGTTTATATCAGGGTGGTCAATGGTTGCGAGATTGAAGGGCTGCAATGCCTTGCGGTGTTAGTAGGCCTAGTGCTATTATCAAAGAACAACCAAGTTCAGGCTAAAAAAACGGGATCACGCTGTGCGAAATCAGATCAGATCACATTTCCTCACTGCTATCATATGGCCCTCGTTTAGAGGTGTGTTTTTAAATACATACAAATATCTGCCAATGGTTCAGGGTACTAAAAAAATATAGTGCAGGCCGCACGGAATGGGTCCAGGGTTTGGACCACTCTGGTTTAGATACATACATATTGGATCAAGAAAGTCTTCACATAACGCACCACTCTTGTTTGGCACTTACATGTCCTGTGTAGCCCAATATGCCCTCTATGGGAATGACATTTAGGACTGTATTTACATCCCTGGCTGTTTTTAAAGGTTCTATCAATGAAAGACACAGTTTTCTTAACATCTTAACTCTTGACTTTTCTAACTGTCTAGATTTGAAGCCCAGATCTCAAGCATTTGTTTGAACTGGTTTATAAGGGCTTTTTTTATTCATTATTTCATTGAAAAAATAATCATTTTGTGAAGAAATTAAACTCTGAAAATGACAACTTTTGAAAAGAAATTGAATAATATTTTCTGCATTATATCTATATACCGGTAATATTTTCACTTCAGGTCGCCAAACAAGACGGACAAGCCATGACCCTGTGTCACTGACAACTGAGCTCAGTGGTGGAAGCAGCTCGAGTTCGAATTCATCCAGTGTCTTCCTGATTCCTGGATCCAGTGTTCACCCTCCAAGATCCACAAAATCATTAAGGGAACACCAGAATTTTTCACCAGATACAAAGTCTACTGACAATTCAATTTCTCCTTTTGTGTCAAGTAGTAGCAGTAGTAGTTCAACTTCAAGTCCTTTGAAACTGACATCCACCAACACTTTTAGTACAGTAACAAGTCCTGTTTCAGCAGTAAGTTATTTTCGTTTTAAAGCAAGATATTTTATAAAATGCCTGAAAAGATCTCTGTATAAGCAGCCAGTGGCGCAACCAGGCCGTTTTCAACGGGGGGGGTCCGACCGGAATTTACACAGTGCAACCACGACGTAAGTCGCAACGCCACTAGGTGTCGCCCCGCTGACCACGATAAATTGCTCATGGTTAAAAGGGAAACGCCAGCGATTAAATCCCAGCCTTTCGCTTACCTTGCACTCGTTCATTAACGGCGCTTCGCTATGTCTTGCACCTCGTGGGTAGCAAAACGCCGTTCATTACATTCCAGCGAATTGCTAACGAAAAGCTGTTAATTATTTTCAACGTTTTCCTCGCTTTGCGCCTCGTGGATAGTGAAACACGGCTTGAATAAATTCCAGTGTTTCCTTCGTGCCGCGCCTTGCTCGTTAGGTGAATTCGTCGAGACTAAAAACAAAATGCACTTCTTGCGAATGGACCTTTTCCCGACCCTAACCCCGGAAAAATTCTAAACTAAACTGAAGCTCACCGGAAGACATAATGACAATTAAAATAATTGATTTACAACTAATTTTTGGAAACACAACTAATAACTGACTAATTTAATGCAGGGATGTCCAAATCGAATTTAAATTCAAATATCGCAAACTTCAAATACTGTTTTTTCGTGTTTATAATAATCCCAAATATGGCGCACATATCCTAGGCGTCGTCGTCCATGTGTGGTTCGGCAATATATTACAGCTGACATGAAAGAATTTCGATAAACGCCGACTTGAAGAACTTATAAGACTTCGAGGACGTTTTTGATTGAAAATATTTTATTATCGGGTATTTTAACTTAGTCGAGATGGTTTAGGCGTCCTCGGCAAATTGTGTCTTAATTAGTTGTTTTCATCCTCAGTTTCGATAGTGACCGAACATAACAGGAAATTTTTTCATTTCTTCTAATTTAGCGCGTATAAAATAGCTCTTAAATAGTATTTAATATCTATCGCGGATTTTGTCGGCATCCGGCATTGATAACAACATCAGTTCAGTTAAAGTTAGCGGTATTCATTTACAAACAAAAATACATAACAGCCGACATGAAATATTCAAATCAGCGCAGAATTCAATAATAAAACACGTTTTATGGTCTTAATATGCACATAGAAAGAAGAAAAGACAGAGAAATAACGACTAAGAACGGTATGGTATGTTTGTGTACTTTTGTTTACCATCGTCATCATAATCAAATTAGTTAAACCCGATTCCCAAATTTCCGTCCGCCAATAATGGAGAATGAAGATGGAAAAACGTGTTTTACTTTTTGAGTCAGCGTTGATTTAAATTTTTCATGTTATGTGTTATAATTTTTTGATTATAAACCAATACCTCCAACTTAAAATGAACGATATTGTTATCAACGACGTCAGGACTCGGGATAACGATAAAATCTCCGATAGAAACCAAATAATATTTAGAAGCTATTTTATAGATTGTAAGAAATTAAAAAATTTGACTAAATTGAAATATACGATAACAAATGTAAAAAATTTTCAACCAAAAGCGTCATCGACGTCTTATACGCACTTCAAGTCAGAGTTTATTGAAAACCTCTCACGACGACTGTTAGTTATTGCCGTGCCACACATGGCTGCTTTCGATTGCGATAAAAAATAATTGTGGAATGTTTTTAAATCAGAACGTGGACGGGGGCGGTAGGATGTTTACAGCGTTTTCGGTTTTCGGTCTTTCATATGTAGAAAATCTTAGGTTATAAGAAGCAATATTTTTCCGAAAATAATTCCTGTATCCAGATTTTCAGAGTTTCTACTGCATTATTATAACATGAAGACGGGCGGCGTTACATTGCGTCAAGATGATGAAGCACGAGAGTATTCGTCACAAGAGAGAGAGAGATAGCATTATGCTATTGTCGCTTTCAATTCGCATCGACAGCGCGCGATTTCTACTTTTTTGAGATAACATATCTCATTTTCGAATACAAACATATACGCGGGGTTAGCGATTATAACGTAACTATCAGCAAAAAGGTATGATTGAAGTCGGGCGGTGTTAAATTACGTCGAGGTGATAAAGCACTGGAAAAAAGTAGTTTTCACCGGATTGTTATGACCGTGGAACGACGTTGTTTTAACATAGAACAATAATAAAAAAAAAACGAAATTCAAACGGGGGGGACACGACCCCCGTAACCCCCCCGCTGGTTGCGCCACTGTAAGCAGCCACTGATATCTAACGACATGTAAGTTAAGAACTACCTTTTTAGATAGATTTAATTCCTTTCGGTCTACTCAATTTATGAAAACCTGAGTTGGGTGTTGGGCATGTTATTTGAGTTCAACATTGATGGACTGGAAATATTCCAGTCTTTGCAGAATTAATAGCTTTTTTCATATCATTAGATATCTGTTGTTTGTTTGCACATGGCCTTGTCCATAGTGAAAAGCGAAAATAAGCTTGGTATAACATTAAAACAATTTTATTCTTTTTCAGGGATCTTCTCCAGCTTTGAAAGAGGGTCGAGTTGTTCTTACCCCACTTTCTACAGAATTAATTTCTTGCCAAATTGGGGCTCTGGGTAACAAAATGAGCGGGGACATCGCTACCCCACCAACAAGTAACATCAATCCACCGCTATCAGGAAGCACTCCCATGATATTATCACAAAAAGATGATTCTGCTTCGGACATAACGACATCAAATTCACCAGAAATTCCTTTTCCTGTTGATTCTCTTCATGGTACTGATATGACGTCGTTTCCTTTCGATAATAGTTCGACTGTGAAAGGAGACGAAAGTGTGAATGGAAATAAAGAGTCGACTTCTGATCCTTCAAGAATTGATCTAAGTAAGGAAATTTATGATATAATAATCTTCAATTTGTTTTAACCATTATGTCCATGACTCAGATTTTGGTTTGAAGTAGACTTGCATATTATAGACCAAATTCAGTTCCATAATGACGACCAAACCGCTTACATAATGACCTTGTAGGAAGGCATAAAATTATACGCTATTCACCAGGCTCAAATCTGTGTAGTGATAACAGAAATTTGGCATTGGGATAACGCTGCACGAAACCTGTAAAAATTCTCATTTTGTTTTTCACTTTTGCTAACTAATTGTGTGGCACAGAATTGTAAGGAATACATATTCGGTCAATATTGATTACTTAATGTGACTCGATAACAAGTTAAAACAGCTTGGCGACTTGTTTTCCGAGCAATTCTTGAAGCAATAGGCCACTTTCACAGTGAACTTACTATGTGCACTTGATAGTCAATGTTTCAATGGCCTATGCCCTATTGAATTGGCCAATTAAGTTTTAATGTCCGTATGGTACTTTTGAAGTATGCACACTAAGATGTCGCACAACCTGAACCATAACATGCTACACAGCCTGAGTTCAGGTTGTGCGCCATCTTGGTGCGCATACTTCAGGAGGTCTGTACGCATAATACTTTATTACCTCATTTATTCTTTTTTTTAGGTATACCTGTCCTTGCTCGACCAGCTAGAGAGTGCTACTATTACCCTGGTCTGTTGCAAACTAAAGATTCTGAATCTGGGAAATACACTGTGTATTTTGAAGATGATGGACGAGACAGACAAATACGAGAAACTGATATTTTATTAATCGATATGTTGCCTGTTGGGCAAGAAGTTTATGCTCAGAGTGACTCGGATGATTCTGCTGATTGGTGGTACAGTGCAGGTGATTACGGTTACAATTGATGAGTTGCAATTTGTGATATCTGCCTTTTCAGGAATGTTCAGAATGATAACAGTACATTCGGAATTCAGATATTCCTGATGTTAGTAATTACTTCCTTTGGAAATTTGTCATCTTCGGCATTGGACATTCGAACAAAAAATGAACACAATTTTATTTGCCACACTGTGAAAAAATATCAATAAAAACAATCTTCATCTTGAGCATACTGCATTTCCAACATAATTTTTACAACAGTTATGTAAAATTGTCTGTCCAATATGACCCAATATATTCCATATTCAACAATATTATCGTGTACTTGGAATAGTAAATTGTACAGTTACTTGTACATTTATCATATCAATATTTATATTTCAGGCACAATAGTGAGTTACTGGAGAGATGATGATGATAAACGAGGATATGTCATAACTAAACCTGCAGCCGGAAATAATAAGACTAAAAGGTTGGTATTACAGTTATCGAAGAGTTAACTGGCTAACTAATTCCATACTCGACATGGACTGGTAACCGGACGAGAGGTCGTGGTTCGCCATATTATGATTAAGTCGACTTTTCTGTGAATCCTATCTTAAATATGTAAATCTCATCCTATCCTACCTATTATTCGTGAGATAAAACTTTTATATAATTTTCGCGCAAATATAAAGAATTGGCATAATAGGATGTTCACGAAGTCCTGTATTAAATTAGGTAAAAAGACATTTACTTCATGTACATGTAACTAGTTGTGGTCCTAAAAAGTGTATTAAAGGAAGTAAAAGAGCTCAAGTAAATGAGCATTGATTGAAATAAAAAAAAAAACTGGTTAAGATATATTGAGAACTGACTCCATGACAGAATTTGGAAATTTTTGAAACTTTATGAACACCTGCCACTACATTTTTTGACTGACTCTTTATATTAATTTATCTGTAAAAAAGAGATTTTTTATCAATTCTATTTTCTATCATTGCTTTTATTTCCAATTTGCAGGTACACAAGGAAACAAGTTATTGTAAAGCTTGAAAACTTGTCAAACGATTTAAAGTTATTGAAGCTGCAGCCTGCATCTGGTCTCACTACAGCAGATGTTAGTTTGGGTAAGATACCATTATTGATTTGGTAATAAGATGGGATTTTCATATTTATTCTGAGGGAGAGGAAAGCCAGTAAGATGGTTTAATAATATGGCAAACCATGTCCTGTCATGTATCCATAATAGTTAGCCAGCTGTTTGTTTCTGATGAGTGGACTTAATGGTGAAGGGAGCCTTAGTCGACCTATGGTTTGGTTATGTAAACCACCCTATGATGGCGAAAAGTCCAGCAAACCTCTCGCACATAATTATTCTTGCCAGGTTCCTTGAAACTAAGAAGGGTAATCAGAGGTGTAATGGCAAGCTTATTCCTAACGATTGACACAATGCACCAACCGCCTTTTAAACAGTATTCAAAAATTATTTGAATGACAGGCAGGATAATTAATGCAAAATAGAATATGGGTAAGAGATTAGATTTCGAGTCTTTTCCTTTCGACTCCTATCAGCATGATAAATATAAATAAATTGAAAATGCAGCTATTGACACGCAGTGGTGAAAACATTAGATAGTATCAAGTATGATGGCATAGCAGAAGTGAGAAGGGGATAAATATGTTGGATATTAATTAAAAAAGATTAGCCAACTTCTTTCGTATCTAAGACAGCGGTTTCCAACCGCTGGTCTGCGGACCGATGCCGGTCCGAGAAGCTTCTTTGCCGGTCCATGATTAGTTTTGTTGTTTTTCTACTGTCTCAATCGTTTTACCAAAGTTGCGTTGTTTTATTAGGCAATTTCTCTTTTGCCGTCATATTGCTGTTTGATAAGTGTGGTATTATTAATGGCCCTATGACGTCTTGGCGCAGAGTAATTTCACAGCAAGATTTTGAGCCTGGCACCAAGTTACAGACTACTTGGTTAATATATTTTATAATTTTCCGTTCCAGCCATTTCAAATTTTTTGCCGGTTTGCGAGAACATTTTATTTGATTTCTCTGGTCTGCCAGGGTAGAAAGGTTGGGAAGCACTAATCTAAGATCTGTTAAAAATATTGCCCACTTTACTGTTTGTATTCTTTCAGTTCTAAAAATCACTGAATTTAATTTTTTCAAACAGATAACATCATGGATGGTAAGAGACGTACACGTCGGTCAAGAGCAGCTGATTCTGCTGTGAGCAGCCCTGCCGCATCCAGACCAGGGACGCCATCTTCCACGACTTCTAAAACTCCCCGTTCCTCAAGAAAACGTCGAGCAGATTCAGAATCTTCTGAGTCATCTTCCTGTGTTCCTTTCCCAACAACTAAGAAATCAAAACGAGGGAAACTTAGTTACGGGAGTCCAAGAACTCCAGCGAAACGAAAAACTTCGAATACACCATCTAAAGGTGAGATTGAAGGTTGAATTTCAGATAAATTAAGCTTTTTGTAATACTGTGAATTATGCGATTGCATAAAACAATGAGTAGGGATGGGCAATGTAGAATAATTTACTATTCTAGAATACTTAAATCAAATCTAAAATACCGAATCGTATTCTGTTTTTATAGTTATTTGAATAGCGGGAATTCCCCACCACATTGCTGGATTAAAATTGAAGTAAAATTGTAAACGTATTACTTTCTTCGGTTTTAATTGAAAATGTCCTAAACATTGGGAATTCAATACTTTGGGATTCTGATCCTCCGGATTTGCTATTCTAAATTGCCCATCTCTAATAATGACTGACATATTTCATTATTTTTTTAGGTGAATTAGGCGTCATGCCGCACAAAAAACCAATTATTTGGATTATCTATATTTAGAAGGACTGTAATCTTTTCTGTTTGGCCCTGCCTACCCTAGTTATAACACCCTGAGTGAGGTGTGGTCTATGTTACAAAAGTACTTTCTTCATAACATTGCTCTATTCAGATATTTTCAACTTGAATCATAAATAAGTGAATGCCTATAGTTGAATAAATGGTAAATTACCATGAAATGTTGGTTTATTTGCTGTTTGGAAAAAGGATTTACAGAAGTTTTAAATTTTTTAAATCTGACTGATTTGTATATATTTGGTTGCAATGTGCGCTAATTATTTTTTTTCCGTTACTTACAGTTGAGTTTTGAATCACTTCGAAAAAATAGATTAAAGAAGTTGCCTATTTTCAAAATTTTACTTAAATCAGCCAATTTTCATTTTTAGAATGATTGATAAAATAAATGTTATTTTCTTAGCATCCATGACATACAAAGAAAGCAAACTATTTGAGAAATGTGGATTTTTACTGACTTCAACAACAGGAAAAGATCATCCATCATCCGAGTTTGATTCACCTCCTTGCACCAATATTTATGGATATGACAGGTAATATATTATAAACCAGGGCAGGCAATTTTTTTTTGCGAAGGGCGGGGTTCATCAGAAAATATTCTTGGCAAAGGGCTGCATTGAGAAATTGATTGTAATGTCACAGTTATTAATTCTATTCGCTATGATATTGTCGAATACAGTTGTGGCTTGCATTGTTGAACATTAATATTACTTAACAAATCATAGTTTAGATAGTTTAAATGAAGTTAAAAAATAAATCCAAATTTTGTATGTAGTTTTGAAAAATTTCCACAACCCTTTTCCAAGAGCAGGGGGGGGGCACAAATTTCGTTGACGGGCAGTAGCTTGCACATTCTCGTAATAAACCATGATTAAGGTAGTTTACCAAAACTTCACATTCGAAAATTGTTTCCTTTTGGAACTGATGAACTAGTGAAGATCAGTTTGCATGATTTTGTTAGAAGATATTGCAATTTAGAGCAGGGTTACTCAAATTTGGCCCTCGGTCCCCCTAGTGGCCCACTGGCAAGCCCTTCACTAGCTATCGTTCTCCATGACTAAATTAATTAAAAAATTGGCTTCTTATTGTTAAATATGCTATAAATATCACTATTGAAAACTCTTTGAAACTCTTTGAAAGAAGGCCACAGGTATTGGAAGTTATTAATTTTCCTCACTTACATTGTACATAGCATGGCAATATTTTTCTGTTTTCCCTAAAGTTACAGGGTCGTAACTCTCACGGTTCTTCACTAACCTAAGCATTTTTGCTTGCCCATTGTCACTATCTGTCGTGATCATCTGCGCAGCCAAAAGTCTAATTGACCGCTTTGGAGCTTTTTTGTTGCTGTGTGCTCAATTAGACTATACTGACACTCATGAGTTTCATATCAGTTTACATGCCCTGTACAGGGGGCTAAGTGGATACTAGACCTTACATTGAGAGATGATAGTTGATTTTATATTTGTTTGGATGTGAACAACTTTTATTTCAATCTTTTACGCAGGGAAGTGTTGAAGAAACAAATCAATGCTGGGGATGGTGTTGTTGTCAAGGATTTCACACAGTTGGTAAGCTGATTTATATGCTCTGTCTCTATGTAGTTATGTCGACAAAACTTAGGCCTGATAATTAATACTTGTCTAGTCAACTTGACTGCCTGCATTTATTGGTAACAGGAAGTTGGGGTTGGATTAGAATTCCAAAATAGCTTTTGATTTTTGTTGAATCTATAGTTATTAAACAATATACTTGAGTTTTTAAATATCTTTTTCTCACCCGGTTGTCAGGTATGTGCTAAATAAAAAGAAGAATAGTTGGCGCTTAGAAGTGTGTGTACCAATATGGAGGTAACTAATTTTGGTCGCCTACTTTACATCAAGTTGTGTGAAGGGACTGAAACCTATGGGCAGGGGGTATATTCACTTGGCTAACACAAACAGTCCCCAAACTCATAATATAACTAAAATAAGAAAAACCGGATAAGCATTTTGCCCTAACGTGGCAGCTGGTACACATACTACGGGAGTACCAAATAGTTATCGAATTGAGCATATTCTGAATATCTTGAAAAAACTCTTGTATTATCATTTGTGATATATTATTTTGTTCACAGATGTCATGTGATCGAAGTGAGCTTTATGTCGTATCAGATAATTTTTGTCGAACAATGAATTATTTCAACGCACTAGCTGCGGGAATCCAATGCATATCTTATATCTGGATCAATGATTCAACAAACGCTGGGAGATTAAAAGCAATAAAATCCTATGTTTTGCCCGCTGGATACAGTTTGCAACATATGGGGATTGTGGAAAGGTAATGGATAACTTTGGAGCTGTAAACAATGTTTTAGTTGAAGTTCAACCTCAATTTTATTACCATTTTTTTTCAGCATCAAATCAAATAACTGTAATTTAAAAATAGAATAGGATTCACTATTTTCCATATGATGTAAGTAACCTAGAATAGTAAAATATGCTGAATGGCGCCTCCCTATGTTCAAACTTTTGGGGCATTGTTTTAAGCCAACAATTGTCTTTTCAGTGATGAATCACAATTAGAACAACCGGTAACCATAATTAGATTAATTGTTATCAGATGGTTAACGGTTGCAAGTCCTGTCATCCAAAGTATTATTCCTTTTTCTAATATGCATTCACATGATAAGAATTACACATATTTTTCTATCGTTTTTGAAAGTGTTTCACCGAAGTGTATCCCAGCCTAAATTCCAATATTTATATTTAAATCATAACTTTTCTAGACCAATATCTCCAATCCAACCACTGTCTGGTATTCGTGTCAGTTTACATATGAGAGATCTAGCAACATGGAATCCTTTACTGTGCATTGCTGGTTGTATATCAGTTTCAACAAGGAAGGATAAATTGAAAACTGGTATGATAAAAGCATTAAAATTAAATATTGTTCAAATCGAGTCATAAAGTTTGATTGATTTCAATGCTCTGGCAATTTAGGTTCCAATGGCAATAGCTCATCAGTCCTATTAGAACTTAGGATTTTTTTATTTATCCCGGGGAGAGTTAATCTTATCAAATGACAAACCACAATCTTTTGTTGGGTTGCTTGGGAATTTTAAAAAACCAACGCAGCAGCAAATAAAAAAAAATCGGAAAGAAGTGACTTAAAAGCATCTAGCGCCAAACCTCAACAGTCCAACCCTAAAAAATTGCCCGGTTAACCAATTATTTGTTTCAGATGCTCGGGCCCTTATCTATAACCAGTCAGTAAATTACTGCAAGACATACCGGAGTCTTTACAGCGAGGCAGAAGGTTCAATAAATTTTTGCTGTCATTGTCACTGTGTTATCTTTATTTCTCAGCTAAACTTAATGGCCCAGCGTTCTCGCACCCCCATTGCTCAGTTCTCGCACCTCTGGTAAATAAACCCAGTAACATAATCAAATCATTCTTTCTCCCTATTTGTTATTCACAACGCTTCTGCTCTTTTTAGTCACTGATAACACCAAATTAATTGTTTTATAAAATCTCTCATGTTTTTTACAGATTGTTCTCTATCGTGTGACATTGTGGTTGCTGATTCATCATGTGATCAAAGTATCATGGAAAGAGCGGAGAAACTCAAGATTCCTGTCGTGTCAATAGAATGGGTCATCCAGTGTCTTATAAACAATAAAAAATTACCTTTTATTGGTCATTCTCAATATTCTAGGTTTACTTGATCAACTTTTAATAATTCCATTTTCTACGAGTTTGGTAAAAATACGTAAAACCTGTAACTATCCAATTAATTCATTAATTCAATTCATTAATAGGAATTAATGAATGATAGGAAAGGTGTTTAAGGCTTTATCAATGTTGCGAAGCTAATCCTATTGCGAGTTGAAATTATCTGACTTACCTGACATAGTCAAGTTGCAAAAATACGACTCAAAAGACTTCATTTCGAACTGCATTTTAAGGTTTAGAAATGTTGCAAATCGATACAAGTTGCTCTGAAATATATATGTTTTCTTCTGGTCCTCAGAAATAGATTTATTTAACAGTTTTGTTCAATCATTATTAGGTAAATTATTCATACAGTTTTTGTGTAAAATCATCAAAGCCATTGTTCTTGTTCTGCCAAATCGTGCAATATTTAATTCACTGCTGGTTCTGTACTCAACCATTTCAAATTTGTTAAATTCTTGCTTATTCTAATGATGGCCAATGTTATAAATGAAATAGTTTGATTTGAAGTTGAAATGCATTTAAATATAACAATGGAGTTGTTCTGGAAATGTTTTTAATACAAAAATATGATTTTAAATCAATGCAAACGTGGTGCATTGGAATGTCTTATTGGTGCTTGTGCTGTGAATCTCATATCTCTGTTTCAAAAATATAATTATCACATTGTTTGATATGGGTCTGACAGATAGTTGCCATCATTTAATTTTTGTTTTGTTTCGTAATTGCTGTAATAAACAACCCGCTGTCTTTTTTATATTGAAAAAATAAACCAAATGCCAAATTTTTGAATGAAAATTTGATAACGTATTGCTTAATTTCTTTTGGTCACACAAAAACGTTATCTGTAAGAAATATGGGATATCTCTATAATGACGCAGAGAGAGTAAGATTGTTTATCTGTTGGAACTTAGAGCTAGATGAAATATCCCATTTGTGTACAGAATATCGGAATGTCATTTTAATGATTGGTGAGACGTGACTGGTGCCACTCATAAGTAAAACTTTATTTTGACTACATTACAGACGATGAAATAATTGATAAGAACAGAATAAATAAAACTTGATTACAGAATCGGGAGAGCAAACAAAACCTTTAGGTTTAAAACGTATGGATTTTGGATTGAAAGGTGTTGTCAAGAGGAGAGGTGCGCGTTCACTAACCCAAAAGCATTAAATTAATTATTAATACGTGCACGCGTATATACAATCACGGTGTCGGAGATACAATAAAGCTGAAAGAGAAAAAAATATATATATATTACTTAGTGAAAAAGAGAAAAAATACAAATAAAGAAATTTGCCACACCACATTAATGATTTTGTAAAGATTGCCAAATTGGATACCGAATTTGTTAACAGGAGTGAAATGTATAGAAAAATCTTTCAATCGTCAAGCTGACCATATAGAGGACTTGCACGGGTCACGTGACATTGTTACTGGACGGCAATAAAACAAAAACGTCCATTTGGCTCCTGTCAGTTGCAAGTCGGATTATACGTTTGCGTTTTGTTTGGTTGTTGAAAATGGTTATTTCGTTGTTCTGTTGGCTGTACGTATAGTATAGACATGGACGAAATGGATCTTCAGTAATATTCCACTGATTTCAAAAGATCCTGAACGTCGCGCAATGTGGATATCATCTATTGCCTATTGGCAGAACTGCTTGGTGTCAAGTCCAGAAGCCATCTTACTTGTGTTTCACTGTTTGCGGACAGCACTTCGTTGATGGTGAGTGATAATGTGGTGATAGTGTGCCGTTATCAATTTCTTTAAATATTCACAAGCTCCCTCATTTCAATGGAAAGCAGATGGCAAACTACTGTTATCAGTAGGCCTAGGTGTGGGCCTACTTCAGTACTTGCAGTTGCAGACTTGAATTGTGTAAGACAGTAAGGAATTAATAATCAATACTCTAATAATCAACTACTGTTATTAGTAGGCCTAGGCGTGGGCCTACTTGCAGTTGCAGACTTGACTTGTGTAAGACAGTAAGGAATTAATAATCAATTGCTGTAAGGTATTGTTTCCTGATTAGCAGGTAATCCATTACTAAGTGTGAAAGGTTGAATAGATAACTAAAGTTTAACACCACTGGTCATGCAAAAAATAACCAGAATTCAATTTAATTCGCCATCTAGGAATACGCTCGCCACCGCATCTCTGATCACCCTGGTAGTTTCACAGGTTTCAATCCCATGCGGGGATAGTTTTGTGCTAGAGGATTGCAGCTCCACTCCCACCGAGGGTGGTTCACATGACCGCTGATCGGTTACGACCATTCCCTACCATCCAAGCTTCTGAAAACAAATAACTGGCTCCCCCCCAGATAAATCCTATCCTAATGGTGCTTGTACAACTGATTCAAAATGTCTTTTTATTGTCATTGGTAAAAAAGATATGCTACCCGGAATCAAATTCATTTACGACTAGTGGCTGTGGTGGGATATGGACATAAATTTCACCGGGGGCTGGGCATTTCGAATCGAATAGTAAATTATTCGAATCGGTTCAGACTGGAATTTCGAATTGCCGCCATCTTGTTTTTATCTTTCCGCTAATGGTCGAGGTGAATTCCCCAATTTTTTTTTCATTGAAGTCATATTTTTTCAACGAAATTCTAACATATGACTATTTTCTGTAGTGAGTTATTGATAAAACGTGTTTGTTATTCTGTGTGAACGCTCAGTAATCTATCTGAGTGATTTATTCTATGTCTTCAGTAATTCATTTGTTGAGAGGACCAATTACTATAATAAAGTCGCTTACAATTTTATATTTTCAAGTATTCGAGATCCGATTCGATTCGAAAAAATTATTCGATTCGATTCTGAAATCACAAGGTATTCGAAAATGCCCAGCCCTAAATTTCACACTCCTTGATCGTTAGATTTTATGAAAACTCTTATCTGTATCCATTATCTTACAGATATGGGTGCGACCATGGAATTGATGGATGGCAAAGTATAAGTTGCAACAAGACCACAGTGGCACAAGACCTCAGCTTTCGTGACTTGATAATACATCCTCAGTATCCATTTATTGATGCTTATCGTAATAACAAAGTAACTTGTCATTACTGTGGATTGGTGGAGATAAAGTGTCCATTGTGCTTTAACGAAATCAACTTCAAGACGACCCCATCAAGAAAAAAAAATTGTTTCGGTGGGTCTGGTCGTGAAGGTTTCAGTCTAACATTGGACACCGATACTACAACCAGATACAGTTGCCAATGAAACTTAAGCGAGGCGTAATATTGCGACTTTGTGATCTGAAAGGAAATTCTGATGGGTAGCCAGCTAGCCGCAGCCTTTTGTTTAAAGAATATTATGAAATACGACTAAGAGCCTGAACTTTTATTTGAGAGGGCGTGTAACCCAAGCTAATTTGCAAATAGTATTCATGGTACCAAATGTATCACACACTTTACAGTAATTATAAATTATATTTGAAAAATAAAGCACATCAAAAATGTATTTTTAAAAAACAATTGGTTTTATCTGCAGATACTGGGTTGATATTGAGATTGACCATTTCAATGCTAAATTTTCTTTAGTCAAAAGGCACACTTGATTCGCAAAAATTTGTGAATGCGCACAGTACACCAATTTGTCTAATGTTTTGATTCCATAGGCAATGCTAATGCTATTACGTGTATTACTTGTTTCACATGAATCCATCGTGCTCAGATTCGACTGTTTTCAAGGTCTGAGGCTCCAACAGCCTTATTTTATGGGTACACAAGAGAATTTTTAGTGTGGCATGCATGGGTCAGTTGGAGTCACTAACCTCAAGATATCTATAAGCAAGGATAAGATAACCTGGAAGTAACATTCCATAATTTAGAGTAAAAAATGTATCTGCCTCCACAGCCCTTTCAAATGGAAGATATGATGCCTCGGGGGTAATTTCTATCAAATATTTTACAGTATTATGGTTCTAGTGAAAAGGGGTGTAGGCGGCTTTTTTTTAAAGTGTGGTAGGTCTAGTCGAAAGACACATTAAATGTTTATGCTAACAACTGCGAATTAATATTGCAACGCATACAAGTTAACAGAATTTGTTGAAATGGTCCTGCCTTTTGCCTTTCTTCAAAATCCTCCTTTTCCTAACTATTCTCTTCTTCTCTGGGGATGGCGAAAATTCAAATATCGATGGGACATGTAAGAAGCTGATAATGGGTTATCTTCCCTTTTTCCTGAAAATAAATTAAACACTAATCATCATTTGACAGTGCCAAGTTTGTGTATCAGATCAGTAATAAATTACCTGCTAACTACCAAAACAATCAGACAACACCTTCTGACCATTAATGAAGATTTCTTTCAATTTAAAACGCAACTATGCCTACCAATGTGGGTAGTTTTTAGGATAGAATTTATCTGTGGTTGGGGACGGATTGCAAGGTGCAACATCGTACGATTACCATTCTATGTCGGGATTAGTTAGCCAGTTATTTGTTTTAGAAGCATGGACTTGATGGTGGGGGATGTCGTAATCGACCAGCGGTCGTGTGAACCACCCTTAGTGGGAGGAGAGCTGCAATCTCCTCGTCCCCTCGCACATAACTATCCCCGCATGGGATTGGAACCTGTGAAACTCCCAGGGGGATCAGAGATGCGGTGGCGAGCGTATTCTCAGATAGAGAATTCAATTGAATTTTGGTTATTTTTTGCATTAGCACTGGCATTAAACTTTAGTTATCTATTCAAATTTTCACACTTACTAATAGATTACCTGCTAACTAGGGAAACAATACCTTATGGCAATTATTGATTAATACCTTACACGAGTCAAGTAGGCCTAAGCCTACCAATAACAGTAGTTTGTCATCTGCTTTCCATTGAAATGAGGGAGCTTATGAATACTTAAAAAAATTGATAACGGCACATCATGACTCACCATCAACGAAGTGCTGTCCGCAAACAGTGAAACACGAGTAAGATGGCTTCTGGACTTGACACCAAGCAGTCCTGCCAATAGATGATATCCACATTGCGCGACGTTCCTGATCTTTTGAAAACAGTGGAATATAGCTGAAGATCCATTTCGTTGTCTATACTATACGTACAGCTAGCGGAACAATACAAAATAACCATTTTCAACAGCCAAACAAAACGGAAACGTATAATCCGACTTGCAACTTACAGGAGACAAATGGACGTTTTTGTTTTATTGCCGTCCAGTAACAAGGTCACGTGACCCGTGCAAGTCCTCTATATTCTCGTGGGTTAGATCCATGAATAGGTGTGCTAGACCGTGTCCGGGAAATTCGCCGCAAGAGCATTTTGCTGTTAAACAAGTATTTGTGATAAAAACAGATAGGGTTAGGGTATGCCCTTAACAATTTTTTTTCAATGAAAATATACTTCAAAAACCTAACTTTTTATCACAAATACTTGTTTTACAGCAAAATGCTCTTGCGGCGAGATTTCCTACGGTGAATTTTCCTAGAACCGTCATGAACACGCCGTCTCCAATAAATGAACTCTTTGGTTTGCCGTTAATCGGCTATGACAGGATTTTCAAATTGCCCGATTGATACTATCGTATTTTTAACAGCATAGCCCTATAATAGTTATCATTTTATGCTTTCTGGTTTCAGCTAAATAAGTTGATGTACCGGTACCCAACTGGTAGGGCAGGCCCGATACCGGCAACTAGGCTAGACTTCAGAATTTGCAACAGCGTCTACTAGTGTCAGAGACATAAAACACGTGTGTGCTATGGGGAAATTCCCTTTGACTTGTTGAAAATTTGCTTTGCTGATTATTGTCTGTTCATTCATGCTACTGAAATCAAACAGTCGTTCAGCGTTATAGGTTTACCGTGATTATCGGAATAGAAAGATGTTTCTGCAATATTATTTGGACGATAATGGTAAACGAGTTTACACCATGAAAAAAGTCGCTCCTGATGGTTCGCCAACCCAGTCGGCTCATCCGGCAAGGTTTTCTCCAGATGACAAGTTTTCTAAACAAAGAATCGCCTGCAAGAGACGTTTCGGACTATTATTAACCCAACAACCAAAGCCTGCGATGTGAAAGAACATTTTTAAAACGGAATATGTAGGATAGTAAAAGCTCAACTAACAATTTCACTACTTTTATTGGGACAACCAAAAAGCTTTATGTGTGCATGTTACAGTGTTGAGAAGTCAAAATGAAATTTACTTGTCAATGTGTCTTGCTGACCTACCATCACAGAAACGGAAATTATAACCTTTTAGTTATTCAAAGTTTCACTCAAAAACTGAAAAAGGATGTTTCACTATACTGCTATAACCATGTGGTGTGTTTTATTGGAAGATCAAATATCCCTTCTTTATCACAATGCTTTTAAACCCCAGTCATGCCATTTTTTCGGCTTCCCAATTTGTGTTTAATTTAGTAGATTTTAATTGTTGCTTTATTTGTGTGATTATATATTCAGATATTGCAGCATTTTTATTCACCTTTCATTAAATATTTACTTATAACATATGCTGGGTTAATGCTGGATATTTTTCATTCAGAAAAAATTTCTAGACAAGCCACTTGTACATAGAAACTACAAGAACAATTCTTTGAGTTTATTGTAACTGAATATCTTTTGTAGTTTATTGATTTGTGAAGTGGTGAATAATGGCTTAACATCTCTCTTTCGATATTACTTTTATTTGTGACTTATAGGCCTACTCAATTGCACCAATGATCGTGCTGTTTGTGTAGAGTGGTGTAATGTGCTAACTACTTGAAATTTCAATCATATTATCTTCTGAATGCATTTTTCCATAGACACATTCAAATCTAGTTATATATTGCGAATCAATTTCCTATCCTGTATTTTGATTTTTGTGTCTGACATTGAAAATGGACTCAAAGTTGTCTGGAAAGCTGCTTCTCAAAACAAAGTAAGTTTATTTCCTCTTATTTAAAAAATGATTTAAAACATGCAAAATTGTACTTTATTATCAACTAATAGTCCATAATTTAAGTGTTTAAAGATTGTTCTCTTTCTAGTTTTGCTTGCCCACCCAATCTATTGCACCCTGGGTTAGGTGGTGGGCATGGCATATGAACCCGAAATGTGTAACATGGTTGAGTCTAAATTTATTTATTTCCTACTTTCTAATAACTAAATTGTTCTGTTATTTTTTAGCTTTGCAGTGAAGCATAAATGGGAGCCATTTTACACTGGAGGATCAGTAGTTTGTCATAATGATGGTAAAACATTGTTATGTTCATGTGGAGATTCTGTCAAAGTCATTGATATTGAAACTGGAGAAGTAAATCACAGTTTGTCTCAGGTTTGTAGTATTTTTATTCAATTTAAATATGAATAAAAATGAAAGACTATCATTGTTTCAGCAATATAATGTTGGAGAGGTCGAACTGAAAAAACTCGACAGGTTTCTGAATGATGATTAATCCTATATCATTGTGAACAAGCAAATTCATAATCACTATCATACCCAGATCTGTGGAGTTTGAATTCATCTTGTTTATTTTTCTTGATATTGAACATGAGTTGACATTCTAAATTTTTTGAGTCCAAGACCTATTTTAGACCCTTATTAATGATGATAATTGAGATACAAATTTTTAGCAAAACTCAAATTGCATTGAGTTAACTAAGCAGTCTCAATGGGCACTTTAAGAAGGAACGTGTACGGCATTGTGTCTTTTAACAAAATTAAGTTCGAAGCTGGAGAGTTGAAATTTCTTCTAATATGTGGCTAAAGTTGGATTCAAATGATTTGTCATTTCGGGAGTCATTTTTCAATATCTCGTCGTTTGGAGTCGGGGCTGGGTGTGAATTTTTAGCTAATCCAAACTCCGAGAATATCAAATTTTATATGGAAGCCTTTGTATACACAAGCTGTCTTTTATAGGCCCCTTTTGATAACACTGTTTTAGTTACTTTGAAAACTTCTTCTTTTATCGCCATTGAAAGTTTGAAAATTCTGATCCGCGACTAATGGGTTATCCATATTGGACTCTGCCCCCTTAAATCCGACTCCACTGACTGCTATAGACTTGGTTTGAATCTGCTTTTCTATTTTTCAAATTTTTATGTTTTTCACCAGGAGGGAGATGATGTCACTTGTATTTCATCTAGTCCAGATAATAACATCATTGTTTCTGCCACAAGATCTTTGTTACTGAAAGAATGGAAAATTGAGAATGAGGTGGCAAAATGTGTAAGAACATGGAAAGCAATTCATACTTCACCAATTCTGTGCATGGATTTTGATGCGACTTCTACTCTCCTTGCCACAGGTATGAGCACAGAAGTACTTGTAGTCAAATAAAAAGATTTGATAATACAGCTCATGAAAAACTCCCAAAATTTATACTTTAGATTCGTAAGTATGTTGATAGGTATTTGTTTGTTTTTCTGTCTGTTTGTCTGTCTGTCTGTCTGTTAGATGCACGAGATATCTCACGAATGCGTGGTTGAATCTGCTCCAAATTTTGCATTAGCATTCATCATATCTCGAACCAGAAGCCTATTGATTTTGGATGAATTATGTCATAAAATTAGCGAGTTATTAATTAATTAGTGATGGGACACGCGGTGTCACTATAGAGTCATGAATCGAAACCGCAGTTTCAATTAATAAGTCTTCGGTCTCCGACCGATATTCTCTTTACATTTCAAAGGGAATTTATCAATGCAATATATAGTTTGCTCTCTACTTGAATGAAGTTTTGTAAATTAAATTTTGCATTGGCAGACTTGATCAAAATCAAATTCATCAGTTTAATGAGAAGTTGAAATATTTTTGAATTTAAAAAAAATGGAGAACGAATTTAAAACTGAAATGCTCAAATTGGCAATTTCCTACATTCAATTGGTCAAAGCTACAGATGAAGCACATTTCAAATGCAATCTGAAATTAGATTTATTTTGAGCAATCCTAATCGCAAAATTCACTTTATACATGAGTGTGAGTTTGGCTTGATTAAAAATGGTTTTATGTTTGGATAATATTTTTGTCCACTCTATGTACGTTTTCACGCTGCACCTTTATCCACATACTTACACAACTAAATATCTAAATATCAAATTGTAACTAGCTATTCTCTTATTCATTATTTAGGAAGCAGTGATAGTACCATTAAAATATGGGATATGTTGCATCAGTATTGCACTCATAATCTGAGAGGATCCCAAGGTGTAATATCAGTTGTGAAATTTCATCCACACGATTTACAATTGTTTTCTGCGTCTAATGATTATGTTATTAGAATATGGAATCTACACACAAGCAGGTATGATTATTTATTCATTTGATGAAACATGAAACTTTGTTTCGATGAGTCTTGTGGATGACAAGCATTAGTAACATATCAGATGCATGTCTATGACATTGTCTTTTATGCTTACTTTGTGCAATTTCTTTAATAAATTATCGACTGGCTGCCGTTTTTTTATTGAAGTTTTCTTGAGGTAAGATCACACGTGACTGATTCAGAAATAAAAAAAAGATTGATCTGTAAGAGAAATTGTTTACGACCAGAAGCTACTGAGACTTAAAGGAATTACAGCATCGTATCATACTTTCACATCGTTCGCTATGAATAACGCTCTGAACAAGCTTCCACTTATATACAAACGTAACTCTTCTTTTAAAAAGCTGGAAATCTCTCCAGTTCTGCATGATGTGGTGGGCAGAGGGTTAACCCGATATATTTCATCTGATATGGCAACATTGCCAAAGATTGCACTTATTCTTAAATTTAATTTTCATGTTTCAGTTTTTATTAACTACTGTAGTTCTCTGTTTTCAGATGCATTTGTTTGCTGAATGGACATGTTAGTGCAGTTACATCACTTTCATTCATTACAAAAACTGAATCTCAAATATCTTTAATAAGTGGAGGAAGAGACAGTGTGTTGTGTGTCTGGGACTTGTTGCAATGTAAAGACAAAAACACTGTCGAACCAAATAAGACAATTCCTGTATACGAGACTATTGAAGGATTATTAGTTTTGCCAAACCAACATATTACAAAACTTATAAAGACTGCAATTTCCGATGAATCTTCGCATGTTTTAACTGCTGGAAGTAGTGGAAATTTGAGAGTTTGGAATTTATCAACCGGGAAATGTATATACACACAAAAGGTAAATATGTAATTCAAGGTGATACCTCTGGGTTGGATAGTAGTTCTGAGTGTAGCGATTAATAAGCATATTTATTGTTTAATCAATAATATTTTATCTGTCTTCTACCTTTATCTACCCTTCTCTCCAAGCCAATTGATCTACTAGGCCTATTCTGAATACATTCTAAAACATTGGTTCTCAAACCTTTTTTGTTGAGGCCCTTCCCTTTTTAGAATTGATCCAGTCTCGGGCCACACCTTAAAAATAACTAGCTAACAATAAGCTACAAATACCAGATAGTATTGCGAATGTTTTATTTGAATTTGTCCTTGAAGTTCAGAAATGTTGAGATTCAGTGATTTAGAGGTTTTTTTTTTTTTAACATTGTTCAGAAATTGAATCAAGAGCTTCTGGGTCGAACTCTGAGATATCAATTGATCAACATGAAATATTTTTAAATAAAAATAGCCCTTTTCTGAATTATTCGTAAAATCAAGAATTTAAATTTCAAAACTATTCAAATAATCTATCGGCTTCGAAATTTTTCTGAACGATGTGAAGATATAGGCAGGCCTGTTACTTTGTGGCCCTGCACAAGCAGTTATAGTAATGTGTATATGCTCAGGTGGCCATGCATTTAGGTATATTATATCTTTGTGCCCTTTCTTGCTCCTATCTTTGCATACTCTGTTTTTAGCGTTTAACTGAAACAGAAGAGACTAAATCAGACTCAGAACATGGAGCCATCGTTGATCTTCTTTATCTTGAAAATATCGAAAAATATGCAACCGTGACTTTCGATCATAATATCAACATTTTTAATTACGATGACGGTTTTGTTGAAGATAGACATGTGAGTCTGTTGAGTAGAGATGTTTTAGACAGGTTCAATATAATAGTTGAGCATTAATTAGAACCAAACTGAGATGCCTTCTGTTAAAACTATATAGCACTAGCTCTGCAAATATTATTGATAATATTTTTTAAGTATTTTATAAAAATATCACTCAAACATTTTTTTTGAGCCATCGATTAAAAGGAAAATTCGTACTAATTTACAAGAAACTACTGATTTTTGCTACTATTCTTCTTTAGCTCGTTGGTTATAACGATGAAGTTTTGGATGTTCGGTTCTTTGGTCCATCAGACAGTCATATTGTCGTTGCAACTAACAGTCCTCTTGTAAAAGTTTTCGATCGAAAAACATCTTCTTGCCAACTACTATCTGGACATCGAGACACTGTTCTATGCCTTGATGTGTTTAAAGATGGTTTGATGCTTGCTAGTGGATCGAAGGTACAGGATTATATTGTATGGTGAAAAATTTGAACAATTTTTGTATTTGACGAGCATTCTGCATTTTGTCAGGATATGTCAAATACAATGGGAAAATTTATATATACAGTCAAAACAAAAAATAAATAAGAGACATAAATCACAAGGCTGTTAAAATATGAGCCAAAGCTGCTCCCACATTTGCTGGAAGGTAAATGGGTTTTGATGACGAGGTTTTTGCATTTAGGTTTAAATTATCAGTTCTTTCTGGAGAATTGAATACAAAATAATGTCTGTTAATTTTGATTCCTCAGAGGTATGCAATAGAATTTTGTTAAATAAAATTGAACGGAACACATATTATGTATATACAATTATGATAGGTTAGTTTCTCACTGCGAAAGATGTTCTGCAGAATATTGCGTTTTTAAAATACGAAGTTAGTTTAGTTTCACAGTGTGTATCTTTAACAATGTGTCATTGTACCACTAGGTGCCAGCATTGGTTCATCAACACTTTCACATACATCTTGTCCACATTATGAAATACACACAAATGTTATCCCTAATGCTTGTATTTTTAGTTATCAATGATTTTTTCAGGACAACTCAATCCGTTTGTGGAGGATGAATCCAGAAACTTTTAAAACAACATGTATTGCAGTAGGAAGAGGACATGCTCATGCTGTCAACACAGTCTCTTGTTCAAGGTAGGAAATAATCTTGATATGGTGTTTAAGCCTGACACTAAGGGCAATGAGAAATTCTGTTATTAACAACCAACAAGATAGACATTCTCCCCATCTACTGGTTGGAGTTGGAGTCGCACAAATTCATTCTGAAACACAGGAGACTTATCTCCAAGCAATAAAACAGCAATTATGAAGATCATGATAATTGTTGGGCAAGTTTCTGTAATAGAATTGAGATTATGTAGGAATGTAACAATATGACTTGTCACATCAAGATGACTTTTTTATAATAACCTGAAGGAACAAGTATTATGACTTCCAGTTATATCTTGTTTAGGTCTGAATAAGTTAGACTATGATCTTATGCAAGCTTACTAATACACGTGCTATTTCTTAGAAATAGTTTATGCTACTCTTATAATACCGGTACTATCTTGTTCAAGTATCCCTGTGACAATGGTCACATACATTCCAAGTTGGGAAACAGACAACAAAAAAGGACTTACAGTTAATAATACATAATATCCTAGTACCTTGACCACACCGAAAAGTTGAATGCAGGTCTTCATCCGTTCAGATTATTGAGTTTATTTTTTAATATGAATTAGTTCGAAGCAAAGTAATATATAGTTTATAAATTTTATTGAGTAGTTGCAAAATATTTCAAATAAAAATGACAAATAGGCAACTGAATTGTTCAATATTGAAATGCTGAATCCAAGTTTCATCAAAGTTGCATGATACTTGCACGATCATGGATTGAAATATGTTTGCAAGTTATGAGTCATGGATTGAAAGAATGGTTTGTAGCAATCCCAAAACTTGTTGGCTTGGTATTACGAGTGTTTTCTCACATTGTGTTTTCCCACATACTCTTGTTAGACTGAAATTTTTTTTTATTTTCAATATATTGATGGGTTCCAAGCATTCCAACTTCCAAGCTCTTCTTTTCCCTCGAATAGTGGCAATTGTATACTGTCAATGAAATTTTTGAAAATTTCCAGGGTTTTCTCTTATATGATTGGATTGTTTTCTTCATAGTGTTCCCTGAATTCAGTTACACGAGTGTCACTTCTTCCAGATATCTTCTTAATAAAATACTTCTTCCCATGGCAAGCAATATTAAATTATATTTTCTACTATTGTATAGTTTGATCGAGATGACTTTGAACTTTGACCTCTTCTAGCCATTTGTAACTATGCTGAGTCTGCATTGTAGTCTGCTTTTGATGTATCATGTATTTCCCCATTGTACTGATTTCATTGAATTCAATGCAGTTTGTATATCATAGTCTGCTGATATGCCAGAGTAGTCCTGAGAAGAGAAGATTTTTGAATTAGTCTTACTATTTATTGATTGTAGCTGTAGTTTATTAGACAGATTATGTTTGCAACTATGTATGCTCTTTCTGTACTCCTCTAGTGTGTGTACCAGGTTAGGGTTAGGCCATAATTTTATTCTGGTTTTCCTTATTTTAGTTCTATTACAAGTTCAGGGACTGTCTGTGTTAGCCAAGTGAGTATACCTCCTGCCCATAGGCTTCCGTTTCTTTACACAACTTCATATAAAGTAGGCGAACAAAATTAGTAACCTCCATTTGGTACACACACTTCTGGATTGCCATGCTTTGCTCATTTTTTGGTTTTTCTGCTTTTTGTTTATGTTGAATTTATTCTACAATCTGAGAGATTGAGATTTTCACAAAGTCGAATGTCATTAAAGTTTAAAATATATTATTTTGGAAGAAGATGCAAGTGCAAGAAAAGATTGAAAATGGGCATTATTAATCCTAAAAATTGATAGAAACTTGAAATTAACACAAAACCTGAATTTCTTTATGAATTATTTAACTGCAATTCTTGACATTTGTAGAATATTGTTTAACTTAACCAGATGAAAAATAAAATTCAAATTTAAAATCATGTTTGAATGAATTCATACCAGTAGTAACCCTATTTATAAGTTAAATATTGAAATTCAAATTGAAGGGTATTTTGGATTTTGTTTTTTCGTAACTATATCAATAATATTTTTAGCTAACACTTTTTGCTATACTTTTGCCTGCCATAAGTGGTACCATCTTGATGCTAGTTGCAACTTTCAGTTTTTAAAATAAGTATGAACTCCTAAAATAATATAAGTACTCTCATATGGATAAGGCTGTATATTGTCAGCATGAGTAATAGCATATTCATGTTGTACTAGTTTGGATTGAGCTGTAATAATAAGCTGCACATGACTCACTATAATGAGGTTTTAATATTATAAAGCGCTTGTGCTTTTAACAGTGGTATGTGGATAATGTCACATAAGAGTAATATCTATATTGGCCGGGCTTAGGCTTGAAACATTGCCAGCTTTACTTTTATTTCTATCGATTTTCAATAACAATAATTTTCTGTGAGATTCAAGAGTGTTGCTGCACACTAACACAAATGTATTTCTGTAAGATTTTGTTTAACCGAGATCAGGCTTCTCCAGACAAGCATAAAAAGCGACAGCATGTGTATGCAATAAAGTGAATGAAATTATAATTTTTTGGACACTCAAAGAACAATAGGGTTGGTGTCCTTGAATAAATATCCTGCAGTATAGTGAAATACAATTAAAAAGTAAATAAATATAATCAGTTACACCCACATTTTCACTGTATCTTACCACCTAGTCCTTCAGCAACTTTAATATTATTTTACTTACGGACACTGTACATACATATAAATATTTTACAAAAATGTTCTGGAGAGTAATGAGTAAGCCACATGTCAGTAGCGACATATTTTTTGTGTAATTATGCCATCACCATTGCCCATTAGAGTTTCAGTTTTGTCACAATGCTTTTGTTCTACACTAGACAGTTGATCTCTGGTTTTCAATATAGTTTTCTCCAAACATTTCAGTGGGTGCTCTAGAAGTATGTGTACCAATATTTTGTTTGTCTATTTCACATTACGGTAAGTTGTGTAAAAGGACTGAAACCTATGGCCAGTGGATATATTCACTTGGCTAACACAGAAAGTCCTTGAAATCGTAATAGAACTAAAATAAGGAAAATCGGAATAAAATTATGGCCTAACCCTAATGTGGTACACATACTATGGGATTAACTTTAAGTGGTTACTCCAACGGCAAATTATGCTCGTTAATAATTATCCTAATGTGTTGTTTTTTAATAAAAGCTTCAAGACAAATTTCATACATACTTGCATAGGGGGCGGAAAATCTCCATTAATTTTCAAAGAGTCGAGTGAAATCGGTGCAGGAAAGTTTTCATCTGGAGCTGGTATGTCAATGTCTTCAAAGTTATACTCTCTACTTGCTGATTCCCCGTTCATTATCGAAGGAGGAGTCGGGGGTGGCGGCAGGAAATTTGTTTCGTTTGATGATGGTATTTCCAAATAGCTTGTTCCTCCTAAAAAAATAAATGATAAATAGTGATGCTGTTTATTAGTTTTTCAATGCCAACAATTATATTATGATGGTACTGATATATAATGATTAGTGCCAGTAGTGAAAACTATCTGAAAATACACTGTGGAAGTTCATATTACGAGATATTTAATTTTTTATAATAAAATATTGAGGGCTAAGTTGCAACTAATACAGAGATACAGAACCCATAGATTTTTCAATTATTTCAATTAATTCTCAATGAAGAAAATTTGTTAAATACTCTAACATGATTGTAGCCAGATTGATTGTATGATTGTACCCAAATGTTTCGGTAATCTTTGCACAAAATTTATATTCTCTCTAGAATAAGTTATGAACGTCCTGGGCTTGTTTTTATATCCCTTCATTTTGTTTTTTCTCACCTGATACATTTCCATTCACAATTTTTTCGTCGGATTCTCTTTCATCCTCACTGCTTGACCATTCTTCATCAGTGAAATATTCATCTTCTTCTTCCGCTGGATTCTTCTCTTGTGGGATGAATTCGACTCCCATTTTTAATTTTTGAGCATTAATTATCCGACTTGCTTTTGCTCGCTTCACTCTTCGTAAACGTGTTTGTCGCACTGTTCGCTTGGCTTTCCTGTAGTGTATATGGTGTTTAGAGTATCTGTCATGTGACTTTGAGAAGATTCTGAATTCTCTTGCCCCATGGGTATTTATTTACCAAGCATATTATTGTCTAGAATTTTTCATTCAAATAAAAATTACCGGTATGTTCGCTTGGCTTTCCTGTAGTGTATATGGTGTTTAGAGTATCTGTCATGTGACTTTGAGAAGATTCTGAATTCTCTTGCCCCATGGGTATTTATTTACCAAGCATATTATTGTCTAGAATTTTTCATTCAAATAAAAATTACCGGTAGCCACTGTGCTTAGCTGGGGCGGTGAAGTCTGGGAGTTTTGCATGCTTCCATTGCTATTTTAATCGTAATTTCAAATTCTCTGTAGAGCTTATAATCGGTTATGGCAGGAACAATCAATTGCATACAATCAGAAATCAAACAGAATTCTTATGTTTCTGTTGGAATTTGGGCATCTGCAAGAATGATTTTACTATAGTTGTAAAATTGTTCCAATAAATCGGTAAAAATTCTAATGGTATTTAACTATTGCTTTTTTGTACAGTGCTTTTCGCTCTGTACATGCAGCTTCTGCTTGGTAAGAAGCTATGTTTGTGAAAGAGGTTGGATCATTCCGGTTCCACAATACCTACCCAATTGATTGCATCCTGAGTGAAGTGGTAGGCAATGGATTTTAACCCCAGATTTTGAATTATTTTCGAAAAATTTACTCACATGTCTGATTTATTTTGTTGCTCGGCTATCATTTGTTGCAATGAATCTTGCCATGCCATGAAAAATAAGTCCGGATTCGAATAGATTTTACTGCCTTGTTTATTATCAGTTCGAAATTTATCAAGTTCATGTAACTTAGGCAATGCTTCGGCTGTTTCTCGTAAAGTAGTTACTTCAATCGGTTGCCCATTTTGCATAAATAATCCTGTTTCCATGTTCTGGTCAGACTGCGAATTAGACACAAAATTTGTATGTTGAATCAGTTTAATAATATTTATTGCAGTTTGATTGGGATAATGCAAAAGCAATGGCCTATCGTATATGGCTTTTTAATAAAAAATCTTCATTCATCAATCAAAAATTTCATCAATCTGTTGTTTGGGTGTCTTACAGGTTTTCTAAAACTGGGTCCGCTCTTAACTCTTTCACCAAACCATACAATTCGTCTTTGGTTGTTTATGAAGCCACAGAAAAAATATTTTTTTTTAGTTGCATCTGTATTATATAATTATGATAAGTCAACTCACCTGATAAAACCTTCCTCGTTCGGTTATTAACTTATAAACAACTCTTTTATCTCTTCCAAAAGCTACACCAACTTCTTCTTTAAGTGAATCCAGTTCATTAACTTTTTGTTCAACATTATCCAAACGGGATTTTACGTCCTTCAAACGCGTAGTTAAATTTGCGCTTTCATTTAATAGTGTTCCAAATATTTGGTCTACTTGACCAGAGAGTGTAGCAAGCTGTCTGATGAAGTTGGCTAGAATCAAGTTACTATATTCATGTAAAGTTACTCGTTCATTTTCTCCCTTTCTTTGTAATCCTTGGCAAAGGTGTTTTGGTTCAACTAAATGCCTTGGAAATGGCATTTTGATAAACAAAGAATTTCTGTTTCAAATATTTTTTTTGTATATAACAGTATTAGTATTGCTTCTGGAAGAAAGTTTTGTGAAATTTGCACAGATTAAAAACAGACAATGCAAGTATATAATTAAAATATTTCAAAAATGTGTAGTTTTCATTTGAAAATTGCAACCAATAAGAATGATAATATGGAACCATATGATAATCAGAAGAAATACTTTACTGTCTGACATTTTGATTCAAATTGTGCAACACTGTCATAGAGAATGAATGGTGTGCGAGTCGTCCTTCTTTTTGCACATTGTAATAAGTCAGTGGCTGCTTGTATAGGGCCTTGTTCAGAGCTTACATTGTGAATATGTGGCATATTGCAATAATTTTTTATTCCTTGTGGGCCTGAGTATAAATCTAAATTTTGAAGCTATCAAGCTTAGGCTTGCACCCAATTTCTGCAATGTTCAACACCAACATTCTCAGACCAATCAGTGACTTACTTAACTTTTCTGTCTGCCAACAATCCAACAATTATCTCACTTATATCACAAACTCACAATGCTTGAAAGGCTCTTCATAGTTGCTCACTACTCCTATTCTGTGATTGTCTGAATGAAAGAAACTAGACTATTTCACACTCAAACAACCTGATTTATTAATCATAGCAAGGTTTAATCTGACAATCCAACCCTACTACATCCCATAGCCATACATAATCATCAATCTAAACCAGACATGGGCAAATTACGGCCTGTGGGACAAATTCTGCCCGTTGGATGATTCAATCTGGCCCGCCTGATGCTGCCACAACCAAACTGAAACCAAATTTTGATGTTTTAGCTAAAAATAGCTCAAGGAATTTGTTGAGATTGCGGTTAAATTTAGTTTTGGCACGGGGCCTATTGTTTTCCACTGTTGCTTCTGTAACACTGTATACATTGTTCATAGAAAGTATCTTTCAATGTCATACTTGTTCAGATTGACGATATTAAAAACCTGTAAAAGTATTCATGCCATTGATCAAATGCATAATAAGATTTCATGCAAGCCACTCGAGTCGTAGAACAGTTGGACTCTCAAATTCGTTTTCGTTATTGTGCGTTAACAATTTCCTTATTGAACTCATACTGAGAAGAAAAACCTAATTCTTTTCCGTATCACACATGATCCTTTATTAACATTATAAAGAATTTATACATATTGCCAGTAAGGCTTCATAATATGTACTCATTGTTTTGTACGTTGGCGTTTTTTTTCTTGATTAGTCCGCCTTCTGACCTCTTTAAATGACTCATTGCTTGAACCTACTACAATATATAGTTAATCAACTACAAGTCACAAAAGCTGGATTATCCTGATTTGTACTAAGTTAGCATTACTAAACAAGTTTAATATTAGTTAATGGATTTTAGAATATGCATGTATTTCTAAAGTTAGAATTATATTTTTGTTATGAAGCTGGTTGTAAATGTATATTAATCAGGTTTGTTTTATTTTATTCAAGTTTTTTATTTTTTATTTAATACACCTTTATAGGCCTGAAACATGTGAAAGTTCTTTGAACCTGATTGAATACAGGACTTTACAAACACTATGTATATATTTAACCAGAACATTGAAATTCTCACATGTTTGAAGCTTTTTTGTTGTTATATTCCAATACAATCCTGCAACCTTGTCTTATGATTAGCATTTTCCGAACATTGCACTTTTGAAATTGAAACTGAAGTTAGTGAAATCATCGGTAATATCAGCAATACATCAGTAATATTTACACTTACATGCCACTTGTAGCAGTGATATAATCAATTAGATTATAAAGTGAGTTAATAACAATGAAAAGCCAGTCAAATAGGACTGAATAAAACAGACAACTAAACTTTTCTCCTAACAATTCACTAAAAAAGTTTGATAAATTTTGCAATTAAATAGTTGCATCAAGATTTGTTGTCAATTTTGTATCAATAACCTCTACTGTGTCCTGTTATGTACTGATTATGCTCGTTTTATGAAAGTGATTCAAGAGTCTTGCAACACACTAACACAAAATATTGTGTAATGTTTCGTCTGACCAAATCAGATCTCGTTGTAGTTCAATTATGCATGTCAGAGGAAGTCTGACCTCGGTCAGACGAAACGTTACAATAATATATCTGTTAGCGTGCAGCATAATTCTTGAATCACTTTTATTATAGCCTACTGTTCCTGAACCAGCCTAATTAGTACATAACAGTACATAATGGTTATCTTAACTTAAATATGTATAAGGAAATTAGTCCAGCAGAAAGCCAAGCGATTGCAGAAGTGTAATAAAATGCAAATTTTTTCTATTCTATGCAAGCAGTGGCGTATCTACGTGAAATAGCGCCCATGGCGAAGTTTAAAAATACGCCCCCTTGATAGGCTAATTGTTCGACAATTTAAAATGAATATTATTGAATTGAGAAACTTGTACGTTATTATTTGAGTAATGATTTGAGTTTATGTTATTTCCAATTGAAATTATTCTATTGAAACTTTGTATGATTAATAATACTTTTCGTCGTTTTTGCGCCCCTGTTCAAACAGCGCCCAATGGTACAGGCCATATTTGCCACGCCCTAGATACGCCACTGTATGCAAACAACATATACATATTTTACATTACTCAATGACATAATGATTGTGCCACTATTGGATAACCCCCTCTTTAAGTTGTGACATCTTAATGCCTATTTCCAACTAGAAACAACTTAAAACTACCCAATCTGCTTATGACAAAGTTTAATACACCGACTTACTTCACTTAATCTTTGCCTAAGAATTTGATTTAACCAAGATTTAAAATTATTGCCTATACAGAATACCGAACTATTCAGACATACCCCTATCACAGTGGTTCTAGCAACTAAATATTTGGCTTTTGTATATTCAAATATATTTTTGAGTGTGTAATAAAATATGCTACAATAATACTAGATAAGTTAAGAATATAAATGATACTACTCACAAATACAAAGGTACATTTTCTTCCCTCAAAAACAATTAAATTCCCTGGTGAGGGATTCCTCCTCTATTGGGAAATGCTGACTTATCCAATCCAAAAAATCCCTTTCTGATTTCATAGATTTCTTTATTTTCATTGTGACGTTAAATTTTTTTCTCTGCAGTTTTAAATATCGTGCTAAAGTTTAGTCTACTCAGCGACTGAACCTAGAATAGCATTTCATGGCTGCCACAGTTATTGCTTTAAAATAAATTCTCCTTTTCCAAAGCCTCGCACTGCTTTCCAATTGTTAAATTCAACGGTCGATTTAGTCATGACACACCACACCTACTACTAGTTAGCGTTATTGTATTCATGCATTATGTTCTATATCAGTGTTTCCATGCATTGCATCATGACCGTTCTCCCAACTTGTGTTACCGTGCACATCTACTTGCTATTTATATAACATTAATCTTGAAACATATCGTTGTCATCTTATATAGTAACCTCATGAAAGCAGACTGTTGTTTCGATCTTCGATTGCAATAAAAGAAGATTTCCAATGCTGTGTATATGGTAGAAAACGAATGAATATAAATTGGTTTACATACTCGCATTTATAAATATGAATTTAATTTTATCAAAATTCAACATTTATTATGAATGGAAAATGCACAAATGTAAATTCATTCGCGCCTGTAAGTGTAAGATTGCAAAGTACGGTTGTTAAATTGATTAAAATTCAACATTACGTTTTTTTTTGAGTTATCAGGTAATCAAAAGTACAGTTTCTGTCGAATTTTATCATTTAGTAAAATTAGTACATAAATATCATGACATAGATATCAATATAATTAGGTATTGGAATTTTGAATATAATTACAAAACTTTCCAAATACCAAAATAATCCATATACAGCTTTTCATTGCCACAATAACTGCTTAAGCTCAAGTCTTATTATGTCCAGTGTGGGTCACAATATAATATTAATATCTAGTCTAGAAAATTTATTCTATTACGAGAATATTATTCATTCTACTATGCTATTACAAGCTTTCCTACTGGTTAAACGTCACAGGAAATTGTTCCATACTCGTGCTGCTTGCATAAGAACGATTCACTACACGCTTTTGAGCATAAGATCATGGATGCCTCACAAATCTATGAAATATTTCTAAGTTTACAATATCAGTGAAATACTTATCAATTTGAAAGCTCTTTTGGGGAAGCCCACTAGATAATTTAATTAATATTTAAATTTATTTTGAAATTGATTACCGTAATTTGATTTTGATTAATCTAAGCGAAATTAAAATACATGCACAAATGTAGGCCATTTCACTTTGAAAATGGCAAATTCTTTGGGAAAAAATAATTTTGAATATTTATAATTCTAAAAATCAGGTCTTCAAACAGCAAAATTTCTAATTATATTGGATTCTATGCACAACCACACTTTCTGTTGTTCTAACTGTGGTTATCAAACTTTTCTGATCCATGCCTCCTTCCAAAGACTCAACACTCCGTCGACTCCCGCACTCTGCTTTTAACGAGTTTTCCATCTGTTATTTTATCCGCCATGGCAGATTCAAAATGCAATTCCAACACATGAAAAATGAATGCATTATATTCGAAGAAGTAAACATTATTGCAGTAAATCTACTTTAAATTAATGTAGTCACCACGAATGGGACCTTGTGGACCCCAGACGAGTGCTCTAAGAAGTATCTCACAACTCAATTTAGGAATACAGGTACAACAATAACGCGATGAATCACTCTCTCAGTTTTAATTTGTTATCGCTACAAACATGTTAGTGTATATTTTAACCTACATTTCCTCTGTTTTCTTTATCACAATATTAAAATGTACCAACCAAGTGTATAGTGGGAGAACAATAATAAATATAATCTCTTAAACAGCTTAGCATCGTGGAACGAAAACAATTTTCTCTTACAGTATTCGACCTAACGTTAAAAAACATGTTTAAGTACTGGTAATTTGACTATTGAACACAGCAATTTTGGTTTAGCTGACACAATGACTTTATAGCAGGGGTTCCCAAACCGCGGCCAGCGGGCCTAATCCGGCCCGCATAACGATTTAAAATGGCCCGCCGAGCTTGAGTGAAATAGTGTGCAACCGATTTTGTTTCACCTTTTTGCATACTAGATAGCGCCAAGTGTTACGCCATTATTACACTTTAAGCACGAGTTTATCGTAACAATTCAATTAAAGCGTTATCTGAGTTATTCGTACCGGTATTATGATTACATAGGGCAGTAATTTAGTTATGAACCATAATATCTTAGACATGTCATGCACTTTCGGGCGCTACACTCTTCCGGCCCGCGAACATGACTCCGATTCAAATTTGGCCCGCGGCCAATGAAGTTTGGGAACCCCTGCCTCATAGTCTTCAGCGACTCCTTGCCAATTGCAGTCAAAATGTTGTATGTCTGTTATTCTTTTTCTTTTGTTTAATTGTACAATTTTTCATGCAAAACGGAAATAAATATCTGAATCTAACTAGATTTCTGTTCTCAATTTACTGCTTTATACTTTTTATTCAGAGTTTTTGATTCCCATCTATTTTTTAACGGAGGGTTTTTCTGAATCATTTTTTGGAGTTTTCTTCAATTCCAAACTGCTTCACCTCTCATTTTATTAAATCTCTGAAAGAACCCTCAACACAGACTTCTTCATCTTAAAATATTCCTATTAATTTTGTATTGATTTCTATCAACATTCTAATTATAAGAGCAGACACTCAAGATTTCGTAACTTATTAAGACTTAGCAGTTCAAACATCTGTAGCATTGCAGTGCCGAAGATATAATGACTTTTGGAATGCAATCTGTCTTAATACTTGAATGAAGATTTCTGAGTATTTGCATAAACAGATAGAAAATGCTAGTTTCTGCATAACCTATCGAAACAAGTAATTTTACAAATTTTCTCATTGTCACTAAGTTATAATTTGCTTAAATGAATTTGTCGACAATTGTAGTGAAACTATAACATCCTATTAATACATTTCCTTTTATACTTCATACCTGTGTTGTCTGTTAGTTGATACTATGACATTCTCAGGAAATCTCTCGTACTTTTGTATCTAAAGACAGGAAGTGAGGTCATTACGCTTCCCTTCCCTCGTATGTGAGTCAAAAATTTCTCAAGAAACCGTGGTTTGCTTGATTTATCACTGTTTGTTGTATTGATCTGTCTTCTGAATTTATCTTTCTTACATCACGTGTCTACTGTGTTGTGTCGCGAAATTCACGTGATTATGATAGATAGTCAAATTTTGACAAAATAAACCATGCTGACATTTTATTGCCTGTTTGATTAATGGGAATTATTCTATATTTTGTCTGATGAATTTAGCTCATCATTGTTTGTTAAGACTGGAACAATCGATTATGAATTGGTTTATTGTATGTTTTACTTAATATCAGTGGACTCGAGAGTATAATTGTTAAAGTGTTAACTATGATAGGATCGAAGGTTAAAATAAAATCCCTGGTTTGAATCCCATGCCTACTATCTCACTCAGGAATGAATTGGGTAAGCAATGCCGAAACGGAAAGATTTCTAAAGCACAGTTGCTTAGCTTAGCAGAACCTTCTACGGTACAAAATACGTTGTATTAAAAATCTACTTCATTAAAAATGAGTACATCACATAAGCTGTAGATAAACAGTTTTTGGACCTCCGGAAGTATGCGCACCAAGATGGCGCACAACCTGAACATAGTATGTGTGTACTGTGTACCAGTTAGGATTCAGGTTGTGTGACATCTTGGTGTGCATACTTCTGGAGCACCACAATTTTTAATCTGTCAACTTACAGCAATGTACTAATTTATAGATTTTCCGTACTCATTTATCAGTGATAGCATAAGCTCATCTTTTCTGATATCTAAATTCTTCCATTCTTCGGCAAATTGTCTGTTTGAGAAAACTTTCTATACTGAAGATACTGTTGTTAATGTTCTGTCACAAACTTATGAAGTATTACTACTAGATTCTATAGCCAGCGCACAAACTTGAATTGCTCAATAAAAGATAAATCATTGACTAAGCTGAATTCTCTGATAACACCAGTTTTGTTTCAAGCCTAGTTATTTGTTTGCTAATGAATATGATACTGTCAGAGCATAGTTGTGAATTGTTATATGGATTGATTTATGGTTGCTAAATAACCAGTCTGTAACTATGTTTAATAATAAGCATGCTCATATCAAAGTTATTAGACACATCATAGAAACTATTTATGAGCAGTTTTGGGTATAGAGATATTATTGAAAAGGCAGCAGCCTATCAATATGGCATTTGTTTTCTTGGCATTCTTTATTCTGTAAAAATATAGACTTACGGTCACTGATTATACCAATCCTTTTTAAACTAGAATGTTTCAATGCTACTGATTTTTTGCACACCTATAAATTGTTAGCTATATGTGACGACTGATGGTAACTACTAGACCTACCAAGTTTTGAATATTTAGTGGATAATGGGTATCATGCTTTGCTTTGTTATATTTTCAGAATCAAGCAAAATTTTGTTGTTTCTGGAAGTCAAGACCAAACATTGAAAATCTGGGCAATTTTGGAAACGGTGGATGAGGATGGGAAGCAACTTACTAGTCTGAAATCAAAACACTCCATAAAGGCTCATGATAAAGTAGGTTTTGTGTGTTCAAATTTTGTAATCATTCTTGAGTTTTATATTGTGAAAGATGTCACAAATTATCATATTGGAGTATCATTTTGTAGCTAAATTTTAAGTCGAATTGTTTGTGAATCGAAGGATTTTTTATTATTACTGCTTTTTATAATTACGAAATTGCTTTAGTCACTTTATCACCTCCCAGCCTTATAAATATAATCATCGAATTGTAATCTTTGAATAATTTCAATTTTCATTGTTTTCAACACTCTCTAAATCATTTTCACCTTGCTGTGAGAGATGGTCTAATAATTTTAATCGAACAGAAAAATAGTTTTGACATTTGATTTTTTACAAGTTAATCTGACAAGTTAATTTGAAATCCCTGTTATGTGGTTGCTTTACATTATGAATTGCAAATTTAAGCTCCGGAAACCATGTTTCATTTTTTTCCAAAATCAAAAATTGGTCCACACTAATCTGAGATACTAATTCAGACTTCAAGCAGCCTATAAAAGTGAGTCAAGATTTGTTTCACAATATTTCTATTTGACAATGCTCTTGTAATTTCCTTCGATCAGCATTATGTCACATTGCTCATACTTTTTTTAGGATATCAATTCAGTCTCTGTTTCTCCAAATGATAAATTAGTTGCGACTGGATCACAGGATAAAACTGCAAAAGTGAGTTGTTTTTCTTTATATGACATGTTTATATGCCTTTGCCCCAAACAAGGCTCTAAACAAGCTGTCATTGCTATATAAAAACCAGCAATATTTCGAAAAAAAAAACAGGTTCAGCATTGCCTACCCAAGTTATTACACCCAAGTTATACTCCAGATGTGTAATGCCAATTATGTTGAATGTTTAGGTAAAGCACTTTTATTAATGTGTTCAAATTTCTTTAGCCCAACTAAAAAATTGTGATAAGTATTCCAAGAAACTGTGTAAAGTTTTGATATATAAATTCTGGGAAAGTAAAAAAATGTCATTCATATCATGGGATAGTTGAGAAATTAAAACCACTGCGACCAAACCTGGCGTTAAAGTTTTTGCTTAATTGAGTAATTTAAATAAGGCTTTGTTTGCTAACTAAGGATATACTTTGATTGTTTATTTTCATTTGTTAACTTAACTCAATTTTAACCTGTAAGTATGTTGATAGGTATTTGTCTGTCTGTCTGTTATATGCACGCGATATCTCACGAAAGCGAGGTTGAATCTGCTCCAGATTTTGCATGTGCATTCATCATATCTCGGACCAGGAGCCTATTGATCTTGGGCGAATTATGTCGTATAATTAAAGTTATTAATTAATTAGTGATAGGACACAAGGTGTCACTATGGAGTAAGAGCGCTTTTTGGGGGATTCCCTAACTTTCGATCGATAAGTCTTCGGTATCTGACCGATATACTCGTTTTATAATCAGTTATTCAATTTGAAAGAGTACTTTTGAAAATTGGATAGGCTATGTCGTATTGAGTCATGGTATGTTTTCAATAATAGGAATTTTATATTCTTGTCCAAAGTTAAATTCACAACAAACATTGTGAAATTTTTTACAGCTATGGAATGTAGCTGATGGTCTTCAACTTGGAACATTCCATGGTCACAAGAGGGGGATATGGAGCACACAGTTTTCTTCAACAGATCAGGTTCTTGGTACGTCATCAGCAGATGGTACATTGAAACTATGGGCTTTATCTGACTTCACATGCTTAAAGGTATCCTATATTATCATACTTATGATAAGCCAGTCTTACAGAAATTATGCCACAATCTTATAATTGCATTTTCATATATTTACATCTTTGCTCAAAAACAAGATTGTGTGGGCTTTTTTTAAAGCAAAGAATGGTGTCGCAAATGCCCAATAATGGGTGCTCAAGAAGTGTATGTACCAATATGGAGGAAACTAATTTTGTTTTCCTACTTTACATCAAGTTGTGTAAAGGGACTGAAACTTATGGACAAGGGGGTATATTCACTTGGCTAACACAGACAGCCCCCGAACTCTGTAATAGAACTAAAATAAGGATAATTGGAATAAAATTATGGCCTAACCTTAACCTGGTACTGTATTATGAAGATATCAGTAGGTACGAGATGGTACCGGAATTGAAGCACTCGGAACAACACCGTCAAGGTTATATCGGAAGAAGAATCATGAATTATACCAATTGTTCTTATCAAACAAAGCTACACTAATGCATTTGAGTTATTTCATAGATAGAAAATTATGTAGTTGTTTAGCTACTGATGACCGTTGTTACCTCATCGTCTTCTATATTGATTTGCAGACATTTGAAGGCCATGACTGTTCTGTACTGAAACTTCTATTCATCTCGAAAGGCTCGCAAATAGTGTCTAGGTGAGATTTTATGACTCCTGTGGCCAATTTAGTTCAATTTTAAAAATCAATTCAAAATCACTTTTGGGTTTTTATATAGATATACATACAACACAACACCTTGGTATAACCTTTAGTCTCTAATTCACCTCGTTAAAAACAATTTTAAATTTCAAAATTAAATTTTCTTGTGCATTTTTTTTCCTACAAATACCTCCAAATGGTAATTCAAATAGTGAAAATGACTTTGTAATGTAGAATTGTCGATATTGATGTTCAAAATTTATTGTGTTGACTGTTGAGTCTACATACCCGTCATTAAACTATCCCAATATGCGTCACAGTGAGACTATGACTTTTCATATCCTTAAATCACTATTCAATAGATGAAATATCCCGACCTTCTAATCGAATCAATTTCATTCAACAGTGGCTCAAACGGTCTGATCAAATTATGGAATATCAAAAGTTCCGAATGTGTCAAAACATTTGATGAACACGATGATAAAGTTTGGGGATTGACTGTTAATTCTGGAGATAACATTGTACTGTCTGGTGCTGCCGATTCCAAGATTATTCAATGGGAGGTTTGTATATCATATTTGCTTTGCCAGTTTTTCAGAAACTGTTCTCAGACCTCTACTTGCATCGATCAGACTTTTTTCAGAACGACTCGTGTTTAGGTGTTGTAATGATTTTGAAAATTTTTGCTGCATTAACATTTTTGGTACTCCCGATGTATTTGAACCAAGATGGCTGACACCGGAACGTAGTGTGTGTACCAGGTTAGGGTTAGGCAATAATTTCAGGTACAAATACTACGGGAGTCACTTGGCTAGTCCCCGAATTCGTAACGAAACTAAAATCAGGAAAATTGGAATCAAATTATGGCCCAATCCTAACCTGGTACACTGACTACGTTCCGGTGTCCGTCATCTTGGTCCACATACTTCGGGAATACCACATTTTTTTCTTAAATTTGCAGTTTTTAAGCGCTCACACTTATCTGACTCATTTACATGTTTGTAACGCAGGACATCACACAGAAAGAACGTGAAGAACTGAAAGTCACTGAAGAAACAACAATATTAAGGTTTGCTTTTGTTCCAATCATAAGCCAATCACACGGCTCGCACCTTTGTGATAAAAATACCTCGCACTTATAATCTTGTAGTAATAAAGCTACCTTGAACTAAATTTTTGTCAGATATGCCTGTTTGATCGAAGGGTTATAAAAATTTTCAACTCTCAACGACTCTTTCAAACACCCCCAAAACACAAATGTTGATAATAAAAACTTTGACAAATGCGAACCTACTTTAATAGAATGATCAAAATGCTTCATCAATTTTTATGGTTGTGTTTCTGTAGAAAATTTTGATTGTGCTCATCGCCATTAAAAGTTCCAACTCCTAACCCGAGTGAATTTAAAATTCCGACTCCAGATATTGTGAAATTTAAGTTGACCACAACTCCAAAGAGAACATGCCTTTTGACTCATGACTGTACAGACTTGTTGTGTTTTCCATGTTTGGACATCTTTGAATGAATTATAGTTTCAAAATCATGCAGTCCATCAATTATCATCGAATATAACTATTAAAAAAATTATATTTTAATAATTCATAAGACATTTGTTACATTATCTCATTTAAACCCATTAATTTATTTGATATCAATCTCTTTGCCTTACTTCAGACAACAAGAGCTGAATAATCTTGTCCATGAGAAGAGGTTCGCAAAAGCTTTCAGACTGGCAATAACATTGGAACAACCTTTCACAGCACTCAAAGTTTTAAAAGGTAATCTTTTCATCTAGATAGATGTTTGTGTTATCATATTGACCAGCCATAATAAGCAAGTTCTTAAAACTACTATGGCCGCCCAAATTTCTTTCTTTTATTAAATTTATTAATCAAAGCTTCCTAATAATTATAGATTGGAAATATACTGTGAAAATGAAACTTAATATTGCGACTTTCTATTATAGAAATCAGATGGGAGGAAAATGGTGATGAAGTATTAGAAGCAACTATTTCAAAACTCAGACCTGATCAAAAAGGTATGCTACATTGACCTTCTCATTTCTAATTTTAACTTTGAAGTCTCTGTACAAGCAATTCTGATTGATAAGAAGCTTCTATTTTTGAAAGCACTGGAATCCCTGGGTTCAGGCAGTGGCTGCCTAATTTTTATTACACCCTTGGAAGGTGGTGGACATACGGTCGTTTCAAACTTGAGAGTGTAAATGTTATGCCAATGGTGCTGTCACTACAAGACCCGGGATTCTTGCTGAACACTCACAAGAAAATGAAAAGATCTTGTCCTACTTACTATCAAGTCCATGCTTCCGAAAACAAATAACTAACTGATCCCCATACCTGACATAGAATGGTAACCCGCAGAGAGGCCGTGGTTTGCCATATGGTTAAGTCGTCTTATCACTTTCCTCTCCCTCGGGATAAATATGTAAATCCTATCCTTACTACAAAATAAAGTACTTAAGTCTGAAAACAAATGCTTACATATGATCCAAAATATTCCGCAGCACTGAGAATCTGAAATGACACACTTATAAGCCATGGCACTTGCAAACCACTGCACACTGCCATTGTGCCCACACCATTTTTACCCTGAGCTCGCTATGACCACAGGAAAATACAAAGCATGCACAATGCAAATAGTGTATTTAATTGAGATACCAGGTAACCAGTACAGTTTTGATAAGTTTACTACTTCGATATTCAATCTCCTTAGATACCCTTCTTAAATTTGTAATGAGCTGGAACACGAATTCAAGGAATTGCCACGAGGCTCAGAAAGTATTGAATCTAATTTTGCGGCAAACGCATCCTCATGAATTGATGGAATTCTCAAATGCACAGACAGCAATTGAAGCACTATTACCATACACGGGTAAGGAATCAGTAATGACTTACACATATTATTAGCCATGCAACTACCAGCATTTTGAGTAAGAAAATTTGCTCTAAGCAAGGTCACACGTACTTCCTCAGGAGAAAAAGAGACTGGTCTCTTTGCAAAGTTGTGTGCTAAAAGCCAATGAGACTATAAAGAATCATAGCGGAAAATAATCAAATATTTATTGATTTTCTAATTTCAATTATTTTTGTTTGAAAAATTACAATCTTGAATAGTAAACTGGATTCATTCCATGTTTGCAATTTAATGTATTCATCATAACGAATTATTCCTTATTTGATACGCTTGTATTTTCTGTGCAGTCAGTTTATGATGCATTATGAAATTTTTTTGTTGTGTTTCCCACCTGTGAAAAAGTTGGAATTTGAAATGTTCAAGATTTTGGTCAATTTGATTGCCAATAGTTTTGCAACAAATAAATTGAAAGAATAGCGGTAGACTCTACTGTGTTAAGATGGCATCGTATGTTACACATTTTTTGTGAGAAGTTTATTTGCTCCCGAAGCAGATACACATTAACAGGTCCATGAGCTTGTTTCCCTATCACCAAAGCAGCACCTTCACGCAAACATGTAAACAAATACCGTAATAATCACTAAGTGACAATAAGTAATAGCAAAATGGACCTTCAGAAGTATGTGCACCAAGACTGCGCACAACCTGAACATAGTAGTTGTTCCAGTTCAGGTTTCAGGTTGTGCGCCATCTTGGTGCAAATACTTCTGGAGCACCGGCAAAATAATTACAAGTGTCTGGTAAAGTAATCAGACATTCACATCATGATTAAATCCCACTCCCATCACCCAGTATGTACCAAGTTGGGTAGGCAATACCGAACCAGAAAGCCTCCAGTCTATCCAATAATAATAATAGCTCCTCAAATATCGTTGGATATCAGTGGCCTTGCTTGGAGCGTAAGACATGAAGGAACGCCATATATAAATAAAATAATAATTTAATGACATAACTCAAAAAACCTTCAAATATTTAACAGAACGTCATTATCAAAGAATGACTCGTCTTATGCAACAAACAACATTTGTTGATTATATCTGGCAAATTATGAAGTTAAAACCAGTCAGGTAATGATCAGTGATTATTGTTATTCGTTAAAGTATTTCATTTTCAAGTTTTTCATTTGTTCTTTCATTTGTTTATTTTTTGGCTTATCTTGTTTCAAAATATAATATCTCTTCATTCCAGAGTGAAAATTTACTTGACATTAGGGTAGCGAGTTACCTTTGTGGTGTTAGATTATTAGTTAAGATGGATCAGACTACTTACTACCTGGGTGGTATGGTAGTCATATCGTGATATGAATGAGCCATATCATCAGTTATTCTCTCTCTTAGGATATTAAAAAAAATTTAATTTGTAATTGAATTTATATGACTGTCATCATCTGATGATTGCATACAGCTTCATCTGTTATTTAAGTCGTCACTTTTTGTGAAACTTTTAATCTTAAAACTCTTAAATTAAAACAATATCGTGGTCCACTAACAAAATTTTAATTTTTAGTCTGCCTGACACGAACGAGATCATTGAAACCAACGCAGAACTAAATAAGACTCTGAAAGAAGCGAATCAATCTTCGTCCCATATTCATCCTTTAAAAGCAGTTGCTGATTCAATCGTTCAAAAACCACAAAAAAGGACAAGAAAGCCTGATAATAAAGATGATGGAATTGGAGATAAGAGTGAGACTGAAGAAGAAGATAAACAAGAAATTATTCCAATTATTTCACCAAAAAGAATGAGACTTAGAAGTGCAAAAAAAAGCAAAAAAGTTAGTATAATAAAATCTCAAAATTGTGCCTACTAATGGATGCTCATGCCAATGTAAACCGATGTGTGAGACTCATGCCAATGTGAATGGATTACACATTATAGCACACTGATATATAGGTCACGTTCAGCCATCAATTTCAAACAGTTAAACAATTTTTACTGTTGTGTTTTGGATAAAAATTCTGTATCCTCGTTCAAGATTTTTTATCCAATCACCATCTTTTAATTTTATATAATAAACTCTCTCTGAGCTTGTTCTCAAAGTATAAATATGCGCAGAAGAAGTTGAGTTACTGTATTCATCACATCAGACTTAACAAAATTTATTTTTTTTAACAGATGAGGAATCCTTCCACAAAAACTGCTTCATCATGACGATAAAATCATTTATCTGCTTTTGTGATGATATTTAATGTAAAATAAACAAAATGAATCTGACACAATTTTGCTTTGTAGCATCTAAACGTGCATAAGAATAGTTATCATGCTGAAAAATCTCAATGTAACATATAAAACAGGGGTTTTCTGCCTTCAATCTCTCACCTATTGGCCAATCTCATGAGTAGAATTGACTACGCAGCCAATGTTTTGTTATGGAAATATAAAGATAGTATTTTCCTAGTGAGAGTTGAATAATATTTACTATACAACAGAAGGGTTTTTTAAAATTAATCCTTGAAAGTTGAGTCAAATTTTTCTGGTGTTGAGAGCCCTTATTCACAGCTAATCAATGACAATCTTGTACAAGCACTCAATAATAGTTTACTCTGTGACTGGTAAATTTAACAGATGCTGTATAGTGTATGGTAAGGTAAAAAAAAAAGATGTTCAAACAGCGGAAATGAACACTTTCAGGAACTCGGCACCGGTATTGGTGTTTATATTAATTACTTCGATAGTTCATTGTTCTTCGAAACGAATGTTTCTTACATTATTTAATTCTGCATAAGTTAATTTCATGACAAAGTCTTTTTTATAGGATTCTCCAATTTGAAGTTTTACCTACAATTATGAGCAAGGCGATTTTGAAATAATTTTACGCTTCTAGGCTGTTTGCCATTTGTTTAATCGTTCTTAACCAGAATAAATTTATGTGTGGGGAAAACGCAACATCATTCAACACTGGGTAGTTCATGAAACCGTTTAACTACGGTACCTCGGCATTTTAAGCTCAATCGTCCGGAACGGTTGTCTGGATGACTGTTCAATCCTGGATACCCCAGGAGTGGAATAGTAACCATTTTCTCTATCCCACCCGATGAATAAGAGCAATTTAATACCGATGTTATACTGGCATTTTTGTACCGGATCGAGATTACAATTATTTGAGTTATAAATTATTCCTTGGACATTATTTCTTGAACTCTGGCCTATTTCCCAACCATTACATGCGTTTACGCTACGCCGTGCAACCTGCTCTGATATTGGCAATGTTTTACACAATACGAAAACGAGGGCATGGACAATTATTTATTTGAGTGGTTTCCGGTAAATTGGTCTTCGTCTATTTGCATTCAACAATACCAGCATTTGCTTAAAGTAGCGGGGCTGTCAACTAGTATAGTTCCATCCCACACTGTGAGTTGGCAATCATTTTTACTCCGACTTTACCAGCTCCCGACCACCTACAATTTCACCTCAAAACTACTGTTTGAAATTTTCAAGTCTATTATACGTGTCCATTTGGGAAGAATCGCATACACAATCTCGATTTTTTCTTTGTGGTACAGGTGTATACAGAAAGAAAGAAGCAGTCGTGAGCTAATGATTCTAGTTTTGCCAAACACAACTCCATTATCAAGAAACCAAAAGTTTAATAATATTGCCGAAAATTGAGCTTTCAAGTAATTTATGATTAAAAAGAATTGTAAATACAGTACTATAATACAATACGAAATACGTACAAAAAAACAAATTGGCCAAAAAGAGAGGTGAAGTGCATATCTATTTAGTTCAGACGACTCTTTATCAACCAAACATTGAATCATGATATTCCTTGACCCGATCTTCTCGTGCTTTTTCCTCTTGCTCTTTCTTTTTCCTATTTTCATAATTTTTATCATCTGTTGGTAATTCATGTCGACAGTTCGGACATGAATTTGTTTTATTTAACCAAGGTAAGATACATTGTCCATGATATATATGTTCACAGGGCATTTCTAATGCAGTTTCTGATTCATCAAATGGAACGAGACATACAGGGCATTTTAGTTCATTTCTAAGTTCCTCTTCTGTTATGTGGCGTCGTTCTAAACTTTCAATTGCTGCCTTTGAAGCAGGAGGTGCCAGACCAAAATCTTCCGCCCCTCCCATTAAGATATTATCAAGTCCGTCAATTCCTGACGAATCTCCATTAGATAAAAGAACACGAACTAATTCCATTAAATCAACTTGAGACAATCTCCCACTATTAATCGGTGTGTCAGTGTCACAATCGTGTTCATCATAATATGAAGCCATATAAGATTTCCTATGATCTATTTTGAGAAAAAATAGTAGAATTAAACAATTATTTTCTAGTTATATGCAAAATAATATTTGACTGAAACATAATGAAAACTACACATAAATATACCTAGATCAGAAGGACTTATCGGAACATATTAAGTCACTTATATTGAAACCTAATTAACTATACCATCATTACATTTCAAGAAAACTGTAATTTGATTCCTCACACTAGCAAATTTTGAACACCATTACGAATGCAGTCTCCCAAATTCAAATCACATTTTCTAGTAAAGAACCTATTCCACCTTGGAATATTCGCCCCTATAAACTTGTCCAAATAAATAAAAATAATCAATTAAACTGAATGTCTATGCATATAAATAGAAGTCAGAAACAATATGAATTTAGAGCTCGACCGATATCACTTTTTGACGCCGATACCGATATAACGGCCAACTGGTGGCCAATAAACGATATCGTAATGCCGATATTAATATAAATCATATTTTGAGCCACGCTTTTATGATGCACCTTGTGAGTCTGTAGTTTCATTTTGATATTTGTTATCATGGCAGTAAGACTTATTTAACTAACTTTAGTTAATGCTCGAACAAATGTTATTCTGTAACTTTCCCTGCTACTTCAATATCAGTCTAGCTATTTCCAGGAAAAAGAATTGTTAATTAGACGTTTTTAAATATAACTATGGACAAATGTCGAGGGTATTAAAAAATTATAAATTGATATATTTTAAAGTGAATCGTGATAATGATCCTTCGATATTGTGATAGCATATGTGCAGTTACATGTGAAATTTTTAATAGCTTTGTTTCCAGAGATTCTCAATACCTTATTTAGTCAATAATAATGGATTAAGTTTTTATTTTGTAATTTTCAGCAAAATGATAAACAACCATCGATATAGACAAAACTATTACCCCAGAAATTCAAAATTGAATTTGGGGAGGTCAAAAATTCGGAACTGACATTATTGCTTTGAGCTACCTGTACTATGTTTCTATGATTACTAACTCACCAGCTTCCAATCGATTTTATTTATAGAACCATCGTTTAATGCTGTTACTAAATTTGCCTTTTTCGCATTGTGTACTCTCTTAAAAAAGTCACGTTATAAAACGTCATTGTTACTCTAGATAATAACTTTTCAGTTATGACCATGCATGAAATGGCTAATCATATAACACCGGGAATTAAGAGAGACGGCAAAATGAAAGCGAGAGAAATATACGAAGGGACGTGCGGTGTTGCAGCACGCAGCCAGGCGCTTGCCGAGTATGGTCGATATATATCGGCGGTTTGCGGCCGATATGATATATCGGCAAACACGCAATATCGGCTTGATAAATAGGCTGGCCGATATATCGATTGAGCTCTAAATATGATTGAACATAGAAACACGATTCACTACTTTGTTGTTTCAAACACTTCTTTTTCAATTTCATCATTTTCAGCATAATCTGTTCTTTTATTTTGACTTTCCCAAAGTTTTGAATAAAGAGAGTCAGAACTAGCAATAAGTTGTTCATGTGTACCACGTTGTGCTACTTTCCCATTTTCTAGAACAATTATCTCGTCACAATCCATCACTGTTGAAAGTCGATGTGCGATAAAAATAGAAGTCCTGTTGATTGTGACTCGCCTTAATGCTTTAAGTATGTTTTGCTCAGTTATGGAATCTAGGGAAGACGTTGCTTCGTCATACAAAATAATGCAAGGTTGTTTCAGCACTGCTCGAGCAATCGCAACTCTTTGCTTTTCCCCACCAGATAACTTTAATCCTCGTTCTCCAACCGGGGTTTCATATTGCTTTGGCATTGCAAGAATAGAATCATGAATATCTGCCATTCGTGCTGCATCAAGTACTTGGTCTTTTTCTGCTGATAAATCACCATAAGCAATATTGTGATAAATTGTATCATGAAACAATACAGTTTCTTGCGGGACAATTCCAATCAACCGACGAAGGCTGTCCACAGTAACTATTCGAATGTTTTGGTCATTGATGAAAATATTGCCATGCCATGGGTCATAAAAACGGTAGAGCAATCTTGCAATTGTGGTTTTCCCACTGCCACTCCCTCCAACAATTGCAACTTTCTTCCCAGCTGGAACTTCCAAACTCAGACCATCAAGGATCTTTTTATCTTTCGTGTAACCAAACGTAACATCTTCAAACCGTATGGAAGTTTCTCCGTGATGAGTCCTGAGTGGCATAGCATCAGGGATATCAACTATCTCCTTCTTTATCTCAGTCAAAGTAAACATAGTGCCCATATCTATAAGAGATTGCCTGATGTCCCTGTAAACGGAGCCAAGGAAATTTAAAGGACCAGATAATTGGAATAATAATCCATTTACCATCACAAGATCTCCAACAGACATTTGTCCATTTTTTATCCCTTGTCCTGCCAACAGCATGATAGCGGTCAATCCACATCCAAATATAAACTGTTGTCCAAAGTTGAGTAATGCAAGTGAGGTATTTGTGCGCAAGTTAGCGTCTTCATATTTCTTCAAAACTGCATCATAACGTTGTGTTTCAAACTGTTCATTATTAAAATATTTGACTGTTTCATAGTTAATTAAAGAGTCTATTGCAATGTTTCCCATTTGGTTGTCAGCCTGGTTCATCTTTTGTCGAAATTTTGTTCTCCATGCCGTAATAGATAAAGTCCATGCAATATAAGCCGCTAGAGTGCTCACCGTTACCAAAGCAAACTGACTGCCACACTTATACCATAAAATGAAGCTGACCAGAGATACTTCAAACAAAGTTGGCACAATATTGAACACGAGGGCTCGGAAGACAAAATTTATACCTCTTGTTCCTCTATCAATAGCTTTTGACAGTGCACCAGTTTGTCGTCCCATATGAAATCTCATATCAAGAGCATGAAGATGACTGAATAAAGTTCGTGCAATTTCTCGAATTGAACTCTGTGCCACTTTAGCAAACACAGCATCACGTAGCTCATTAAACAAAGAAGCACTAATGCGTGCAGCACCGTAACCAAGTATCAAAAAGTAGACTGTGGTGAAAACAGCTAGCTCAGGTGAATTTGTAGCCATTGCTGAAATGTTATCAACAGCATATTTAAAAAGAAATGGAACTTGGACATTCATTATTTTTGCACCAGCTAACAACGATAAGGATAAAACCACTCTTTTCCTGACTTGTGGTTTATCCTTCGGCCAGACATAGGACATCATGAATTTTAAAATCTTTTTGGCTCCAACTGGAGTCGATTCTACACCATCGATTCTGCCAACAACTGACGATGATCCAGGTACTTGATGTCTTGTATTAGGCTTTGGCAATATTCTCGACCGCCGGTGGAGGGTCCATAATCTACTATGTGGAACTTTAGTATAATGTGTTCCAGAATAAACAAGTAGACATCGGTGTGAAACAACATTTGAATTTGCAGTGTATCTTCTCCCACTTATTCCAGTTTGTAAAAGGCATCGGAACGGCAAGGACATGATCACAAAAATATGTCAATCTTCTACTTTTGCCAAAATGTGAGTCATCTAGCCTACAGGCCTATCTATAAATTCAATAAAACTTTTTATAGGCTACATCAGACATGGGCAAAGTACGACCCGCGAGCCAAATCCGGCCCGTTGGTTAATTCAATCTGGCCCGCCTGATGCTGTCACAACCAAACTGAAACCAAATTTTAATGTTTTAGCTAAAAATGTTGTTAAATTTAGTTTCCTCACGAGGCATATTGTTTTCCACCTTTGCTTTGTAACACTTTAAAAATCAAGTGCAGTTTTAAGTATTTTATGGCGTCTGCAGCTGCCGCAAAACTATGGCGGTATTTCCATACCCTAGCCGCTACGGCCAAACCTGCCACAAACCAATGACGAGCTGCCGTTACCGTGGCAGCAAATTGAAAACCAAGGGCAGGTAAAATTAACCACAGCAGGTGGGCCGTAAAGACAGGGCTGTCCCCTATGGTGACAAATATTGAGTAAGTTGGAACGTTTTTTTAGGGATAGGCTACAGTTTTGATGGATTTGGGGTTAGGGTTTAAGTAGATATAATTCCGCATGATCAATTAAAATCTGGTACATTAATTTGCGAATATACCGTTAATACTGATTACTGGAAAACGCGCTATAAAACCATGGCAAGAGCTGCCGCGGTTCGTTTGTGGCAGGAGCTGCCATGAAGTGGTAAGAACTGCGCCTCTTAAATATTGATCATGGATGTACGGTACGTACCGTAACTTTTTACTTCACACTGACATGGCCCGCCACACAAAATGGGCAAAATTTTTGACCCCCGGTTCGAAAACCTTGCCCACTCCTGAGCTACATTGATACAATATTTTTTATTTGGGCTACTCATTCCGAATATGGCAGATATTCATCACCGTATTTATCCCGGAGCAGAAGAAAGTCGATACCGGTAACTGATAACGATATCACTCACCGGGATGGTAGCCAGACTGGATTCCATGGCAGATGCACGCCCGAGGGCGCTAGCGCTCCACAAAAATGCACGCGAGCGAATTCAATTTTGCACGCCAAAAATTTGCAATTGCTCACCAATGTAAATCGGTTTAAATAGTTTTTAAATCAATAATCTAGTAATATAAAGATGCCAAAAAATTATAACTTTACAATTGTCGACTAATACTTGCTTGCAAGATTTGGTCTGATCGAAAAATGCGAAGCAAAAATCACCATATCGTGTTGAATGATAGGAATCCCGTGAGAAAAATCGCCTCCTCACCGACGCTGGCCAGTTATGGCTCTGATTCAGCGTATTTTTAATACAATAATTTTACACGGATGTACTGAACAGTACCGGTATCTAAAGTCGCACAAACACTCTCAAAATTAGTGACAAAATATAGAAATGATGTTTTGGGGGTCAAAGATCAAACGTCCATTTTTGCTATGATCCAACTTATTTTTACGCGGATGTATTGAGAGGTATCTTAGTTCGAAATCAGTTTAGCGGGCGCAATTGTTTTGCACGCCGTGAGCTATAATTGCACGCCAGAAATTCTTATTTGCACGCGGGAATTTCTGATTGCACGCCCGATTTCTCGTTCGAAAAGGCCATGAAATCCAGACTGGGATGGTAGTAGTTTCACAGTTCTGCTTGAACTCAAAGACATACACAACGAAGCAAATATATATTTTTTTTTTTTTTTCTACATTACAAAGCAAACGGTGAAATCAAATTACGGTCCTTCAACAAGTCGTAATTTTTTTTTTTTTTTTTTTTTTAAATGGATCCACAATTATATTGCCCACATTCAGACATTCACTTTACAACAAAATACAGAACAGCATTGTAATCATGAATCAGCAATAATACAGCAAAACTGCTATTTCATGACTAAGCAGATATTTTCCACGAAATGAACAAACAAGAGAGGGAGATGAAGATTTATTTTAGCCAACCGAACAAAAATAATCGTCTTAATACTGTATTAAAACATAACAAGTAACAGTATTAAGTTTGTTTAGTATAGACAGGTTGGGTATCAAAGTCAACTTATTCGCTATAATCAGTTTTAACTTATATACTGTACTTGATTTTATTGCCTGTTATACTGATTATGGAGTCGAAATAAACTTCGTTGTGATTTGTGAATAGTTGTGATTGGGATTCACAATTTCACATTTGGGATCCGTGAAAAATCCGCCAAAAATTTGGTGCTCCCAAAGTATTCGTGTTTGTGCATCATCTTGGTACGAATACCTCCGGAGCGCCAAAAAGTGCGATATACAAGCGATATACAAGTGTTTAATATCCTACTCATACTTTTTTACCACCTTCTTATAATAACTCAATTAATATTAACTGAAAAAGACTATGGAAGGCTACTTAACGCAAAAGCGAGCAGTAGTACATCTGATATTCATCCGTCCATGGGGGATCCACCTACAGCTGACCAATTTGATTGTTACGTCATGCAGAAGTCTGCGTTCATTGGCCCATGATACCGAAAAACAGAGAATATAGGACAGGTGGTAACACATATTTACTGTAGTAAAAGCGTCTTTTCCGTAAAACGTGAAACTTTTGGAAGTGGGAACAAGGCAATATTTTTTATTAAATTTCTAAGGAACAATTTAAAATCATTTTCAGGTAGTTACCTTATGTGCGCTACGGAACTGAAAGATAAATGGCCTCGGCTCGCGGCCTATGATATAGAATGATGGCGGTGCACAACGAGACAGCAAAAGACATGATAATTGCAACAAGAGTTAGAGCATTTCAAGTCACTACGAAGAAAACATCTGCGGCGTAGTGAAATCCTCATAACTGGAGTTCTTACTTTCAGCATAAAAATTGGACAATGACAGTAAACTGATATGACCGCCGAAAACTCTCTATGGTGGGTAAATTTTCAGAAGTTCAGAAGAGCACAATTCGTTATAATATTTGCGTATATATATATATATGCTGAGGCGACCCGACAGCCCCATTGGAATGTCGGATGTTTCTCTCTGTGGTGGGCTTCGGCTTGAAGCCATATTTACGTTACTCACAACTTTTCTCTTTGCTAATGACAGCAAAAAATGGGAAACAATTCAGGACAAACGCAAGGTTTGCCACACTGTGGTAAAAGGTAAATATTTTTTTTAAAAGGTATCTATTTTTTCCAACACGTACTCAAGAAAAATGAACTTGGCAATTGTAACTACGGTAGGTCAACAACAATACAAAGATATGAATGCAAATTTCCTGCTCGCAATAATTTGTGTAATTTCAGGCTTAGGCTTCGTATGTCTCGGTGGTGTGGCGCATCGTGCTAAGCGTTAGGAATACGCTCGCCACCGCATCTCTGATTACCCTTCGCGGGTTCGGATCCCATGCGGTGATGATCATGTGCGAGAGGATTGCTGGACTCCTCGTCGCCGTAGGGTGGTTCACGTAACCGCTGGACGGTTACGGCTTTTTCCACCATCAAGTCCATGCTTCCGAAAACAAATAACTGGCTAATTAATCCCATACCCGACCTGGACCGGTAACCGGACGACAGGACGTGTTAAGCCGTCTTATTGGTTTTCTTTTCCCCCGGGATAAATATGTAAATCCTTCAAATGTATTTATCAATCTACGAGCAATGGTTAGTAAGGCTACTAATAAAACATATTTTAATAATTATTATCATTGAAAAAGGAGTTAGGTCCGTTTTCTCCTGGGAGTCGAAACCACTTCTCTTGATTAAAATCAATTTGTACCATTTATTCACAAGGTTCTGATATAATCTAGGGGCGAAATTGGATAATCGGTTGATATATTTCAGGTTGAACTGTTACAATTGATTTAATTCTGTAGTCGTCCCATGTTTTTACTCTACTCCTTTTTCGGATGTATATTCACCCAATAAAAATTATGTTGAACAATGTTATTATCCGTAGTTTTTTATATAACATAAAAATAGTATATAAGTTATTTGTAACCATTATCAGTTAATAAATTGAGCGTTCATTTTCATATGATTAACGGTCGAAGTATTTTCACCGGAATTTCTTGTCATAGATATGATTGATTTCACGTGTGGAATTTTAATAAATTCAATAAAACTATAATATACTAGATCGGGATCGCGCTTTATATTTAGAGATATCGGTAGCAGAATCCGGTATTGATTCAGTCGTGAATAGACCTATTCTCTCGCCACATAGCTCACTCATTGAACTTGACAATACAAGTACGGATTTAGCAAACACTCGATTCCACGTTGAGTACATTTCATCCACGAAAACCAAACATATGAACCACTTGTATATTGATAGAAAAAAGATGGTAAAATAAATTGAAATTGTAAGTAAATGATGACCGAGAATATTTCATCTATGATTTGTATATACCAAGTAACATTGACAGTCAAATTTCAGAGGATATGCTTTTTTAAGTTACTTGACAAATGTGATTAAATTTACTGTAGTTTTAACAGCACACTTGAAAAATATTTAATACATACTGCCTTGTATCCGCAAATGCTACTAGAAGTGGTTATGAATTTGTTGTAGAAGTTTACTGGTGCTTGCAAAGGTAGTTTCAGAACTTACAATATCCGGGGGAATATATTGAAACTTATCTAATATATACATGCAGGTTGCAGTTCTGCTTTATTTCTTACTGATTTATGAACGATTTAGGAAGTCAGGAAAATCCAATACGACGAAGAAAAACGCGAGAAGAACTGCTCTACTATCCATCATGTTGCAAGATAACTAACTAACTAACTTTATTTAATTGTGTTGTACGGTTCATTATTTATGATCGAAATTTTCATGGGGGCTCCAATATCATAAGAAAAAGTTCTAAAACTTTATACAAAGTAAATACGCTTAAAACCCGTAAAATATTTCAGGTTTTATTGATTTCTTGAATCTAGCTGTAGAGTAGGTGGGGCTATTTCAAGTACAATACAAGGGAATGGAATGAGTGAGTAGGGCGGTGTCGTATACCAGTTTCAAATGATGATTTGGTATTCAGGACCCAACATGAGTGGATCAGAAATGAAATTTTCTATTTATATACATATACACGAGTTTAGATATATGCAGAATTATATTGATCCATCAAAACATTATTCAATAAATTAAATGGGCAAGTTTGGGATTACTTTACTATTGCGTGTTCCGAAAAAAAAAACACTACAGTGCCTTTTCGTTGGT